ACCGGGGGCAAGATGGTGGGGTGGGAGCAGGAATGGGAGTCCAGAAGCCAGGAGTCAGAAAGCCAAGAGTCCAAGGGTCAGAGAGCCGGGAGTCAAGAAGCCAAGGGTCCAAGGGTCAGGAAGCAAGGAGTCATGAAGTCAGGGGTCTGAGGATCAAGAAGTCAAACACAGCAAGGCAAGAAACATGTCGCTGTGGCAAAGAACTGAAGGGAAAATGCTGGCCTTATATCCTTTCCCAGCTCTTGCCCCCAGGTAATATGAGTTACCAATCGGCCTCACCTGTGTGGCTGCGCCTTGCCTCTTCAGAACAAACTTAGGAAGGCCCCAGTCCTGCAGAGTCCTATTGGTCGCAGGGCCTGGCTCCTGCACGCACACCTGACACTCATTTCTCTCTACAGCACATGCAGAAATTGCCTTCTTGACCGCTGGACCCACTCTTGGTCTCATCCACTCAATCTTCCAGAGCCTGTCCTTGCATGCAGGAGACATTCTTAACTCACCAAGGGTTTGAGACCCATCAGCCACCCTCACCTGGTTTAGCCAGACACAGCCGTTCCTGGGATGTGGCCGTTGTGGGGAACAAAGGTGGACAAACTCCCCCAGAAGGAGCACAATGTGTCGCCAACCAGAGGTACTAGCCCTCCCCTAACATCCCATAGACCCTTACGAACCAGCCACAGTGAAATCTGTGCCGTGGTGTGGCATTAATGGCAAGAGAGGAAGGCTTCCCAGGTGGCCTACAGGTGGAAGCAGAGCCTTCTTCTCCCCAGAGTGGCTTGGGTGGCGCGGCCTTTCGGGGTCTGTGGTCCCTGGCAGATTAGATAGATGTTCAGCCACTTGTGCCTCAGCTGCTGCCTGCCCCCACCTCCTTCTCTGCTTTGAAGCCCAAGAGACTTTGGCTGCCTCCCAGGGCCTATTGTTTGTGGGGCTGCTGTTTCTCAGAACTTGCCGCCATTGTCTCCCTCGCTATTGTCCATCTCCGGGCTGCTGTTCCCAGGGCCGGCCTCCAATTGCCAGGCTCTGCTGCTCACACCAATTACCAGACAAAGAGCGATGACTCAGACCCGGCTGCGCAGCACGCAGCTGGGGCCGCAGAGTGCCCACCTTCCCCCTTGAACTAGGGGCAGGAGCCCCGCCAGGGCCCCGAGGGGAGGGGAGTGGGGCGGCCGGTGCAACAGAAGAAGGATGGGATCTGCGCTGGTAGAATGATCTCATCCACATGAGGAAGGGCAATGCTGCTGAGAAACTTGCCAATTAAGGAAACAAACAGGGGCATCAGGAGGCCTGGGGCGGGCATGTCGACAAGGGGGATAAGGCCCGATTTGTTGTTGTGTTTTAAGGATGCTTAGTGTGAGCATATGGGGAGAACTATCCCTACTGGGCAAGCGAAGAAGGCTTGGGGCAACTGCTGTGGACAGGAGAACTATTTCTCACACCTTTCCTGTTGCTTGTTTTTGGAGAGCCAACTAACAACTTTGCCCACCTTGCGAAGCCAAGTATGTTGGGAGGACCAAAGGTGCATTATTATTATTTAGCCACTTCCTGTATAAAGAGTCTCTAAGCAGCTTGCATGTTTTTTAAAGCATAGCAACCCTACATAAATGATCAGGCACTGTGATTCCCCACTAGTTTGATTTTACCCTGGAGGTGTACTCCATTGTCTCTCAAGACAGAAGATGCCAACAACCAAAAGCAGCAGTGTATAGGCCTCATTGGACACAGTGCTGGCCATATACATTTCTCCTCCTGCTTTAGATAGAGATATGGATAACCCGGACAGGAGACTGAACTTTGCCAACCTGGTGCCCTCCAGGACTGAGGGGGTTTTTGTAGTACAAAATGTTTGGAGGGCACAATGTTGGCAAATAGACATAGTCACATTGTAGACCAGGGTTGGGGGATCTATGGCTCTCCAAAGGTTGTTGAACTACAGCTCCCATCATCCTTGGCCATTGTCCCTGGGGCTAATGTGAGCTGGAGTCCAACAGCATCGGGTTCTCCATCCCTATTATGAATTTACAAAGATTTAACAGCCATTCCTTCTCAGGGAAAACTGAATATTGTAGATGGAGCAGAGAAGGACTGGTCATCTCTAGTAGTACTCTGCATATCTGGCCAAACTGAAGTTCCAACAATCATAGGAGCCAACTCCTAGGGGCCATGGGGGCTTCAGCCTCCCCCAATAAAATATTTGAGGGGGCTGCCCCCCCAGTTGATGGGCATTGCCATTCAGATGGCGTGTGTGCACTGCGTCGTGATTGATTATGCAGGGCAGGACTTACGTGCCTCCCCCCAATATTTTATTCAAGTTGGCACCCCTGCCCACAATTTATTGTTGGAAGCCTTGACATGATCATTAAACGTGTTGAAAACCACGGCGCCTTTCTGAATCAAAAATCCTCCAAGGCAGTTTAGGATTATAATAAGACCAGAATAAAATAGCCCCCTCCCCAAAGAGCCATGCAAATAACAAATTCTGTTCATAAAAAATAAGCAGTGAAAGATCCCCACAGTGGAGTAACATTGCTTATCTAAGAGTCACCTCAAACATGTGTATTGCATGAGCTGGTTCAATTTACCCTTGTAATTTATCCTTCCTTAGGGAGGAGAGAGGCAGCTTCCAAGAATAAAATGAACCCTGCAATCAGAGCTTAACACAATATCCGCACATTATCACATACTATCGTTAAATATCTCACATATAAATATATACATATTTAGTTTCCTTCAAAATTTGGGGCATTAATACAGCGCACTCATCAAAGACCACTCTGTGTACTTTAAAAATAAAAATGGCTTGCTTTGCTCCTCCTTTCATGAAGCGGGGAGGGATGTGGCGGGGGGGGGGAGCAGGAAAGGGGGTGTTGCTGTGGACTGCGGTCCCTTTTCCGCACGCACTCTCCACCCGCTGCAGACAATGCCATTGTATCGCAGAGTCCTTAATTGTCGCACGGAGTGTTCTTGACAATAGCCACTTCTCTGGCAGATCAAAGGAACGTAATTGCAGTGGGCAAGGGGGCCAAAATGGCTGGCACTAGCGTGGGGGCAAAGGGGAAGATGAAAGGGCCGGCAGGCTGAGGCCGCTTGGCCATTGTGTGTCCCCCAAATCACATACACACAGGGCTGGCTGTTGGATCTGGGGCCTCCCTCCAGGGCCTCAGTACTTCTCTCCCCCACCCACCCAACCTGACAGAGGCAGGATTTGCAAGCGGAGAATTCTCCTTGGTTGCATCTCATCCTCAGTACTCTGTGCCCAGTGGAGATGGTAGCACCGTTTGGGTGGTAGGCCCTGAGAAAGAGCCAACCGTGCCATTCTCTGGCCATTCACACACACTCTTCCTCCTGCCTCTGGGCAACAACTGGGGAGTGGTTCCCCTTGGCCAGGGGTGGACCTACTATGAAACAGGGTCCATAATTCCAGAGGGGCCCCAGAAGCAACTTTAGTCCACACTGCTTAACAATTTTGGGTCTAGCAGACCCAATTTCATCATTCTACAATGCATCATGCATATATATATTTCCCTAATTTTCATCCCCCCCCAGCATAACTCAAAAACTGTAAGACACAGGAAATTTTTATTCACACCAGTGACTTTGACATGTGAGATAATCCAGTACAGCAATTTTAATCAAACCTGCAATGTAGTAGTAGTAGTAGTTAAATGTGATCTGTCGTGGAATAACCCCATTGAAGAAGATAACAATGGTTAGCCGGACCTCACTGCTGGTTGCAAAGGAGCCCCCATAACAGCTGAAGCTTCAGGGCCAACAAAATGTAGGTCCACCACTTCCCTTGGCATTTCAAGGGCAGCATTCTTTCACAAGCAATTTTTTGGGGGTGGGTGTGTAGCACCAAAAATGGGTGGAGCACTGTTTGTACAGTAAGCTGCATTCCAGGAGGGGCAGAGAACCCTTTTTGTCTAGCAAGCCAGATCCTTATCTGTCCCTTCTCCATGGGCCAAGCTTGACAGCCACCTGTCAAAGCCCTTTGAACTGCACTTCCCAAACACCTGTCAGGAGGTGGGTGTGTCTTGCCCCAAACAGCCTGGTGGACTAAATGAGGATGTCTGGTAGGCCAGATTAGGCCCCTGGGCCTGAGGTTCCCCACCCTTCTATAGACATTTACATCACCCAGGTATTATCGTGGTTCAAGGACTCGTTGAGCAGGGCAGCAAGAATACTTATTGCAAAGCATTGGAAGACACAAGACCTACCCACACTGGAGGAATGGCAGATGAAAATGATGGACTACATGGAATTGGTGGAAATGACTGGCAGAATCCGAGACCAGGGAGAAGAGTCGGTGGAAGAAGATTGGAAGAAATTTAAAGACTACTTGCAGAAATATTGTAAAATTAATGAATGTTAGAATGATGTTGGATTGAAGTTAAGTGGTTTCTAGCTGTAATGGTATAAAAGAATATGGAAAAATTGGATTTTCAATACGTAAAAACCTAATGCTATAATATATTAAGATTAAAGATCAGGATTAAAAAGGAGGGAAAGGAATTGCTGGACTAATAAATTGAACTGGAATACAAAAAAGGGAGGTATGAGGAGGTCCGGGAAACAAGTAAATGAAAGAGAAGTGATGAAATGATGGAATTGTTTTTAATTGGTTTTTTTTTTGTATTTTGTATTTTTCTTTTTTCTATTTTTCTCTTTCTTATTTATGTATCCTTCTTTTGAAACCTTAATAAATATCATTTAAAAAACAAACAAAAACAAGGACTCGTTGAGCAGGGCCAATGAGAGGCATGGCTTGGGGAAAGGGTGTGGCCTGGGGAGAGGTCCAAGGGCCAGGTGGAGCGGCTCAGAGGGCTGCATTTAGTCTCCAGACCTAAAGTCCCTCCCCACTGGCACAGGAGCTTTTGGGAAAGACCACCTCGGTCCACATTATTTTTCTTGCAGCAAAAATAACCAGGAGTCTCCTTAAAGACTAAGGAATTTATTAAATAACATAAACTTGCATGGACTCAAGTCCACTTTGTCAGATGCATATGTTTATACCACAATAAATCTGTTCGCCTTTAAGATGAGACCCTCAGTTGTTTGTTTCAGGAAGCAACCTTTTGCTGCTAGGGTTTTCTGACTGCAGACATGTTGATGTTAATATTTCCCCCCTCAGCATTCCTTACACCTTTATGTAACTAAATGATATGAAAGGAAAAACAAATCCAGATCCTATTATTTTTCTTGGGTGGGTGTATCGGTGTAAAGTAGATGCTAGCACTTCAAAACTTTTGTATTTTGTGTTTTCACTTTTGTGTTGTGATCAGCCCTGTGATCTTCAGAGGAAGGGCAGTACATAAATTTAATAAAACAACAACAACCTGCAGTGGAGAACTATCGAAGCAAGAGCTTTGAGGAGGTTGCCTTTTCAGCTGTGGCTCCGTGTCTGTGAAAAGCTGTCCACAGTGAGGCCTGCCTAGCTCTATCATTAACACTGTTTTTGGCACCGTGTAAAAAAACACCTCTTTCCCAGGCATTTGATGGATTTTGAAGATTTTGCTGTTCATCAATGTTTGGGCTGCAAATGTATTGCCTACAATGGCTGGCAGCAGCTCTCCAGGGTTTCAGGCAGGGAGTCACTCCTAGTTCTACTCAGGGATGCTGAAGAGTTTATGTGGGATGCCCTACCACTGAGCTAATGTGTTATTTTTTCCTGATATCTTGCTAGCATCCGTCCGTCTCGAGAGACAATGGCGTATGCCTCCGGGGGTAAAATCAAACCTCTGGGGAATCACAGCGCCTGCTGTGGCTGCAGTGACCAGTAACTCATAACTGCTGCCTCCCCATGTTGTTTTTGTTGTGTTAGCAGCACTAAGGTGACCTCTCCGGGGCACAACACTGATCAGTGTGTATGAATGTCCTGGGCTGCCCATATAACAAAAAACCCCTCTTGGCTTCACTGATGTGGTCCAAAGGAAAGCAGAGCAAGGCATTTGGCACTAACTCAGCTGCAGGAGTTGCCAGAAGGAGGTGTACAAGGCACCATTTCACTGTCTTAGGGACTCTACTCCGGATTTGTATAGGGTTTACTCCTCAGCCTTTTCTTCTCCTGAAGATATCCCACAACACAGCAGCCACTGTGCTGGAACCTTAGCTGGAATTACTGGAGATGATGGCGTCACTTAGAACTAACCTGTTAATCTCACTGAGTTCCATGGAGATACAAGAGTGACTTACCTGGAACTCATGACCGTTGCTTTTTGACGTCTTGGCCTCATGTGTCATCTTGCTAATGCCTAATAAAAGAAATGAGCAATCTTGCGACCTCCCCACAACTGGTATTTCCCCTTGTCCTGCATACACTGGTCAACACAACAGAGGAAGGATAAGGAAATGCTGAAGCCTATGGCATCCCAATGCTTGTTTCTTTTACTAGATGCTGCAAGAGAAATGTGGGGAAGATGCAGATTGTTAGCAACAGCTGTGCAACACACATACATGTCCATAATGTTCACTTAGCCTTTCAGCTGCACAAATTTCTTATTGGACACCCCACGCTAAAAAAGGTCAAAGGGTCACAAGGTGTGCTTTGCTCTTTGTTCACACCCTGTATCAGCGGTGGTTTCAAGTGAGCAGCTCTTATCTAGTACAGAATATAGAATACAGAGGCAGACCTAGCTCAGGACTGTCTATACTGACTGGCTGAGGTTCTCTAGGATTTCAGGCAAGGATCTCTCTCAACCTGACCTGGAGTTGCCACTGGGGATCGAACCTGGACCAAGGATGCACCGTTACCTGCCCAAAGGGGAAGGGGAAGTAGAGGAGGTTCTGACCCAAAAGAAGGTGCTTTAAAAAGGTTTTGGCAGTTTACATATGGAAACGGAGCACATCCAATCCTAATAAAATTTACATGTATACTGTCCCTGACGCCGCCTGAGATTTAAGCGCTTAATAAACACAAAAGCCTAACGTGTCTAGTTTCTCCCTGCCTCCCATTCTTCCAACTGTGCTTTATCATCTTTCCAACTGAACAAAATTGTTTTCCAATGCACATTTTGTGTCCAACTGCACGCTTCAAAGCAACAAAAATCCCTGGAAGATGCTCAGAGATGTTTACGAGGAGGATTCAAAAGCAGGGCGATTTCACTTCAAATTAGACCAGGATCCTCAAACCAAAAGAAGCGCTTGCTTTAGCTCAGCCTTTGCCAACCTGGTACCCTCCAGATGTTTCTGACTGCAATTCCCATCTGCCCCAGACGGAACGGACGGGAGTTGTAGTCCAAAACACCTGGAGGGCAAGCAGGTTGATTTAGATCCTGAAAAGAAATGGGAATGGGGAGCATAATGCTTCATTCTGAGCACCATGTGCATGTATATAAATATATGAAACGGCACTCCAGGTCATGCCATGTGGCTTTTTTCTAAGGGAAGATCCACACTGTACACTTAAAAGTATGTTCAATGTGTGTTCAAAGCGCATAACTTCTCCCAGAGACTCTGGGGAACTGTAGTTGATGTTAAGGGCGCTAGAAATGGTACCCCCCTGTGAGGGGAAAACTACAATTCCCAGGATTCTTTTGGGGGGAGGTGAAATCTGTGCAAGTGTGCATTAAATATGCTTTGAATGTATAGTATGGATCTGAACAATACACCAAGATACAAAGCTGCAAACAAGTTCGGCCCAAGCACCGTTTACACTCCCTCTCACCTCAACGTGGGCCTGCTTGCTGCCCAGACACGTAATGACAGCAGCAACCCCGTGAAAAGTGGGACTCATTGCCTACTTTTGAGCTCCGCGTGCATGTACCAAAATCTTTGAAACGGCCCTCCATTTCAAGCCATGTTGCTTTATTCCGAGAGCAAATCCACACTTCAAACTTAGAGAATACCCAATGCGCATCTGAAGCGCATGGTTTCTCCCGCAGCATCCCAGGAACCGTAGTTTGTTGAGGGTTCTATAAACGATAACCCTGCGAGGGGGAAATTACAGTTTCCGAATTCTTCTTTTTTGGAGAAGATCCGTAAGTGAGGATATCCATTCAGGATCGCCCAAGGTCGGCCCTCTCTTTCTCTCTCAGGGCGCCATGTCGAGCAAGAGGACCCAAGTCCTACCTTTGGCTGTGCCTGTGAATACATTCTTTATCCTGAGCAAACCGTTTTGTATGACTGGCTTTCCGGACTGATGAAGCGTGTAGCGAAACCTGTAATATATCTGGAGAACCGGTCCATGCATACGGCTTTGTGTTTCCAACTCAAGACCTATTGAATAACATCTCATCTAGTTCAATCTTTGAAAAACAGCTTTGAAAAACTTTTTCATATTCTCCAGTGTGCTACCCTTGCCATTGTGGCAGCATGGGGTTGCTGTTCCGTGATTGGACTTACGCTACTTGTTGAACGGTTCATTTATCCAGTCTGTATAACGTTTATTGCACATGTAACTTGTTAAGGTACAGTTGTACATTTATCTACTCCATGTTTACTGTATCTCCAGGCTTTGTTTTGCACATGGCACCTTAGTATGTTTGTTGCTTGAATGGTTACAAGTCTTATCTCTATTCTAGCTATTATTCTAGCAAATTTGGTTTTATACTTATGTTCAGTTTGTGGTGTTGTTGTTTTGTTGCATTATTATTACTGTCACCACATTTCATACTTTGTGTATATACTACAGTACTGCCACTGGCCCAGTCACGGCCTCTTTGCCGAACGGACCTCACAGGGTTGTCCTGTGAGGGTGAAACGGGTGAAAAGACTCTCCTGGAGCTCCTTTGAAGCTAAAGGCGGCACATAAGCGCAATAAATAAATAGAGGCACGTGCCCTAACACAAGCGGCCTTCGCGCCTCAACCCGGGGCCTTGCCTTTGAGGCGGCCGCCCGTCGTCGCGTAAAGGCGGCGGCGGCGAAAGCGCCACGGCCCGCTTAGGGAGGCCTGCGCGTGTATCTGTGTGCAGGTTCACGCTAGGCACTTGACACGTGTGTGTGTTCGTGTGAGGGAACAAGGCCTTGCTTCGTCTATCTCCCCTCCCAGGCCTCGCCTTTGCTGAGGGGAGCGAGCGAGGGGAGGCCCGGCCTCTCCTCTCCCCTCAGCCGAGGCCACGGCGCTCGGCGGCCGAGGACAAAAGCGCGAGCATGATCAAGCGAGGCGGGCCGCCTCTGATCATTAAGCGGGGAGCCTTTTGATGGCCGCCGGCCCCCGCCCGGGCTCACAAAGGGCCTATTCAGCGCGGCCGCCTCCTCCTCCTCCTCCTCGGCGGCGCGCAGCGGGGCTGAACCAGGGCCCGGCCGGGCTCCCCTAATGAAGCCGCCGCGCTGGCCCTCGCGCGCCTCCCCTTCTCACCGCCCCAATGGCAGGACCCTCGCCTGGCACCGCTGCCGGCCCTAATGAACGAATTCTCTCGCGTTTATTTATTTATTATCATTTATTCTTTCGGTGTGCCCTCCCCCCCCCACAAAAAAACATGAGCGTCGTCTGTGCGGGTCCCCCCACCCCCGAGGGCACCGCATATAGGCGCGCAAGGGCGGCCTCGGCGGCAGCCGCTCCGCTCGCCCCGAGGGGAAAGGGAGGCTCCTTCTCCCTCTCCTTCTCCTCTTCCCTCCTTCGCACCCCACGCCGCCCCGGAGGCGATGGGTCCCCTGGTGCTGCTGCTGCTGGTGGATCGGGCCCTGGCCGCCCCCCTGGGCAAGGAGCTCTGCCCGATGCCCCCCGGCGCCTTGCGAGGTAAGAGCAGCGCCTGCCTGGGAGAGGAGGGACGACCTGGATTTAGTCATCATTTTTTTATTTCTATATATCGATATAGCCATGTCAATATGTAGCTTTATTTTAATGGGTCAATGAGCACCTGGTTTTTATTACACTCCCTGCTTGGGGAGGCAGTGTCGCGCAGTGGTTAGCGCGGCAGAGGTTTCAGGAGCAGGTTTACTGAAGGGAAGGGCTGCAGCTCAAGGGTAGCAGCTTTGGCAGCTGTAGTCCCCAAATAGCTTTGGGGGTGACCTCGCCCCCATCTAAAAACCCTGGAGAGCTACTGCCGGTCAGTGGAAGCAACACAGAGCCAGGTGGGCCAGTGATGTGATTCATTGCAGGGCAGATTGTTTCCCATGTTCCTGTAGACACCATAGGGCTCAGGCAGAGCCCGTTTTCCAACTCCAGGCTCTTTTAACTGGTTGTTTCAGAGATTTGAACCTGGGGCCTTCTGCATGCAGAGCAGCTGCTTAGCCGTTGAACTGGACACTGTTGTTACCCCACATCCCCTATGACTTCTCTGGGGGTTTTTAAACAGCGGTACTGCAAGTTAAAGGGACGCGGGTGGCGCGCTGTAGGTTAAACCACAGAGCCTGGGACTTGCCAATCAGAAGGTCGGCGGTTCGAATCCCTGCGACAGGGTGAGCTCCCATTGCTCGGTCCTTCTCCTGCCAACCTAGCAGTTCGAAAGCACGTCAAAGTGCAAGTAGATAAATAGGTACCGCTCCAGTGGGAAGGTAAACGGTGTTTCCTTGCACTGCTCTGGTTCTTAGTCATGCCAGCCACATGACCCGGAAGCTGTACACCGGCTCCCTCGGCCAATAAAGCAAGATGAGCGCCGCAACCCCAGAGTCGGTCACGACTGGACCTAATGGTCAGGGGTCCCTTTACCTTTACCTTTTACTGCAGGTAAAAAATCAACAGGTGCTGTTCATTCTCGATACAGAGATGCAATAAGGCCGGTAAGGTCCTCTTCCAGGTTCTTTTAACCTGGGACCTTCTGCATGCCAAACAGGTGGATCTCCCACTGAGCTGTGGTCGTATTTCATAGACTGCTATAGGGTGTTTCACGTTGGCTGTTTCCATAATCTGGATGACAACCTTGTAAAGCAGACTAGCAGTATTTCTCTCCCACCCACCTACCCCCACCCTACCCCCGTGTTAGCAAATGGGGAGAGGAAGGCTGGGCTTGAATGCATAATGGCTTGCCCAAGGCTGCCTTAGGGAGTCCATGGCTGACTGAGGGGGGATTTAAACCTGGAACTCCCTACCCCAACATCGGGTCATTAAGCCACTAGCTCTCTGGCTTGATACCAGGCTAGTAAAAGCGGGAAGTGGAAGGAGAACGGACACTTCTGGCATACTGTAGCCTTGTTTGCATGCAGAAGGTCCCGGGTTCAGTCCCAGCATCGTCGGGTAACCTGGAAAAGAGGAGACTGAGAGGAGATATGACACCAGTATTCAAATATCTTAAGGGGTTTCACATGGAGGAGGGAGCAAGCTTGTTTTCTCCTGCTCCACAAGGTAGGACTCGAACCCATGGCTTCAAGTTACAAGAAAGGAGATTCTGACTAAACATCGGGGGGGGGGGGACTTTCTGACAGTAAGAGCTGTTTACATTGGGACAGACTCTCTTGGAAAGTGATGGATTCTCCTTCCTTGGGTGTTTTTAAGCAGAGGCTGGATGGCCAACTCAGGGATGCTTTGGCTGAGATTCCTGCATTGCAGGGGGTTGGACTAGATGACCCTCAGGGTCCCTTCCAACTGTACGATTCTGGGGAATGCCCTTGCCCAAAATCCTGGAGAATTGCAGCCAGTCAGTGGGGACAGCGTTGTGCCAGATGAACCATTGGTCTGACTCCGAATGGGGCGGCTTCATGTGCTTCTATCCTGTCTGCACTCATGGCCTCTCTCCCGTTGGAGAAAGATCAGCAGCAGGGCATTGCTCAGTCCTTGGCATCTCCAGTTGGGCTGGGAGAGAGGCGTCTGCCTGAAACAGCTGCGGCCAGTCAGTACAGAGCTGGGCTAATGTCCTGACTTTATATGGCATCTTCCTGTGTCTCCGTCTTTCTTTCTCCATGTTTTCAGTCCTCTTCCATGCATGCTAGATCCATGTGCCTACACACTTCTAGAGCATGGGAATCTGCCTTCTCCTGAGTCAGACCAATGGCCCATTTAGCTCAGTATTTCCTGCACTGACTGGCAGCGGCTCTCCCTGGTTTCATACAAGACCCCCCCCCCAGCTTCTAGGGATTGAACCTGGGACCTTCTGCATGGAGAGCAGGTGCTCAATCCGCACCCCCCCCCCCTGAAATATGGCCCAGCCACCTGGTGCCTTTAGTTCTAGTTTGACTTTCTCCATCTTCACCTGTTCCATGTATGTATGCCGGCATGCACCTCCCTCTCGGTTCTGCGATCGTCACTGCAAAGTGAATGCAGACACAGTTTGGCAGAGGGCGCTGGGATTATTTGATACCAGATGCCCTCAGCCAAACACTTCTGGGAAATCCTTCGCCTTTGTAACAGAGATCAAGCCAACTTGGGGGCGGGGTGGGGAATAAGAAAAATTGAATGCAGCCAGGCCAAACGGGGAAGTTGGCTGGAGCCATTGGTATGCCCATCCAACAACTGACTGCCCTAACTGCCACTTTCCCAACGCCTGTCGTTTTCGCTCCAAGGTATTTCCAGGGCCAGTTTGCTCTGTTGTTTTAAACCGTTGACAATTCTTACTCCTATGCAACATCCATATATACTTTTGCCAGTGCCACATCAATGTTTGTTTTGCACTTGCAAGGAATCGGTCCTTCACAGTGGAACTCCCTGCCCATTGATATTAGGCAGGCACCTTCATGGTGGTGTTTTTAGTGCCTGCTAAAGACTTTTGGTGTTTAGGGAAGCCTTCCCAGACACGTCATTTCATTTGATTATGCATACATATATTCTAATAACGGCTGATTTTGCTTACGTTTTGATACATTCTAAATAGCTTATTTTGAACACCCAGTATTCTTTTTTAACAAAACATTTTATATTTTATATAAACCACTTAGGGATGATTAAGCAGTATATAAATCCCGTTAAATAATTAAAATATTTACAGTTTAGCACATGGCCACCAACATATATGGCTTCAGAAGAGGATTAGACAAATTCATAGAGCCATGATGACGGCTGTGATCTGCCTCCACAATCAGAGGGAGCAACGCTTCTGAATCCCAGTTGCTGGAAACCTCAGGAGGGGAGAGTTGCTCTTGCGCTCAAATCCTGCTTGAGGGATTCCCACAGGCATCTGGCTGGCCACTTTGAGAACAGGATGCTGGCCTAGGTGGGCCATTGGCCTGTTCCAGCAAGGTTCTTCCTATGTTCTCAATGATAACAGCCAGAGTGTTTTTAATGGTGACAAAAGGAGTACACACATGAGCCTGTGTAGAGTGGGGAGTGGGATTGTGCCTGATTTGCTCCCCTGCTTTCCAGTTTCTGAAATAGCTTGCATGTGCACAGGTTAGTAAAACAGAGACCTCAATTGCACAGATAGAGACTACTGTGTGGACTATTGTATTTACACCAGCTTTTTCAGAAGTTATGCAGAAAGTGTGGAGGCAGAGACAGCAGGCCCCAACCTGTTTCTCTTGTGCTGGTTCATAACACCTGCATTTCCTTCTTTCCGTTTGGACCCTCCACGATCTGGAAAGACTCGGAGTACTTTTTTGAATTCCAATCTTACCAGTTCCGCAAAGTAGGCCTGCCGGTTTCCCCACCGACTCTGTGGCCATGCCTTTAAGCTGCAGCTTGATGTTCGCAGGTGGTAAAAGTGTGGGTCTCCTCCACGCCCCGCCAGGTGCCCCCTTCTCATCCCCGCCACTCATCCCTGCTCATCAACGTACTTGTAAAGACACAGCTGCAAAGGCTGGCAGAGAAGTTGGCAACCCTGCCACAAAAAAGGTTGTGTTCCCTAAACAAGATCCTGCCAGTTCCTGTGAGTGAGAGGGTGCATTTGCAGTGGGTGGTGAGCAGGCTGGAGCAGGGGAGATTCATCCTTCCCACACTTTCTCCTTCTCTTCTATAAAACGTAAGACGTTTTTTCTTTGCAGTGGGCTACCTCCCAGTCCCTGAAATGGCTGTGGTGGGCATTTGCAGGGGAGAAGCGGCTGGCAGGGGAAGGAGAAAGCACCCACTTCCACTGCTGATCCCTCCCCCTCGCCAAAAAACGCCCCCTTTCCCCTTCTCAACATTAACTTCTCTATGTCTTGCCCCTTTGCAGCTCTCTCCAACCGTGGGACGCTGGTGCTGGAAGCCGCCATGAAGAGTGCCCTGCTGTCCCTGGAAGGGGCGCTGTTGGAGCATGCGCGACGCCTGCAGGAATGTGAGGAGTGTGTGCTCTGCCTCTTTGGGAACTGTGGCAATCGGACCAGGGAATGTGTCCGTAAGTGTTTCCCCTGTTCCAGCCTCTTGGGGGGGGGCATTGCTGGGTCCCCACGGGACTTTTACTAGAACCCCAACATCTATGAACCACAGAGCTGGGTGCAAAAGAATTATAGGCAGAATAGAAGGAGGAAAACCAGGGTGCCTCTGAGCATGCACTGAGCTCACAGCCCTGTTGCACAAAAGTCCGCGCCTGCCTTGGCCAGCTTCCTTAATTTCAGCCACCTAACTCGGCTGCTGGGCTAGGCAGGCCTTAGCCCCATCTACTGAAAATCAGCCTGAGATCTCTCAGTGCATCCTGACCTTTTTGTTTCCAACATCTGTGCAGGGGCATGAGCACCAGAAAGGGGAGGAAGCAACAGAGGGATAGGGAAACTCAGGCCTCGGGGGCCAACGTGACTCTCCAGGACTCTGCATCTGGCCCTCGGAATGCTCCCTAAGCCATGCCCTCTCCTTAGGCTGCCCAGAGCGGGAATGCGGCCCTCATGTGGAAAAAGGTTCCCTGCTCCTGAAAAGCAAGTGTTGCATAGTGGTTGGAGCATTGGAATATTACCTGGGAGACCAGGGTTCAAATTCCCACACAGCCATGAAGCTCACTGATCTTGGAGTCAGTCACCATCTCCCAGCCTAAACTACTTCACAGGGTTGTTGTGAGGGTGAAATGGGGAGGGGGAGGGGGACCATTTACATGCCACTTTGATACCCTTGGAAGAAAAATGTGGCACATGAATGAAATAAATGAACAAACAAACAAACAAACAAACAAACAAACAAATAAATAAATAAATAGAGAAGCGGCAGATATTTCAAATGAAAAAGCAAGCCCCCAAGCCACCTTTGGATCATTGGTTGATGCTGTTCGACATCCAATAAGACGCGTGTGTTGGGGACGGGTGGGAGAGGAGATTTTGGTTCGCTCAGAGCATCCAAAGGACCTTGGGGTGACCTGGGAGTGGGCTTCTAGGTCTTCCTCTCTCCGCAGCCTCGGAGTTGCCCCTGGGCTCCCTGCCTAGCTGTGAAGCCGTCCTGCAAGCCCAGGCCATCCCAGAGCAGCCTGCCCAGAACTGGGCCCTCAGCAAAGCATGTGCTCCATACCGACGCCTCTGCTCAGGCCAGGAAATGTCCCCCGACAGCTGTATACGCCTCATGGTCAGCCATTGCCAGCTCCGCCTGCAGGAATGCCGTGAGTGACATGCCGGTGGGAGGCCAAGGCGGGGAGGGAGGTGTTCCTTGCGCTTCTCTGGCCTTGCTCTGCACCTAGCGTTGTGTGATGGAGGCTGCACTGTGGCTGGTGATGGTGGATGGGCAATAATAAGTCAGAGAAGCAAAGCTACAGGGAACCAGGCAGAGGGCCTTCTTGGTAGTGGCGCCCACCCTGTGGAACGCCCTCCCATCAGATGTCAAAGAGATAAACAACTACCCGACATTTAGAAAACATCTGAAGGCAGCCCTGTAGCGGGAAGTTTTGAATGTTTGATGTTTTATTATGTTTTGATATATGCTGTAAGCGGCCCAGAGTGGCTAGGGAAACCCAGCCAGATGAGCGGGGTAAAAATAATAAATTATTATTATTGTTATTGTTATTATTATTATTTATTATATAGACATCCGAAGGCAGCCCTGTGTTAGGAAGTTTTTAATGTCTGATGTTTCGCTGTATTTTTATATTACGCTGGAAGCCGCCCAACATAATACAATATATTGTTATGATGGCCCATCTAATCCCCTCTCCCTCGTCCCCCCTTGCAGGGCTGGAAAGCGACATGGACTATTTGAACACAGTGGCAGACCAGTCCGATCCAGGTGAGGATGCCACCACTGGCGCAGTCACAGAAAACTCCACATTTGCAGAAGTGGGGTGGAGCAGGGCTCGAAAGTCACCCCTGGAGGCTCTGGCCCAGCTAATCCTCCCCCAGGCGGATGCTCCTTCGCGTGCATCACTGTTTCTCAATTCCCTTTGACGGCCTCAGCGCCACAGGGCTCCGGGGCCCCATGCACCAGCATCTGTTTTCCAATGCTTCCTGCAAGGGGAAAGGTCAGCGTTGGGCGCTGACAGGGCCACTGGGCCGAGCACTGCTCTCCGGGGACAAAACACTCGCCTTGTTAATTGGGATGAAGCTTGACAGCTACATGAGCACACAGACCACTGCCTCCCCCTCCCAAAGCAGCCACTGCTGTGCTCTGTGCTATTGCTGCCCATAGGTTTTGGGGGAAAGGAGAGGTTTCCACTGTCTGGGTCCTGGCAGTCAGGGGTGGGATCCAACCAAGTCATACTTTTAGGGTTGTTGATTTGGCAGGGGGATTTCATCCACTTCGCATTCAAAGGTGAACGTGCCAAATCCACACTTTCCTAAACAGTACGTGAACTGATACGCAGTCCTCCTTCAAAATTCACCCTTCTTCAGATTTGGCAGTCCGATATCTACAGGCAGGCAACGTGTGCAAAAATGCACCTGCCAGGGTAAAGTGTGCATAAAAATGCATATGTTTCTGTATGTAGCATACAGGAATACATTATGCTAGGGGAAAGCAAAGCAGAAAACTGCAGTTGGTATGCATTGCACAATGCAAATGGAGTTGTGCAATTTCGTAGCATGCAATTGATGCTGTGTTCCCCAGTTTATTCAGCATTTTCTAGATCGTGAGTATGCAGGGAGAGCCATGTAGGGCACTATTTCAAAAATCTTATCTGCAGTGCAGTGGCTTCTGACATTTTCGTCAGATGCACAGTTCCAGGTCCCGTAATATCTATTACCTTTCTTTTTTTTAAAAAAACAAAATTAATTTAAAAGTAGAGATTATTAGGTAGCCAGAATTGGTGCCCAGTTACCCATTCTGAACTTTTTCAGTGCTTCTGTGAAATCTTGGAACCTGGCTTACTAGTCCCATTTCAGAGTTGGGGCTGTGGAGAGACGGCAGTTTGCCCCCAAATGAGTTCAACATGGCAGAACTGAGACTTGGTTGTGAATCTTCCAGGCCCAGCTATTGGACTATGATCATGAGTCTTGACAGCCGCCCCACAATGTCCCCTAACTTCTTCTTTTTGTTTCAATTGCCAGGGCTATGTGGGCACCGCGGGGTGCCAGCTCCCAACGCAACGATGGCAAAGGCAAAGATCGTGGGAGGCAGCAAAGCCTGGCCTGGCGCGTGGCCTTGGCTGGTGTCTGTTCGGCTCAACGGAGAGCTGATGTGCGGTGGGGTGCTAGTGGGGGATGCTTGGGTCCTCACGGCAGCCCACTGCTTCACAGGGTAAGGCTGTGCTCTGGGAAAAGACTCCAGGTCCTGCATTCACACATGCATGTCTTCATTTCAGAAATGTACTGCTACTCAGTGAAATTCATGAAACAGTGTGCAGTTTTTTTAAAAAGACTGCTGTGGCACTGGAACCAGTGTGAGGAATCTCAGGTCCTGGTGCCAAATGTGCCCCACCAGGCCTCTACCACTGACCCTCAGGGCTCTCCCAAGGCCACACCCTCACCAGCCAGACTTCATGCTGTCATTGAGTGCATTGGCCTGGCAGGTAATGCCTCTTGATTGCTTGAATGGAGATTAGAGAGGAGTGTGTGAGCATGTGTAGAAACTAGCCTATCTCAAGAAACAATGGCGTGTGCCTCCAGGGGTGGAGTTAAAACTGCTGCATTAGCAGCACCAAAGTGTGTGCAAGCCTGGGCAATGTGTAGGAAGGTCTTGGGCTGCCCAGATAACAAGACCCCCCCCCTCCCAGCCTTGCTGATAAGATCCAAAGGAAAGCAGAGCAATACCTTTGGCACCAGTTTCACAGCAGGAGTTGCTGGAAGGAAGCATACAAGGTGCCCACCCAACTGTCTTAGGGTCTCTACTCCGGATTTGTGTAGGATTTACTCCTCAGCCCTTTTTTCTCCCAAAGATATCCCACATGGCAGTGGAGGTTTAGGATCAAATGGGAAAATTTGCATGAATTGCTCCACCCACATTTGTCTCTGTCCCCACCCACCGTGGCCCCTGTAAGGTTGTCCAGAAGGGAATGTGGCCCTCTGTTCGGAAAGGGTTACCCACCCCTGACTTAAACCAAGGATGGTGAGCCTGTGGCCCTTCAGATGCTGTTGGATTCCAATCATTCCTTGCCAGTCGTTCCACTGGTAGCTGTAGTCGCATTGTCTAACCTCTGAATTGCAGTTGCTATGTATCACATGAGGCAGAGGGCTGTTCTACTGAGATCCTGCTTGCACGCCTCCAATAGTCATCTGGTTGGCTGCCATGAGAACAGGATGCTGGGCTAGACAGGACATTGACCTCATCCAGCAGGGTTATTTTAATGTTCTTATTGAGCAAAGTCCAGCTTCCCCCAGTCTTTGCTGCCCCCTGGCGTCGGGAAAACCAGTTGGCTCCAGTTAAAGTGAAAATTGGATCTGGCTGACATCCATTGAGCACATTTAGTGGGCATGGAAGACTTGCTGTTTGCTTTTGTGTGGTGGGGCAGCAACCAAAAACCAGGGGAGAAGGGAGGGCATGGCTGGCACCCTGAACAGAAGCACTCTGCACTGTGTTGTTGTTGTTATATTGTGTCCCCTTATGATAATAATTTGAAACTACAAGAGCCTTGACTGCTCTGTAGAAGCCAAAGAATAAGCGAGCTAACAGGTCAAGGTGGCTTATCTTGGTGCTGTGACCAAAAGGGCTCTGCTACTCTTGGCAAGCTGCCAACCAGAAGGTGGGGAGACTTGAGGAAGATCCTCCTCCAAGGACCAGATCACACAAGGAAATTTGAATAGGAGAATGTGGTCCCAAGTCCTTCCCAGCTCCATAATTCCTTGATCTGATATAATGCTGCCCAAACTGTTCAAGCCAGCCGCCAAATCCAACAGCTGATTGGTATCTGTTAGCCAGAGCGAGTAATTATAGATGCAACACTTTGTTTTCTTCCTATGAGCACTTGAGTAAATTGCATGGCTTGGGTGGCTTTAAAAGAGAATCGGACAAATTCATGGAGGATAAGGCTGTCAGTGACTACCAAACCTGATGGCTACATTTTCCCTCCACAGTCGGGGACAGTAATGGTTCTCAACGCGAGTTTCTGGTGCAGGTGGGGAGAGGGCTCATGTGCTTGAATCCTGCTTGTGGGCTTCACATAGGCATCTGTTTGACCACTGTGAGAACAGGATGCTGGACTGAGTAGGCTACTGTTCTTACGTACCCTCCTGTCTTTCTACCTGCAGAAGCAGAAACGAACTGGCCTGGTCAGTGGTCCTGGGCGATTACGACCTGACAAAGCCGGATGAAGGGGAGCGGGTTGTTCCGGTCAGCCGCATCCTTTCCCATCCCAAGGTGAGCTGGGTCGCCACCTCCTGCTCCACCCACCCACAGCGATCCCATTCTTAGGGCCTTTCTCCTTTCCTCCACTCTCAACTTCTCTTTTCTCTGCCTGCAGTTCAACCCCAAGACCTTCCACAATGATGTGGCTCTGTTGGAACTGAGCAACCCCGTGACCCCGTCGGCCTGGGTGACTCCAGTGTGCCTTCCTGAGCAACCCATGGAACTGGCCACAGGGATGCCCTGCTATATCATTGGCTGGGGATCGCTCTATGAAGGTAGTGTGAGGAAGTGCAACCCAGGAGCATGTGGGGAGCAGGGGCCAGGGTTGGGGGAGAAATTTGGTTTAGTTCACATCTAAAAATTATTATTATTTCATTATTCATACCCCACCCATCTGCCTGGGTTTCCCCAGCCACTCTGGGCCGCTTACAGCATATATCAAAACATAATAAAACATCAAACATTAAAAACTTCCCGATACAGGGCTGCCTTCATATGTCTTCTAAAAGTTATGTAGTTCTTTATCTCCCTGACATCTGAAGGGAGGGCATTCCATAGGGAAGTTGCCACTACTGAGAAGGCCCTCTGCCTGGTTCTCTGTAACTCCACTTCTCGCAGTGAGGGAACTAGCAAAAGACCCTCAGAAGAGGACCTCAGTGTCCGGGCTGAGTGATGGGGGTGGAGATACTCCTTCAGGTATACTGGACCGAGGCCATTTAGGGCTTTAAAGGTCAGCACCAACACTTTGAATTGTGCTCAGAAACACACTGGGAGCCAATGAAGATCCTTTAGGACTGGTGTTAGATGGTCCCAGCGCCCATATAACTGAAGGAACAAACTGACTGAATTTGCCCTTTCCAAAGCAGTACGCCAACCGAAACACAGCCACCCTTTGAAATTTGCGTTTCTCTGAATTTTGCGATTTACAGTCATATGGCAGGGGGTTGGACTCGATGGCCCTTGTGGTCTCTTCCAATTCTATGATTCTATATACAAAAATGCACTTTACTAGGCTAAAGTGTGCCTGTGAATGCATGTATTGGTGGAAACACATTGCAGAAATGTGTTAATAGTTGAGAATCCTACATTGCAAAAATTTGCGCACAAAAATATGTATTTGGGGATATCTCAGTTGGTTAGAGCAGGAGACTCTTAATCTCAAGGTCATGGCTTCAAGCCCCACATTGGGCAAAAGATTCCTGCGTTGATTACCCTCTTGGTCCCTTCCAGCTCTACAATTCTATAAATTAGAACTAAAATGCAAAGGAATTTTCATGAGAACTCCTACCAAACCTGGAGCTGGGCCCTAGAAAAAAAGGAACGCCTGGGGCCACTGGCAGGGTTGGCCTCTCCCTTGTGGCTTCACCCAGCTGCCACATGGGAAGGGCTTCCATCACCGTGCCAAGGTGGGCAATTTTGTGGGGAGGTGGTGGTGGGAATTGGGACCCCTCCATAATGTCATATGCTTGACCCATAGATGGTCCAGGAGCTGATGTAGTCATGGAAGCCCAGGTTCCCATCCTAGCTCAAGACATCTGCCGTGGTGCGCTGGGGCGCCAGCTCTTCACCAGCGCCATGTTCTGCGCTGGGTTCCTCTCCGGGGGCGTTGACTCCTGCCAGGTAAGGGGGCTCCCGGAGGAGGGGGCGGTGAGGGACAGTGGAGCAGTGCCAGGGGGTAGCCTTCTGGCATTTCCAGCACACTGCTGGCACAGAATTTGGCATCAGGGCTTGGCAGGGATGGGCATCTGCTGAGAGACCATGATTCCACTAAGGACCTCCATAGTCCTGCTTCTCTTCACAGTTGCACCCTGCTTGTTCACCTGCCTCTCACTCAGGGCCAGAGCGGGAAAGCAAGGAAATAACAGCAGTGGTGAGGAGAGAGCGATGGATAGAAGCCGCCACTGACTCCATGCTCAGCTGACAGGCTCTGTCCAGCAGCACTGCTGAGGCAGAGGAGCAACAGCTGGCAATAGTGGCAGGAAGCGGTCAGAGTCATAGAGGGGAGAGAAAACGCCATATCCTACAGCGTCCAGCTGGACTGGCAGGCATGCCATGATGCCCACATAACTAGCATAAGAAGACCCCGCTGGGTCATGTAGTCCTGCCTCCTGTTCTCACAGTGGCCAATCAGATTTCTCCAGGAAGCCCACAGGCAAGAGCCCTCCCTCCCTGTTTCCCATAAGAACATCCAAAGAGCCTTCCTGTTGCATTTAGTCCAAGATCTTGTTCTCAGAGTGGCCAACCAGATGCTTGTGGGAAGCCCGCAAGCAGGATTCAGGCACAAAAACTATTTCCCCTCCTGCAGTCTCCAGCAGTTGCAATTGAGAAGCATCCCTGCCTCCAAAACCACGGGAGGGGGAGAGTTGCTCTTGTGCTCGAATCCTGCTTGTGTGTTTCTCCACAGGCATCTGGTTGGCCACTGTGAGTACAGGATGCTGCTGAGGTGTGTGGTCGTCACGGCACCAGACCTGCCAGTCCAGCTGGCCACTGTAGGCTATAGAGTTCTGCACTGAATGGCCCTGAATGGTCTTTTCCAGCAAGGGCAGGGGGCCAGGATTCCTTGACTTGCACATTTCCCTATTTTGGACCCACAGCTGTTTCTCCTTCCAGGGTGACTCTGGGGGACCACTCACTTGCTGGGACCCTTTGTCAGAGCGGTATGTGCTATACGGGATCACCTCCTGGGGCGACGGCTGTGGTGAGCGTGGGAAGCCTGGGGTGTACACCCGAGTCGCTGCCTTCACAGACTGGGTGCACCAGCAGATGGAGAGTGAGTGTTAATGTTGGCGTTGTCGCTCCCAACTTCTCCAACGGGGGGCAGAACAAATGGGAGGTTGACTGGGGCCAGTCACATCTTTGCGGTTCAGGGGCTGTGATGGAGGTAATAAATAATAATAATAAATTATTTATATTCCGCCCTCCCCAGCCGAAGCCGGGCTCAGAGCAGCTAACAACAGTAAAATGATACAACATTCTAAAATCATTTCATTATAAAATCAGTTCAAATCAGGTTAATGGCAACCATTGGCTAGAGTTTTGTGAGGATTGCCAAAGGAGGGGGTCAGGCTGTGCCTTGGCCAAAGGCCTGGTGGAATACGCCTGGTGGAACAGTTCTGTCTTGCAGGCCCTGCAGAAAGATGTCAAGTCAAGACAGGGGAGGGTTGCTGTAGCCCAAATTAGCCACATCTCTGAACCGTACCTCCAAAACACAGTTGCGAGAAGCGAGGCACTCAGCGGGCCTCATGATTGGTCTGGCGTTGGTGAATTTCACTTCAGGCACCTTCTGTCACTGAACTGTGCCAGCCTGCCAACATAGGAACGACTATTTAGACATTGGTGTCTGGGTTTTGATTTTTCCTCTTCCCTCCCTATACATTTTCCCTTGTGTGTTGTGTTTCCTTAAATTGTAAGCCTGCAGGTAGGGACTATCTTGTTTTGATGGTATTTAAGCTGTTCTGGGAGCTTTTTTGGCTGAGGAGTGGAGTACATGTGCTCTAAACGAAACAAGCAAATGAATAAATCCAAAACTGAGGGTGGGTGCAGTGTTTGCTCTGGCACCTCTTTGTGCTTCACAAGCCAGGAACATCCAATGTGTTGCTCTCCATATGTTGTTGGACTGCAACTTCCATCATCCCCTGACCTTTGGCCACACTGGCTGGAGCTGATGGGAGTTGGAGTTCCGCGACACCTGGAGTGAGCTGCGCTGCCTACCCCTGCTTGAGGCCTTTCAGGTCAGCCCTGCTGGGAAATCCATGTTCATTCCGACCCTTGGTCAGGCCCCTCCCTCTCTCCCTGCCGGAGCACATGGGCAGTACTGACAGCAATTCCCCTTTGCTAATCCTCTGCACAGAGTCGCCCTCCAGCCGGGAGCCCACCTGCTTCGAGCTGCTGGCATTGGCTCAGATGCCACCCGATAGGCAGCGAATGGAGCTCGGACACCTGTGTGCCTTCTACACCCAGCCCTGCTCCCCCTCTGCTAGTCCAGCGGCTTGTGCCCATGCTGCAGATGAGAAGTGCAAGGCCAAGAGGCAGCAATGCGGTGAGTGGCATGGCAAGGACTGGCTGGGAGCAGGTTTAGCATGAGAACCCAGGCTATTGCAGCTTGTAAAGAATCATTTGCCTTTTCACCTGTGGCGATCACAATTCTCTCCAGGGGATCAGGCAGGGACATTAAAAAAAACACAACCACAGTTCTCTGCTGAACTCTGCTGAAATGAGACAAATGGTCCATACAGGTGTGCCTGGGGAGTCTAGTAAACATTTATGTGGGCAAATAAGTCCACCTGGGTGGGCTTTTCTTCAAGGTGGGGATAATTGGGGTGTGGGGAGAAGGCTCCCCATTATTGCACAAACCAGTATATGGTTGGAGTCTGCTCATATGAACACAGGGATAGCCGTCCACAGCAGGGAAAGTTATCTTCAACATTTCTGTCTCACCTCCCTGTGAAGTTATTCTCAAGGTGGCAAATCCAATGAGAGGCATAGACAACAAATCCAAAATTATAAATGGATTAAAAGAAGCTAAAATGATACAATAAAATGTCTATCAGTAGGAACACAATCAATATAAAAACAGCAGCTGCTGGAAACTTGTTTTCAATGGAAGCAACTATAAATGAGTGTTTTTAGGGGGAAGGTCTCAGCTGCCTGATGAGCTGTGATGGGGAGAAGTGAGCCTCCTCTGAGTAGGGGATTTCATGGCCCAGGTGCCACTACAGAAAAGGCTCGGTCCATCCATCCCCAGCTTGTTCTTTTGATCTGGAAGGAAGCAGGCATTGTCCTCATCAGATGATCTTAAAGGTCGGGTAGTTTCACATGGATGGAAGCAGTTCTTAAGATAATTTTTTTCCAGACTGTTCAGGGCTTTTAAAAGTCAGAACCAGCACTTTAAACTGAGCTCAGAAACAAACTTGGGATTATGATGGAAAAGGCTGGAAGCCTCTAAACTTCCCAGAGGTTTGATGGTTACCTTCCCCCATGCGGCGTCCATGGAGGAAGGCAGACATCAAGCCTTTGGGGAGTTCAGAGGATCCCACTCCTTCCCTCTATAATTGTGACCTAACACATGACTTGCATATTCTTCACGAGGTCATATCTGTGAGCTGAACTTCACCTCATGCTTTGAGAATTTCACGCGGTTGGTTTTGAGCGTTCTATCCCCCAAGGCAGCACTCGTGAGAGATCAGCACTTCATGCTTCCTTTGCCTAAAAGGGTGTCCCTGGGAAGCTATGTTTCTTTCCCATATACTCTGGCGCTCTGTTCGATGCCTTGTTTTGCTGAGGCTTAAAGCACCCCCAAAGTGAGCCAGACTGGATTCTTGGTGTCTTGCTGAGGGATCTCTGCAGCGCCATTGTTCTTCCCAGGCTGGGCGCTGGAGGCTGATTGTTCTGTGTGGCATTCCTGGGTTAATCAGGTCTACGTAAACACTTGTTTTTCTCCAAAGCATTGTTGGTTTTGAGGAGAGGCTTAGATCTGATCCCAGTGTCTTTTACGGAGCCCAGAGCCCTGTTGACAAAGCCGGTTCTCAGCTCGGGGACATACTGAGTGAGAGATTGAAAGGTCCATTATGAAGTTCCTGCTAATGTGCAATTATTTATTTTGTATAAAGCACGTTTACCCTGTTCTTCAGACACAGAAAAGGCTTCTTGAGTGCGTTGCAAAGACTGGCCGTAAGACAACCAGGACGGCTTTAAAAGAGGATTGGATAAATTCATGAGAGATTAGGTTGTTGGTGACTAGTAGCAATGATAGCATCTGCCCCATGATAGCTCTGTTGGTAGGGAATGAGACTCTTAATCTCAGGGTCATGGGTTTAAGCCCCACATTGGACAAAAGATTCCTGCACTGTAGGGGGTTGGACTAGATGACCCTCGTGGTCCCTTCCGACTCTACAATTCTATGATTCTGTGGTTGGCCACTGTGAGACCAGGATGCTAGACAAGATGGGCCTTTGGCCTGATCCAGCAGTGCTCTCCTTACATTCTTCCTAGCGTCAGAGCCCTTGTCCTTCCCATTCTCCCTCTCTCTCAAATTCAGTACAATAATATCCAATCATGTATACTATAAATGAAGAAATAATGAGCACAGCACATACGACATTATATCATGCAGGCACATTATGAAAATTGACCAATTCTGTATGAAATTCATTAGTTATTTGATTTCCTGCTTGTGATTTTATATAATGTTAATTTTACCATGAATGCCACATTCCATTCTGCTCCCCCCTCCCCCCCAAAAAACCCATTTAGAAACATAAGGGACAGGTTATTAGTTTTTCCAATTGCAGGTTATTTTTTAAAATTTTGCAGCTGATAATAAAATAGTTCCATACCGGATTCTTTTAAAGTAATAGCTTTTCAATCATGTAAAATAACAGTTTTTTGGACTGTAAGGAATTAAGCGTGATCTGTTCAGTGTCTCTTAGAAACGAAAGTGAATACCCCAAAGGGGCGTAATGGAAAAACTCGAGCCCATCTTCCAGGCACGTAGGGGCAAATGATAGATGATATGAAAAATGGATGATCACATTTTATGGCTATTTTTAAAAGACGTAGGTACAGCAGTGAGTGGCCAGTTTCCTGAGTGAAGCACGTTGGAATGAACTTTTAATCCCCACCTTGGTTGTGGTCTCAGTGAAAATCACAAACCTGTCAAGCAGCTAGTAGCTCTGAGAAGGAAGCATCAGATCATAGAATTACAGAGTTGGAAGGGATCCCCAAGGTCATCTAGTCCAACCCCCTGCAATGTGGGAGTCACAGCTAAAGAATTCCTAACAGATGGCTATTCAACCTCTGTGTTGTTGGTTGTTGGCATCCACCTGTCTCAGGAGTGCTCCTTTGTGGGTGAAGTCAAACCGTTGGAGAGTTACAGCGCCTGCTGTGGCTGTAGAGAACGATACGGGAGAGACAAGTTTTCTTGCAGCTGGAGCAGATGAAGGTGTCCGGTTGTGCTGATGCGGGTGCACCATGCATTCTTCCCTGCAGTCATTCCTCCTTTGGTCACTGCTGTGGATGCACCCCCTGACTGACTCTCTCCAGGCACTGTGGTTGTCTGCAAGGGATTCCCACATGGCGTGTTGAAGTTGCCAGCCTTTGTGTCCTGCTTGCAGACATCTCTGTAACGCAGAGTTGGTCTGCCAACTAGCCTGGGACCTGAACCCAGCTCCTCATAGAGCACGTCCTTAGGTATCCTGCCATCTTCCTTTCTGTGTGCATGGCATCTCCAATGAACCGATTGGGACCCATGATGGCAGCATGGGAGGCTTTCATTGGAGTCTTGCTCTTAGGGTCTTACAGGCAAATTAATTGAGGATAAGGCTGCCAATGGCAACTAGCCATGACAAACATTTCTCCCTCCACTGTTGGAGACAGTATACCTCTTGAATACCAGTTCCTCAGAATCAGAAGCGGGGAGAGTTGTTGTTGGGCTCAGGTCTTGCTTTTGGGCTTTTGAGCACAAGATATGGGACCAGATGAACCTTTCGTCTGATCCAGCTGCAGGGCTCTCCTTCTTGTGTTGCTCTTATAGCACTCTTAACTTGTTTTCCCCAGAGCTGCGCTCGTATGCTCAGACCTTGTTGGAGTTCCTGCGTCGGGCAGAGGAGTTTTTCCGCACTCAGATTGACTTCTCGTTCTTCACACACTCCCTCCCCCAGTTCATGGAGCAAGTTTACCACCACCTCTTCCCTCCTCGAGCACGCCAGGATTCCAGAGGTACTCCTTGGCCCATGTCTTGGGATGAAGACAGAATCAATATAAGGGATCTTGTAGCTCGGGTTTCACTGGTCTGTTGCACTCCAGAGGTTTGGACTACACAAACTATCAGCGCTGGCTGGAGCTGATGGGAACTGTGGTCCAAAACCTCTGGAAGGCTAGTGTTGAGGAAATAATGTAAAGGTAAAAAAAAAGTTAGGGACGCGGGTGGCACGATGGGTTAAACTATAGAACCTAGGGCTTGCCGATCAGAAGGTCGGCGGTTCGAATCCCTGCGATGGGGTGAGCTCCCGTTGTTTGGTCCCACCTCCTGCCAACCTAGTAGTTCGAAAGCACATCAAAGTGCAAGTAGATAAATAGGTACTGCTCCGGTGGGAAGGTAAACGGTGTTTCCATACGCTGCTCTGGTTCGCCAGAAGCGGCTTCATCATGCTGGCCACATGACCCGGAAGCTGTACGCCGGCTCCCTTGGCCAGTAAAGCGAGATGTGCGCTGCAACCCCAAAGTCGTCTGCGACTGGACCTAATGGTCAGGGGTCCCTTTACCTTTACCTTTTCTAAAAAAGGTAAAGGACCCCTGTACAGTTAAGTCCAGTCAAAGTTGACTATGTGGTTGCAGCGCTCATCTCACTTTCAGGCCAAGGGAGCTGGTGTTTGTCCACAGACAGCTTTGCGGGTCATGTGGCCAGCGTGACTAAATCGCTTCTGGCGCCATAATGGAAACCAGAGCGCACGGAAACACTATTTACCTTCCTGCCACAACGGTATCTGTTTTATCTACTTGCACTTATCTACTTGCACTGGCGTGCTTTCGAGCTGCTAGGTTGGCAGGAGCTGGGTCTGAGCAACAGGAGCTTACTCCGTCGCAGGGATTCGAACTACTGACCTTCTGATCGGCAAGCCCAAGAGGCACAGTGGTTTAGACCACAGTTCTATACGCGTCCCTACTGTTGAGGAAATATTGGGTTTCTGGCACACAGTATCTCCCATTTCATCTCCTTGCCAACTTCCAGGTTATACAAAATCCCAGACAAAGATGTTTTGCTACAATGCAGAAACCAAGCTGTGATGTCCATTGAAGTTCTAGTTCTTTAACAGCATGCATTTTTGTACGGCCAAAGAAATTTATAGTTTCACCCCATCGTCTCTCTATTCCAGGAAATGTAGCCCCTGCTGAATTTCTGCCTTTATATCCCTGTTCAAAGCATATAGACTGACTTTGTCAGGAGAAAATTTGCAATGCATCCTCTGCAGCAAATGATCCTAGACCTGAGGAATGCCTGTTGCCCCATTTCCGCTGCTGTTCATCAACGGAGTTTCATCCTCATACTCACCTTGGTCTTAATGGCTTGTGAGAGCCCAGAGCTATCTCCACCTGCAGCTGAAAACTACAGGAGCACAGTTCCTGGCCCTATTTCTACCCAGGGATAGAGAGTACCATCAGAACACATTATGACTGTCTTACGGCTAAAGTCCCTAACTGTGCTGCAGCCACCATAGGTGGGGAAGGGGCTCTTCTCCCCTACCCCAGACTGACACCCGCATTACCCCCAAGAGCAGGTTGCAGAGCCAGAGGCGGTCGTTGCCACAGGAGGTGGGCAAGAGAGCCTGCAGCCGGATGCCAGGAAAATGCAAAAACGAGAAGTTCAGACTTCGCCCAGGAGGTAAGGCGACACCTCTGTGTTTCTGTTGTCCTGGTGCCTTGCTTGTAGGCATAGTGGCATGGTGCTGGGTGCCAGAGTGGGAAGTTGTGCGTGCTTGTGTGTGTGTGTGTGAGGGAGAGAGAGAGAGAGAGAGAGAGAGACCTCTCTCCCATTAGAGCAGCCAGGAAGGGAAGCATACAGGAAGAGGATTCAGGGGAGCTACTGAGTTCTTCTCTGGCTTGGATTGTAACTTTTGGGGACCATGATGCTCGCTGGGGAGAGCATTACAGGTATCCAGCATACATTTTTTGAGTAGGGAAATACAAAATTCACCACTATTAATCAGGGAACAATACTATAACTGCTGACCTTCCGACCAGCAAGCCCAAGAGGTTCAGTGGTTTAGACCACAGCGCCACCCACTCTCTCATTTACCTGACTATAACTACAGAGAAAGATAGAGAGGCGGGAGAAAATCAGATTTGTTGATAGTTATTTACTGCACAGTCCTGTAAAAGAAATTGTTTAAAATCTCAAAGCGTTGGGGTTCTAGAGCTAATTGCAGTAAGCAGGCATACCAATTGTACTTTCGTATTGGCAAAGGGCAGGGAATGCAAGCAGAAACTCAGGTGGATCGTGCCCACCGGCCCACCTCTAATTCCACGTGTTTATGCAAACTCACATGAAGAACCTACTATACATGTGCACACTGTCTGTGCATAGACTAAGCCCATGTGTGATCTGCTCCCTAGATAATATCCAGACTGACAAAGGGTTTGGATCAACCCAGAAGCTTACTTGCAACTTCTTTTTTTGGGCCCCAGTAAAGGTGTTAAGCTGCTGTTCCTTTAGATTCTTACCATACTGTTCCTTTGATGTTAGAAAACCTTTCATTTCAAAGAGAGGTTGCATTGATAGTCATAGGAGAGGGGTCAGGGAAGAGATCTTCAAAGCCAGGAGGTGAACCTGGCCAGACTTCCGAAATGTGCAGCCTCCTTCATTTTTACTCAGTGACGGTTCACGGAAACACACAATTAGCTACAGAGAGAGGCAAAGAAGTAGGCTTCTGTAGGCAAGGGCTGTTCCGAACGCTCATCCTAGGGACCCCTCCAGGCAAGCTGTTTATTGAGAATCCATTGGTTTGCTTGCACAAAATTTGATGTGTTTAGACCCTAACACTCAGAGACACACCTGGGAGAGGAAGTACAAGCTGCATGGCAGGCTTGTGGGTGGGCGGCTCAGGAGCAGAGGTGCTGGGATAGAGATGGGCTGAGCACCCTTTTCCTTACTCAGTCTCTCTTTGCAGGCCTCCTCGGTCCACCCTCCCCTCCTTTGCCTCCTTGTTCCAGGGCACGGGGCCCAGTTTGGGCGACTGGGTGCAGGAGCTGAATGCCCTGGCCGGGGGCTCGAGAACCACAGCCGGCGGGGAGGAGCAGCTGTTCCTGCAGGTATGTGAATGGGTGGGGAGGGGAAGAGAGAGACAAGATTGGAGCAGCACTCTGACTGCAAAGGCAGACAGGAAGTCATAGAAAGAGGAGAGGGATATGGATCACAGTTTCAGTCAGCTTCGTGGCGTTACTCTCATTAGGCAGCAGGCCCAGGCCTACCATAAAGCAAAGACAAGCAGTTGCTTCAGGCGGGAGCTGCTGGGTGGCAGCAACAACATCCCACCACTATTCCTCCTGAGATCACCCACCTGTCACCCACCCCACAAATCAGTGGTTCTCAGAGTGGGGGTACGGCTCCCTGCAGGGTGATGGGATTGCCTGGGGGGGGGTGCTAAGAGGGAAGGGGAATGCGGGCACTGGAGGTGTAAATGACTATCAGAGTTTGAAAAGCTAGTATCACTCGATCAGGTCATCCATTCTGTTGAATTAATCAAACCAAATAGTTTTAACTGGGGTTTGATTGAATGTGCAATTAATTGTTACTGTTTTGAATTTTATTGTATTGTTATCTTAGTGGGTTGTGCAAACTTCTACTCTGTACAGTGGTACCTCGGGTTACAGACACTTCAGGTTACAGACACTTCAGGTTACAGAGTCCGCTAACCCAATAATAGTACCTCTGGTTAAGAACTTTGCTTCTTAGCAAAGAAGAAGCAGAAATCGCGCGGCAGCAGCGGTAGGCCCCATTAGCTAAAGTGGTGCTTCAGGTTAAGAACAGTTTCAGGTTAAGAATGGACCTCCAGAACAAATTAAGTTCTTAACCTGAGGTACCACTGTATAATGCTTTTTATAGGGTAGGAGGCACTTGAGATGAGTTTATGAAAGATTGGGAAGCACTGCCCTAAGCTAACTGCCAGGGCTTGAAGTAAGAGCCGACTGCCAGCCAGCCAGTGAACAGTCACTTTCTGTTCGTGCAACAGGAGTGGGAGGAAGCCTCCTCGTCCTTTTCCCTGGGCAGCAAAGTATCTTGGCTTTTCTCCCAGGGGACCCACGGTTCATTTGCAGCTTTCTGCTCCTCCCCCAATATAAGTGAGAAGCACTTTAGTGCCATTAATGCAGCGGTTTGACTTCACCCCTAGAGGCATACTCCATTGTCCCCCATGACAGACAGATGCCAGCAACAATAAAGCACTGGGGGAAGCTGCATTTAGGGCACTGACACAAATCGCCCCTGTGATGGCATCCAGATGGTTTTTGTGCAGCGTTTTACGTGTTGATGAAAGACAAAAGAATATCAATCAGTGGTGCAGTGAAACACCCCTTGTTTCACAGCTAAGCTGAGGAACAGGCAGATTACATCACATTAGCAAGCATGGCTAAAGGCTAAACCAACCCTTTTATTTTGGGAAGAAATAAAACCCCCAGTCCCTTCCCAATGAAAAAGCATGCAAGCTTTGCAGCCCAGCAGAACTCTTCACCAGGGTGGATATTCAGCAAAGCAGGGGAGTTAAAAATCCTGCTAGGGCTGCTAGGAGTCCAGAACATGCAGAGGACACCCAGTCTCTTTGTTCTCGAGGTCCTCCCATTATGCTCTTTCCAGTCATTGGCTCTTCTGGTTGGGAACCAGTCAGCCACTTGACTTGCCAGGCCACTTGCCAGCCCCAAACAGACCTATCGGCTCGCTCTGAGCTATCCCTCTGCCTTGTTTCCAAACACAGCAGGCAGATGGGGAGGTGAAGGAGCTGCAGGAACAAGGGTGGATCTTCCTTCAGCAGCTGCGAAGAGAACTGGGCCTTCAGGATGCTTCCCCCGAAGCTGGGACAGAGGAGGAAGACACCATTGCAGTCACCACCACTCCCCAAGGTCTTGCCTTGAATGGTATGGAATGGGCCATGGGGCAGGACCAGAAATGGGAAGGTGGGTGGGTGGCTTTGGGGCACTTGGAGGATGGTGTACCAGGGCAGTCAATCCCTAGAATGAATCAAGAAGCTTACACTGCAGGGGTGGAGGGAGGCCAGATCTTTACTTCCCTGCAGGCCAACGTTGGCAGGTGGGCAGCACCACCAGCCCGTCAATCTTCTGGTGTTATGATGGCCTGTGGTGGGGAAGGGTCTGCACCACTAGCGCATTCCTGCAGCGCCCAGCGGGATGGAACTCTCCGTTCACCAGCACATGGGCACTGTTTGGCCTGGAATGGCCCTGCTTTGTACTGGTCAGGGTTGTATACCGCTTTGCAAGCCCCATGGTCAGGGTTGTATACCGCTTTGCAAGCCCAATTTCAAATGCTGGTTTTAACCCATAATCCCTTTCACAACTGGAGACCCCAGTGTTTTACGGAGCACCTTGGATGGCTCAGTCAGAGCAGGAGACTCTTAATCTCAGGGTTGTGGGTTTGAGCAAAAGATCCTTGCATTGCAGAGTTTTGGACTAGGTGACCCTCATGGTCCCTTCCAATTCTATGATTCAATTAAAGCCTCATGAGCCTGCCCGGGCCTTCTGCATGCAAGGCATATGCTCTGACACTAAGCTGTGGCCCTTCCGTGAATTGGTCTGTGATGGCTTTTCATGCTTGGTTGTTGTTTTTTAATCAGTTCACATAATAACTGGAGACTTTCATAGTTGGCATCTAACAAATAAAAGAATAGCAATGATGATACCTATTCAGAATTCTACCCCGAGGAAACAGTGGAACCGCCTTTGGCAGAATTTCTCCACTTCTCCCTATCCGCCCTGTTTCCCTTGTTTCCCCTCCCCAGCTGTCCCCCCTCCTCTCTCCCCCCCTTCCCCTGTGCTAATTAGGATTAAGGAAAAAAGATCCCCTTGTCCAACCTTCACCAACCTGGTGCCCTCCAACTGCTGGCTGATGGGGAAGAAGAGAGACGGGTTATGAGCAAAGCAAGGCAGGCTAGCTTTGTTCTGTGACTTTTCCCGTAGCTTCTCCCCAACTCTTAAACCTTCACTTTCCCGTCTTGCTCTGTGGCAGACTCCCTGGCCAGCGAGGCCCACCCCCAGCGGGAAAAGCGCAGCCTTGGGAACGCAGGCCCCATTTGGGGAAAGGATGACACCTTCCCCCAAGGTAGGTTTGTCCCAAGCTTCCTCAAAACAGAAGGAGGGGAGGGGCCTTGGATAAAGGGGTGGGGCCTAACAGTGTATGGGAGGGAACGTCACCTGGTGGATCTAAGGGCAAAGCCTGGCAGCTTAGGATGGAGCAAAGAGGCCACATGTCCTCCTTTGCAGAGGAAAGTCCTCTATTTGATGGGCTGTCAGGAAGCCAGTCCTCTGTTTGAAGGGCTGTCCAGTCTAAGTCCAGTTTAAGAAGGTGAGCAATAGGGGCCTTGAAATTGCCCATCAGCAGGTAACAGCTGGTTAGCAGACGGATCAGCCACACAGCTCACCTGATTATAGTCTTCTCTACAGTGAGATATATTCCACAGGCAACGACCAGTTTGTGCACAGCTTACTTTCTGAAGCACTGGACGCTCACGTGAAATTTCGTATAATCGGAACACCCATTGAAAAAGCCCCCAGACACCCCATTCCGCCCATTTTGGTGACGTTTTTTGGTCCCTTTCAGGTTCAGTGTGATGCACGTATGCACGGTCTCACACATATCAGACATGCCTAAAACGGTCGCTGCCTGTATTTATTTTTAAGTTAGAGCAATTATTTCCAAATGTGCATGTATAAATATAAATCAGCATGGACAAGTATTTCGGAAGCTGCAAGGGAGCTATAGGCAGGGTGACCTTGGGGCAGAGGAAGGATCCCCCCCAACTCCCCCTCTGCTTTGCTTTCCCGACGAAAATTGTCCCCACCTGAAGCTGCCATTTGCCTTGGGAGGAAAGGTGCATCTCCAGAGACCAGCAGCCTTATCTCCAGCAAGAATATTCCCTTCTGCTCTGAAAGAATTTGCCTGTTCTCTCCCAAATCTTCTATCCACCTGCCTCCCACCCCTCTCCCCTTCAGTTCCTGCTGCAGGCTCCAGCTGCCGGGGCGTCAATGAATCTGCCCAGCAGGTCCGTTCCGTGCGTGAGATGCACCGCTGGATCCTTCAAGTGCCTGAGAGGGACCTCGCCATGACCTTCCAGGAGGTGAGGAGGAGGAATGAGAGGACCTGTCAGTTGTGGTTTCTTTCCATTCTCATTTGTGCTCATCTTAAATTCAGATCTCCCCATTCCCACATCAGTTTGCTGATCCGCCATACTGCCACAGTGCACGTGAAAATTCATGATGCTTTTTAGTGCAAATTCTGCCTAATATGTACACATTTTTGCAAGACAGTTTTCCCTAATATAATGCTCATAATATAATGATTGCCTTCCTCTGTACACATTCCAGCTTGTCAACATCCTTCTTAAATTGTGGCACCCGGAATTAGACACAGGACTCCAGGTGTGCTCTGACCAAGGCAGAATAGAGCAGTACTATTATTTCCCTCAATCTGGACACTAGACGTCCATTGAATAGCATCAGCTGCATTTGATGCATTGCTCCATCCTACTATGGAGGCCCAGCATAGCCACCAGGGCCAGTAGCCATTGATAGCCCTCCACTGCTGCCTTCAACGTCTTCGCCCCCCACTCACTTCCTTTACTCTGTGCTGCCGCCGCCGTTGTTTTCTCGCTTTACGCCTCTTTGTCCTTTTCTCCAATCAGATCCTCGTGGATCTGGGCTCCAAGAACTCCAAGGGCCTATACAGGGCACGCGTCCAAGCCACCGTTGGACACAGATCCACCTCCTTCACTGGTCTCGTTGGCCTGGCCAGCGACTCTCTGTACCGCAGCATGCCTGGCCTCATTGCCCTCGCCCTGGAGAGCCTGAAGACCTAACCTGGCTGCTCCTGGCAGCGGTTGGACTAAAAGGACGCCCTGCAAAACCAGAGGATGAAGGCACAGAGACGCCGCACACCCCTCAGTGAGGTCCCCGTCCTCCAGGGTACAATGGCCTGGGAGTAAGGAAGTGTGGCGCAGGTCTGCTGATCTGCCCGTGCAGGGATGAGGGGCCTTTCCTCATCCAAGGGCCGCATTGCCTTGTTGGGAACCTTCTGGGAGCCACATGCCAGCGGAAGGCAAGGATGGGCAGAAGGGAGCAGAGCAACAGACTCTACCTTTGTGCAGCTGGCTGCATTCCAGCCAGACAAAAACCAGAAGTTTATACACACACACACTCCATCCTTCCTCCAGGCAAACAAGAACCATTGTCAGTGATAAAAGACACATCCCAGCCAGGTCAAAACATTCAAAGAGGGGCAGGGCTGGGGAGGACTGGGATGGGAAGGAGGCATGGCTTAGGGGGAGGCCTGATGGCGAGGGAGATGAGCTTGGGGGGCAGCATTCAGCCTCTCCAGGCCTTGGGTTCTTCACTGTACTAGTCTAAGGGCAGCTCAGAGCACAAGCTAGTCTCTCTGCACCAAACCACATTCTGTTTTTCTTTTTCCATATGCTTAAACTGGGCACTTTTATTTTGATGAAAGAGCAGGCATGGGGCCCCAATCCAGAACATGTTCCTGGCCCAGATCAGGCCCTCTCACACCCCATGCCCTGCTGAAAAATCTGCCCCCTTCCAGGCTTCTGTTTACCCCGCAAGGCGCTGCTTGCAGGAAACAAATCCAGAGCGGACAAAATATCAGGTGATGATGATGGCAACTTTCAGGACCTGAGACCAGTTGAGGAGCAAGCCTCATTTTGGGGATGGGGGATGGGGGGGCAGTGTCATCTAATTGCGACTTTCTCTTCCAAATAAAAGCGGCAGGAGTAGAATGTGGAGGGACCCCCATTGTCTAAGAAAGTGTCTCTGGGGCTGAGGGTGGCCGAGTAAAAGCCTTGCATTATGGGAAATATATTTATTTGTACAAAGGCTTGTTTTTGTAAACAAATAAAATTATATTTTGTGGTATATCTTGTGGTGTGTGTTTTTTTAACCTTACAAAGTAACCGAAGCTTATCAACTGGAAATATTTTTCCCTCTCCTAAAAGAAAAGAGGAGGATAAGCATCCATATTCTCACCAACCTGGTGAAGGCCAGGCGCTTTGGACTGCAACTTCCATCAGCCCCTGCCAGCAAAGCCATCAGACTTCGGGTCCAGCGAGCTCTGTACTGTTTCCACTGGCTGGCAGCAGCTCTCTCTGGAGTTCTAAGATTGAGTTGCGGTAACTCATCATTAGGAAAAACAATATCGACAGGATTGGCTGAGTGTCAGACCTAATGAACGCAGAGAGCCAGTGTGGTGTAGTGGTTAAGAGCGATAGACTCGTAATCTGGTGAACCGGGTTCGGGTCTCCGCTCCTCCACATGCAGCTGCTGGGTGACCTTGGGCTAGTCACACTTCTTTGAAGCCTCTCAGCCTCACTCACCTCACAGAGTGTTTGTTGTGGGGGAGAAAGGGAAAGGAGAATGTTAGCCGCATTGAGACTCCTTTGGGTAGTGATAAAGCGGGATATCAAATCCAAACTCTTCTTCCTGGTGGATTTCCTCCATGAAAATCAGTTGCAGAGACTGAAAGTCCCTTCCTCCTCATAGCCATGTAAGTCTCCCCCTCTCCGGGGCTTTCTACTAGCAATCTGAGACTGTGCCTGCATGCAGCCAACCTCTCCACCACCCTTTTCATGCCTCCTCTGGGTCTGGGAGATGGGTGGGCAGGGGAGCTTGTAGTAGAAGGGGGAGACACACGTGACACTTCACTAGTCAGATCTATCTCTGCTTCCTGGCCGCCGCCTCCTGATTCTGGACTTCTCTCTGCCACAGACTCTCCCAGCTCACTAAGCCCTGTTACCCTTCAACTTCCGACAACCTCTCCCCATCTTCTCCCTATGACCACTCATTGTCCCACCACCACTCCCTGGGTGGGCTGTGAGCCACCTTCCCTTGGGGGTTCCACAACTAGTTCCTCCCACCATTTGTGTTCAACCATTCATGACTCCAGCCATAGGAACATCGAAACCTGTCTTATAGTGAGTCAGACCATTGGTGCATCTAGCTCAGTACAGTCTACACTGACCGGCAGCAGCTCTCCACGATGTCAGGCAGGGGTATCTCCCAAGCCAAGACTTATCTGGAGATGTTTGGGATTGAAACTGGGACATTTTGCTTGCAATGCAGACATGCCACCCCCTAGCTGTGGTCGTTCCCACACAACCTTAGCTCTGACCTCTGCTGCCCTGGACCCCTTCCTCTGCTGACACGTTTGGGATGTGAAACACAAGAGCAGTCAAGTACAACATTCCTAGAGTGAATATGTTTACACATGGGGACGAATGTTTGTCCAGCCAGCAGGTAAAATTCCTGTTTCCTTCTGGGCTGGGACTGACTTCCTCTGCATGTGACTAGAAGTGGGTGTGGCCTCACCTGTGCAGGTAATGACAAAAGGGCAGGGCAGCCATCTCTCTGACTACTTTTGTCGAAAAAGCAACATCTGCTTAGCCAAAGATGCTCTCTTGGCCTCCAGCCAAGAGAGGACAAAGTGATTGTCTCCGTATGAGATAGTTTCCAGGTGTATGTTACTTTTCTAAGATAAGTCTGCCTTCTGGGATCTGACTGTGAGCAGAATGTGAGTGAGTAAACTCTTTTTACACTTTTATAGAAGACTGTGTCGTGTCTTATCTTTTATGAGGGAATAAGGGGAAAATACCAGAACAGTTATTATAGAGGCTTTAGCGAGCCTGAGCAAACGCATCCGCTGTGAGTTTAAAAAGGGGGATGTTACTCTGCTAAATTGTGAACTTGTTAACACAAGTTGGAAAGGCTATAATCAGACAATATATCCTCTCCTGCATCCCTGAACATTCCCACAACATGCAGCCCCTGGAAAGTTGCCTGTTGAGAAACAAAACTCCTGACCTAATGGAGGAGGGGATGGAGAGCCTGACTCCCCAGCTGCCCAGGCGTTTCCTTCTTTTTCTGGCTTGGCTCAAGGGCAGCAGCTGTGCGATCGCATAACTCAGTGCTCAGAGATCTTGTTTCCACTGGGACAGGAAGCGACTGTCAGGGGAGCTTTGATGGATGAAGTGGACTGGACTCCTGCAGGGTGGAGAGTGGGGGGCTTGCTTGGCGCGGCAGGCAAGCTCATGCACTTGGAGCCTGCAAAGATGGCAGCGGGGACCCTGCTCCCACCCCAAAGAGCTTCCTTTCAAAGGCAGACGGGCTCTCGCATGCTTAATCTCACATCAGCAGAGCAGCCTAGTTAGCAGACTGTCAGGACTTGGGGCCGCTTTGCAGGAGAGCTACTGGATTTAAGTGGAATTGTCACACACAGAGACACATCCAAGCTTCAGGATCTTGGCCTCCCTGAGAGATTTCAGGGTGTGTAAAAATAGGGATGGGAAGAAATTGATCCAGTTCACCTTTAAAGGCGACTTCAGCTCATTCTCCAAAATACCTGGACCGAAATGCAGCCATTCTTTGACATTCCCACTTCTTTGAATTGCGATACAGTTCTCCATTTTGGTTGCTCTCAGTTTCTCCTTTTTCTTCATTTCAGTTCTCCCAATTTTTGCTGAAATTGGCAATTTTTTTTTTTATTTAAAAGAAACCAAAACATGATGGAAATTCCTCATTTAAGTGTAAAATTATCCCCATAAACATATTTTTGTGTGCAGTTGTGACTAAAGCAATTTGCCTTTATGTAATGCTATGTGCCTTTTAATGCACACTTTCCCCTAAAATTGTTCGGTTGAAGAGCGAGTGCAAATTTCAAACAATAGCAGTGTTTCTGGTGACATTGGTTTGAGGAGTGCAAAATAGGCAGTTTCTCGTTCTACCCATTGGGAGCAGAGCCACTGTGAACTTTTTGTTTAAGTTTTGAACTTGCATGCAAATAAGGAATGAAGTTTAATAATCGGCCTCAGCATCATTTGGAGGCACCTGTTTAAGGACATAAGAAGGGCCCAAACGGGGCCCACCTAGTCCAGAATCCTGTTCTCACAGTGGCCAACCGGATGCCTGTGAGAAACCTGCAAAGTGAATCCGAACACAAGACCATCACATATGATAAAAAGAACCTTCTTTCTCTTTACATTTCCAACACTTGTTTGATTTAGATTTATACATTTTTGCCAGCTTACTCAGTGTTAGATACCAACGATATATCATTTTCATATAATTTTCTCTTAAACCATAACATGCGGTACATTTTATATCCCTATTCCACAATCGTTCCTATGGAAACTGCTCCATTTCTGCCCCCCAAACTGGTCCTGCAACTCCATTCCACCTGATACCCCATAGTTTATTAATAATAATAATAATAATAATAATAATAATAATAATAATTTATTATGTATACCCCGCCCATCTGGCTGAGTTTCCCCAGCCACTCTGGGCGGCTCCCAATCAAGTGTTAAAAACAGTACAGCGTTACATATTAAAAACTTCCCTGAACAGGGCTGCCTTAAGATGTCTTCTGAATGTTAGGTAGTTGTTTATCTCTTTGACATCTGATGGGAGGGCGTTCCACAGGGCAGGCGCCACTACCAAGAAGGCCCTCTGTCTGGTTCCCTGTAGCCTCACTTCTCACAATGAGGGGACCGCCAGAAGGCCCTCGGCGCTGGATCTCAGTGTCCGGGCTGAATGATGGGGGTGCAGACGCTCCTTCAGGTATACAGGACCAAGGCCGTTTAGGGCTTTAAAGGTCAGCACCAACACTTTGAATTGTGCTTCACCACCTTCACTGGTTCTGATTTAAAGGAGAGGTAGAGCTGGGTGTCATCTGCATACTGATGAACACCCAGTCCAAACCCCCTGATGATCTCTCCCAGCGGCTTCATATAGATATTAAAAAGCAAGTTTGGCCACAGCACAAAAACTACACCTTGCCTACTGAAGGGTCAGGCTGGGATCGGGGTGCTTTGCCCCTCTGCTGGAGCCCCCCACGTGGGGCAGCTCAAGCCCTGCCAACTCTTTGTCCCTCGTTTACCCGGAGCAAAACATCCCTCTTGGCTCAGAGCAGGGAAGGAAGGGATAGATTTGCTGCCTCTTGTTCCTCAGTCTGGCAGCTATTTTCGAACTCTCCCTCTGCCTGCCCCTGCCAGCCTTGCAGCTGCCACCATCCGTCCGCATTCCCAAGCCACGGTCCCAGCTTGGACTTCTGTCCCCTTTGGAAAAAACACACACGGCTGAGGCATTCAGAGGGGGAGTTGGGCACGGAAACGGCAAAGGCCACCCGGGTGCCAACATGGACAGGCGGACACTCGCTCTGCTCTGGGTTTTCATCCTCCCAGGTAAGGATGCAGCTGCCTGCCAGAGCCTGCAGACTTGGGCCTAGTGGGAGAAGCCGCAGGAGGTGCTCCCAGCAAGAAGGTGGCTTCCAAAGCTGGGAGACTTGGAGGTGGATATGCGGAACGGTTCACTTCTAGTGAGGAGTCCTGGGGTTCAGGCTATTGGCATCAACAGGAGGGACAAGGAAGGACTTTTATGCCCCTTCATGCTATCTATCTATCTGTCTGTCTGTCTGTCTATCTATCTATCATCTATCTATCATCTATCTATCTATCTATCTATCTAATCTATCTATCATCTATCTATATTTCAAGTTTATACATTTCACTAATTTTACATTCATTTTGACATTTCAGAACTTGACCTCCTTCCCCCTCTTTCTGCAGTTCCTTAAATTTGTTTTTAACACATTCTGCATATCCAAATGAACTTAATTTGCTCATTTATTCATCTTCTTTAAATATATACTCTTATGAAACTGCAGGTTGTTACAATAACCCTGCCAATGTTTTTATCTGTTTATAATTTATCTGTAAATATTCAATAAACCATTTGCATTCTTTTGTTTAAAAAATTGTTATCTTGATTTCTTATTCTTCCGGTAACTTTCGCCATTTCTACATATTCCATAAGTTTTTGTATCCATTCTTCCTTTACTGGGACTTCCGCTTCTTTCCATTTTTGGGCAAGTAACATTCTTGCCGCTGTGGTAGTATACATGAATAAGTTTCTATACATTTTAGGTAGTTCTCTCCCTATAATTCCCAAAAGAAAATCTTCTGGGGTTCCCCCCCCCCAAGGTTATTTTTAACATCCTTTTCATTTCATTATATATCCCCCCTTCATGTTAAACCAGAATAAGCGTCCAGCATTTATTGAAGCTGATAGATGAGGCAAAACCCATTTTCTATTCCCCAAAATTCTTGTGGATACTTATCTTTCATGCCTTCTTAGAGAAAGGCATATTCTTGAACCTGGAAACTTCTTACCAGATGGTGGAGACGAGGAAGGGCTTTGGGCACTCTGCGTTTGCTCAGGGCAACTCTTTTTTTCTCATATTTCATGCTCCAGCGCGGGCGTTCAAGCACAGAGAGCATTCAAAGAAAAGGGGGGTTGTTGTATTGCAGCTGCCTTGACTCAAAAGAGGGGCAGAACCAGAGGGATATTGCATCCAGGTTCAGCTGAAGGGTTAAACTGAGAGCTGATGTGATGTAATGGTTGGTGTGTCAGACCAGGACCCAGGAGACAAGGGTTCGAATCCCCACTCGGCCAGAAAGCTCTGTGCAGTCTCTGTGTGTGGTTTGGGAGCTGCACAGTCAGGGAAAAAGCAATGCTGACCAGGGTTGTAAAGACTGTGGAGAGAATAATTGGGTGCACTCTTCCCACCTTGGATCAAATCTATGCTTCCAGGTGCCATATGAAAGCTGCAGAGATAGTGCAGGATAGTGCGCACCCCGGAAATTATCTCTTTCAGCTTCTGTCTTCTGGAAGAAGGTACAGGGTTATAAAGGTACAGGACTAGCCGCCTGAGAAAGAGTTTCTATCCAAATGCGATTTTGATTTTAAACGCAGTGTAAGGAGTCTCTATGGGTGTATATTGTATTTAAAAATGGGGTATCAGAGTTTTTAGGGGGCTAACCAGGCTGGGATAGCTGGGATAGCAGGCTTGTTGGTTTTTGAATGTCTTATGTAGATTTTTTCAATTTCGTTGTTCTGTATGGGACAATGACAATAAAGATTATCGTATTGTATAGTATTGTAGCTCACAGGGTGACACTGTCTCTCAGTCTAGCCTACCTCAAAGGGCTGTTGTGAGGAACTCTTCCTACTGATGTCAGCCAGGCCCCGTCACTGCACCGTTTTCGGCACATGCCAAAAACATTTTCACTTAGACAAGCCTACCCAGGTGGCGTGCTCTGGTCCGTGGGGTCATGAAGAGTCGGACACGACTAAACAACAACACCCAGGTGTTCCGAAAGCTGGTGCGAGTTCTAATCTGTTTCTAGCCTACTGTTATTTTAGCAAGTAGATAAATAGGTACTGCTCTGGCGGGAAGGTAAACGGCGTTTCCGTGCGCTGCTCTGGTTCGCCAGAAGCGGCTTAGTCATGCTGGCCACATGACCTGGAAGCTGTATGCCGGCTCCCTCGGCCAGTAAAGCAAGATGAGCGCCGCAACCCCAGAGTCGGCCACGACTGGACCTAACGGTCAGGGGTCTCTTTACCTACCTTTTTAAATCCATTTTGGGGGGAGGTATTGCCTTGTTGTTTTTTTATTATGCATTTTTGTGTGTTTTTGTTGTATTTGTGTGTGTGTGTGTGAACCACCCTGAGTTCTACAGATGAAGGGCGGTATACACATTTTAATAAATAAAAAATAAAAAATAAATGTCTGAGCTTGCAGGAAGGCTGATGAGCTGGAGCAAGGCTCTGCCCCTTCTTTGGCCAGCTCCTGGGATGAACCACCGCCAAAAAGGGTCCATCTGAGCTCCCCCTGCTTCTCTCCCCTTCCCTCCAGCAACCCTGGGCGTGAACATGGAGGAGAAGCTCATCAAGTACCTCTTTGAGGAGAATGGCTACAACAGTAAACTGCGGCCCGTTGCATCCAAGGATGAAAGCGTCACCGTCTCCCTGGCGCTGACCCTCTCAAATCTCGTCTCCCTGGTGAGCCCACCTTCCGGGATCCGTCAGCAACTGCTCACCACTTGTTGTCTTACATGAAGAGCGTAAGAGCCCCTCTGGATTAGCCCCCAAAAGGCCCATTTGGTCCAGCCTCCTGTTCCCCCACAGGGCCAACTGGATGCCTTTGGGAAGCCCATAGCCCCTCTCCACATCTTGCATTCGGATGTTGAAGTGAAGGACATGAGGCAGGAGTTGGTAATGCAGGTGAGCTGTGCACAAGCAAGCTGCCAGCTAGCTCTGCTGAGGCTCTTTTTATTAGCACAATATGCAAAACCAGTCAGATACATTTTGGACTGTGCCCTTTACATCTTCCAATCATGCGATCGTGGGGTGGTACAAAGTTATTTTGGCACCTGTTTCCACCACGTCACTTTCCCCTTGAACAATGAATAACGAAGGAGACAAAGGTCACAGACAGGGCACGGCAGAAAGCTAAGAGAGCAAAGGTTAGATAGAGGGCATGATGTTCAGACAGCTGTGGCTTGTCTGCGGGCGGAAGTGTGCTCCACACCCGGCGGTCATTCCTTCAAGAGGTACACTGCTGCGGAACATGGATGCTCCATTTCACTGTTGTGGCTAGAAGCCGTTGGTAGACCATTGGTAGATGAATTCATAAAGATGAATTCACAGTCAGAGACAGCGATGCGTCTGAATGCCAGTCGCTGGAAACCACAGGAGGTCTGTGCTTGGATCCTGCTTGTTCCCTCAGGCATCTGGCTGGCCAATGTGAGAACAGGATGCTGGACTGGAGAGACCATTGGCTTGATCCAGCAAGGTTCTTATTTTGTCCAAGCTCTGGTTTAAAACCATCTCAGGCAATGGCCATCACCTCAGGGCTACTGTATCTGTGTCCTGTGTTGCAGATCCTGTCCTGCTGGTTAGATCATATAATCCCCAAAGCCCGTCCCAATTTTACAATTGCAATCCCCATAAATTTATTGTGTGCATTCTGAAGAACCGTTGCCTTTCGTCTGGGGTAGATGGACCAACGGTTTGCTTTGGTGTGGTGCAATTTCCTGTGTTCCTGTTCCCCTCTCCTTCTCCTTCTAATTGGAGCAGCCTAATTTCAAAGCCTCAGCATCCTCTGTGACAAAAGCGATGGTACCCAGGGCCGTCTTTAGTCTATGTGGCGCCGGGATGCAAAAACTGGCCAGCGCCCCCAATTTTGGGGGGGCAGGCCAAAGTTGTTGAGCCTTTTTTAGGGGGGCAGCTCAGAGTTGTTGAGCTTTTTTGGGGGGGGCACGCAACACTCTCCCATGCCGCTGGGTTTGATCCTCCCTTATTGTGTGTTATTGCAGAAAGAGGCCGACGAAACTCTCACCAGCAATGTCTGGATTGAGCATGTGAGTAGCAGAATGCCCCTGCCAGCTCCTCCAACCCAAATCAAAGCCTGGTCATTGAAGTTTGTGTGTGTGTGTGTTGGTTCTCAAACTTAATCCATTCCGGAAGTCCATTCCAAAACCAACGCGTTCCAAAACCAAGGTGCACTTTCCCATACAAAGTATGGGACGCTGGCCGCTTGTGGCCCATGGGCCTTAGGTTGCGGACCCCTGACCAAGACGTTTGAGAACCAAGGTACTACTGTATATCTTCATTACTTCCAGCTGAGCTAATATGCTAATTTGAACTCCTGATTCGTGGCGCATTAGGCTTCTGTTTTGAGGGTGTAACTTCATTGTTGATCTCACGCTGTTTGCTGCTGTGAATTTTCTCTATCTCTCTTAACGTTGGCATTATAGAATTTTTTTTGCAGGTAATTAAAATAAAGTAAATCCCCGCAGGAGTGGATGGACTACCGGCTGAAATGGAATGAGACAGAATTTGGGGGCATCAGTGTGCTCCGCCTGCGACCAGACATGCTGTGGCTGCCTCAGATTGTCCTGGAGAACAAGTGAGCACCAGCTAAGTCGCCCTTAGGGTTGCCAAATCAGTGGGACCACCATGCTCCTCTGCTTTCTGAGGCAGCTGGCTCTGCAGGACCTTAGCGGGCGATGTCTCCCTCCAGGCTGGTTCTTTCCTACATGGGCTGCAGGGCAAGGGTGGCATGTCCTGTGTTGGCACCAGAGGCAAAATGGGAAGTGCTGACCGGCCCTACCATTGCCGCACAATCTCCACGGTCAGAAGCAACGCCGTTTTCCAGCGAGATCACGCCGAAATCTCACAATATCTTGAACGCCCCACGAGATCTTGCAAGATTTGTGGAATGCTCCCCCTAGGGAGGTTCGGCTTGTGCCATCGTTATACACTTTTAGGTGGCAAGCAGGCCTTTGATTAATAATAATAACAACAGCAATAATTTTGTTATTCCTACCCTGCCCATCTGACTGGGTTGCTCCAGCCACTCTGGGCTGCTTCCAACATATATAAAAACATAATAAAACATGACACATTAAAAAGCTTCCCTATACAAGGCTGCCTTGCATAGCGATTAACATCTGATACCCTTTTAAATGTGTTTGTGAGAGCGGGTGGTCGGAATGGGTGGGATATTCGTTTGTCTTTGTTTAGATTATGCATTTTTATATTAGTATTTTTATGCTGCGGACCTCCCTGAGATCTACGGATGAAGGGGGCGGTATACAGATTTAAGAAGTAAGAATAATCGTCCTGGAAATCGGCACCAAAGCAACTTCTCCATTGGTGGGGGGGGGTTACCCATGGGGGGGAAACACCTCAGGGACTTCCACCAACTGAGATGGCAGCTTCACTTCGCCTCCTGGGTGGGCCAGGTCTGGTTTCGGGGGAGGACAGAGGCCACGGTTCCACGTGGAGAGCAGAAACGCCTGCATGGACGGGAGGATCGCCTTAGCTTGGCGCAGGATCCCGCCCAGTGTCTCTGCGTCCCCCTGCTTCCTGGGGGCCTGCCTTGCCTCAGCAGACAGGAAGCAGTTCCCCGGGAAGGACGATGCCCTTCTCAGCCCACGGCTCCCTCTCCCTTTGCAGCAACGACGGGACCTTTGAGGCCACCTACGAAGCCAACATCCTCCTCTCCTCGGACGGCAGCGTCTACTGGCTGCCGCCCGCCATCTTCCGCAGCGCCTGCCCCATCAACGTCAACTACTTCCCCTTCGACTGGCAGAACTGCACCTTGAAGTTCACGTGAGGAACCTCCAGCCCCCTTGCTGGGCTTCTTCGGCGCGTGCGGTTGGGTCCCTAGAAACTGCCACATGGCTCATTCAGTAGAGTGCGAGACTCTTCGCCTCAGGGTCGTGGGTTCGAGCCCAGCGCTGGGAGCAAGATTCCTGCACGGCAGGGGGTTGGACTAGATGACCCCCGGGGTACACCTTCCAACTCTACAGTTTTATGATTCTATTATTCTGATTCACACATTTTTTGGCAAACCATTTCCCCTCGTATGATGCATTTTCAGATGGTAATATACGTATTGCTATGCTCGCTTTACCCTGTCAAGTGCACACTCTCTCTGTTTTGGTACACATTGATCACAGAATTGGTTCCCTTTAATACAGGCACGTCCAACTCCCCAGAGACTGTGATCTACTCCCAGTATAAAAGAATCTGGCAGTGATCTACCCATTGTCATTGGAGGGAGGAGGAGCATGGGGGGGTGGATAGACTGCCCAGAGTTGTTGAGCTTTTTTATTTTTATTTTTTTAGGAGATCCTGCAATCTACCAGGATCAGCCAGGGATCTACCGGTAGATTGCGATCTACTGGTTGGACATCCCTGCTCTAATTCAACCCCTTGTATTGCAGGAGTCACAGCTATTGAGGTCTGGGGGGTCGCTGGGCCTGAGGTTCCCATGTGTGTGTGGGGGGGTGGTTAAAGGCTTCAAACAGACCGTCCGTCGGTTTTATGAAGTTTGCTTGGTGGGGCAGAGACGGTTCAAAGGCATCCGTGGAACCTTCTGCCACAGGATTCTCTGCTAACTGGCTTTCCGCCTGCCTTTCCCAGCTCTCTGATGTACAGTGCCAACGAGATCAACCTGGAACTAATGTCGAAGACAGACGAAGAGACCAATAAGTTGTACGTGGTGCAGTGGATCATCATTGACCCGGAAGGATTCACCGGTAAGTGGGGGGGAGGGGGGAATGTCCTCCTATAGGGGGGTCAGCAGCGGTGGGAGGAGGTCTCCCAACCCATGCCCTTTCAAAGTTGTAGGGCAGAAAACCATCGTCCTCAATGGCTGGGGGAAGATTATCCACCCCATGGGCTGCATTCCGATCTGGGCAACATGCCAAAGGCCACGTGTGGGCGGTGGGCGGGGCTAGAGGCAAACTGGGCGGAGCAATGAGTGCAATTTTCACTTTTGTACAGCAGCAGTGCCGGATTTATGTATAAGCTAAACAAGCTATAGCTTAGGGCCCCGTACTCTTGGGGGTCCCCAAAAAATTTAAAGGAAAAAAAAGGTGGATGTACATTTCCACAAGATAAAAAACAAATAAAATAAAACCTACATACAGCAACAGTGTTTTGTGTTGTGTGGGCTCCTGTGATGTAAGTCATGGGCCCCGCCTGCTAGCCTGCTCCCTAAAATATCACTGGTTTGCTCATTTCTATATATAGGGTGCCTACATTCTGCATGCACTGGTGGCATGGCAACATGTAGCATGCAGCTGTAGACTGCAGGGCAGCACACTTGAATGTAGGTCAAGCTGTTGTACCTGTTATCTAATATTAAAGAGTGCTTGTAGATTGATGATCAGGCAGCGTAGACTAAGGGTATGAATCTTATGCCTACTGATTGATTTCATGTAATACATAATTTATTTATTTTGATCCCATTATGGCTTTAGGTACCTATTAGGTCCATAAATTACCATATAGCATACAGCGGGTGCTTGGGTTGCGAACGTGATCCATGCAGGAGGCACCGCGTCTGTGCACGCGCGGGTTGCCATTCAGCACTTCTGTGCATGTGCAAGCGCCAAAACCCAGAAGTAACCTGTTCTGGTGCTTCTGGTTTCAGCGCAGTGTGCAACCCGAAATCGCGCAACTTGAAGCGTCTGTAACCCAAGGTATGACTGTATATTCAAAAAAAGCGACAATTTGTTGTTGACAAAGGACAGCTGGACATATAAAGGGCTCATCCAACCTGAATCCGGCCTTGTACAGTAGGCTAGTTTCAACACACCAACATACCTTTCTCTCCTCCAGGCAGGCATTATCAGGGTTCAAGGACACATCTCATTCAGGGAGAAGCACCCAAGGTGGGCATGAAGGCGGGCCAGGAGAGGGAATGGCAATGGAGAAGGGTGTGGCATGGGTAAAATTTCAGGGGCCAGAAAGAGTGGCTTGGAGGGCCTGAGGTTAGACCTTTCGGTTAGAGAATCCTGGGACCTGTAGTTTACCCTCTCACGGAGTATAATAATAATAATAATAATTTATTTATACCCTGCCCTTCCTGGGCTCAGGGCGGCTAACAACCAATTTAAAACACTTAATTGTAAAAGCAGCATAACATACAGTATAAAAACATTAATAATAATAAAATTCAAAGTTCAGAAATCAATTTAGGGGAAATCCATCTAATAAACACTAGATAGTCACCAGGGCTAGATGGCTGAATTAGTCCTACTTGGGCCAGCGAGGAGACCAGGGGACTCTGTGGGGTCCCAGAGCGGGTAATCTTCATAAAAAGGGACGGGGAGGGAAGGAAGGGGAATAAAAGATCAGGCTGAATTCAAATTAATGGCCAGGTGGAAGAGCTCTGTCTTACAGGCACGGCGAAAGGAGGTTTAATCCTGCAGGGCCCTATTCTCATGGGACAGAGCATTCCACCAGGTCGGAGCCATCACTGAAAAGGCCCTGGTGGAGGATAGTCTGGCTTCCTTAGGGCCTGGGACCTCTAAATTATGGTTATTCATGGACCTTAAGGTCCTCTGCAGGGCATACCAGGAGAGGCGGTCCCGTAAACACGAGGGCCCTAAGCCACAATGTGGCAGCACCCTTAATGAAACTACATCTCCCAGCATTCTCTGGGAGAATGCCAAATGTCCACCCTGCCTGCCTCCCTCCTGGTTCATGGGCCTTGTGAATCTGTCCCCCTCTCCTTGAATGCTCACGACACCCCTGTTAAGAGCTTGGGAGTAATTTTACTTATCAGCGCTCAGGGGAGTCCCCGAGTTTCAAGACAATAAAGCATTAAGACAGCACTTTGCAACCACGGCCCATCAATACAAAATAATAATTCCTTGCATTTATGTGGAACTTGCAGAGCGTTCAAAGCGCTTTCTCACAATTATCTTGTTGTGATCCTCACAGCATCTCCATTTGGCAGATCCAGTAATAGCACGGTAATTCACCCTCTTTCGGATCCAATTCGCTGCGTGCCGTCGCTTTGTGTAGCTGGCGGGGGGCAGGGGGAGAAGGGATGGGATGGAGTGGCTGGAGTCCTCAGCAGACGTGCTGAAGCTTTTTTGTTGCAGGACTCCCATCTGCTAACCTCATTGCAGATGAAGGCTGAGTCAATAACCCCTCAAAAATCAACAGTAGAGAAGAGATGGTTTGATCTTCCTGCTCGGTTCATGTTTGCACTGGCTCGGCCTCTCCTACCTTGAAAATGTCCCCTTGAGCATATGCATAAAGAGATTATTGTGGACTTTAGGAAATGTAAATTGAATATTCAGCCACTCATTATTGAGGGGAAGTGCGCGGAACAGATCTCGGTGTTTCGATTTCTGGGAATGGAGTTAAGAGATGACCTAACCTGGGGAGAAAACACTAAAGACCTGATGAAGAGAGCACAGCAGAGGTTATATTTTCTGAGAATCCTCCGGAAAAATAATCTCTCAAAGGACCTGTTGATGGCATTTTACCATTGCACTGTTGAGAGTGTATTAACTTATGGTCTCTGTGTGTGGTTTGGGAGCTGCACGGCCAGGGGAAAACAATGCTGTCCAGGGTTGTAAAGACTGCGGAGAGAATAATTGGGTGCACTCTTCCCACCTTGGATCAAATCTATGCTTCCAGGTGCCATAAGAAAGCTGCAGAGATAGCGCAGGATAGTGCGCACCCCGGAAATGATCTCTTTCAGCTTCTGCCTTCTGGAAGAGGGTACAGGGTTATAAAGACTAGGACTAGCCGCCTGAGAAAGAGTTTCTATCCAAATGCAATTTTGGTTTTAAACGCAGTGTAAGGTAGTCTCTATGGGAGTATATTGTATTTAATTATGGGGTATCAGAGTTTTTAGGGGGCTAACCAGGCTGGGATAGCAGGCTTGTTGGTTTTGAATGTCTGATGTAGATTTTTTCAATTTCGTTGTTCTGTATGGAACAATGACAATAAAGATTATCTTATTGTATCACACATTACTCTGGATGTCAGGACTGGACGCCTGCCCTCACATCCATTTTGAACAGAGGAGCTTCTCTCTGTGGCTGTGTGGCACTGGCTGATGTAGGTGCCTTTTTTCACTGGTGGTGGGGATGCCTGTCTCTTTTCCCTAATCTTTTAGATGTGGCGGCCATTTTGTATTATGCTTCGCCTCATCAGCAGCCATATTGTGCCCCTCTACATTTCGACAGCAGCCATATTGCGACTGGCACCCTCCTGGCACTTTCTCCAGATTCCAAAATGAGCCCGCTGGCACAAAAAAAGATTGAGGAGAAAGGAGTAGAGAGGTTTTGTCCTTCTTACCTACAGCCTTGTACATAGTAGGGAGACGCACAACCAGACACACAGAGGGAAGACTTCCTCAGAACCACGCAGCCAACCAGAGCATGTGTTACCTCAATGGAGATTGTGCCACTCCAACTGGCTGCTAAGCAACACCGCCATCTCCCTCATGGCTCGTTGACTTTAACATTAACAGAATTAAACTTTAAGTTGCAAACCGAATTAACGCTGCTGCCGTACTTCCAATGGCTAGGAGCCCTCTCCATTCTGGGTTCCTGTGAACTGCGACATACTCTCTCTCTCTCTCTCTCTCTCTCTCTCTTTCTCTCCCCCCTATCCAGAGAATGGCGAATGGGAGATCATTCACAGGCCGGCCCGCAAAAACACTGACCCAGGCGCCCCTCGCGACAGCAACAAGCACCAGGACATCACCTTTTACCTCATCATCAAGCGCAAGCCCCTTTTCTACATCATCAACATCGTCACCCCCTGCATCCTCATCGCCTTCATGATCATCCTGATTTTCTACCTGCCTGCTGACTGTGAGCAAAATCTAACCTTCAAGTCCAACCCTGTATGCAGCCACCCCAGACAGGGATCGAACCTGTAACCTTGGCATTATCAGCACACTACTCTCACCAACTGAGCTATCAATATCGAAGCATGTGCCAATGAGGGTGGGATGTGTAGCACCAGTTCCGGGCTCAATTTGAAGTTCCGGTTTTATCTCTAGAGAATTATGTGGCTCAGGACCCCAATGCCTCAAGAATTGCCTCTTGAACTGACCCAGATCCTGCAATCATCATCTGAGTCTCTTCTCTGTCTTCCTCCTCCATGGGAGGCCCAGAGGGTGGCGATATTCTAGAAGGGCCTTTTTAGCGGTGGCTCCCTGTTTGTGGAATACTTTCCCCAGGGAGCCACACCTGGCACTATCTTTCTCTATCTGCAGGTGCCAGGCAACTTATTCTTTATTTTTACCTTCTCCTAGCCTTTTGACCCTTAATTTGAAGGCTCTCAGGTATTTGGAGCCTATTTTAGTGGGGCAGGTTCCACAAGGCCTGTCTTCTACCTGCACAGGTGTGCTTTGAGTTTTCATTGCTCCTGTTTGTTGCAGTTGATTTCAGCACTCATAATATTTGTGTGAGTCTCTATGTCTTGCTTCCTAGAGGAAAGTGGCTAATAAACTCCCTTCTGCTCCTCCTTTCGTGCCTTCCAGGTGGGGAGAAGGTGACCCTGGCCATCTCCATCCTGCTGGCTCAGTCTGTCTTCTTGCTGCTGATCTCCCAGCGTCTCCCAGCCACCTCCTTAGCCATCCCTCTCATTGGCAAGTAAGTCTTGCTCTGCCTGGAACACTATCTTGGAGGACTAGGCTATCAAGGTCTAAGAGCCGTGATGGCTACACTCTCCCTCTTGAACCTCCTGATCTAGCAGCTAGCCTTTCCTTGTGTTCTCAGCCTGCTTGTCCCCTTGTGATCCTTATGATTTTGCATTCTCCCCCTTCCTTGTTCATTCAGATTATTTCCATCATTCAGTATGAATTGTGCAGCTGCCTGGAAGGCTCTTGAATGGGGCAGCAGCTGTGCAGGGTGCCATCATTTGAAAACATAAATATTGCGCCAGGGACCGTGCTGAGGAAGGCTGCACTGAGGAAGAATGGTGGGAGCTACCCCCTCACCCTTGATCCTGAATCTTCCCAGGAGCAGGAGGACAGTATAGATTTGGAACAGTGGTTTGCAGAGGGGCATAGTTCCGAAGGCAGAAGCTGGGAAATACTGGATGGGGAACAGCTAGAATAAGAACAACTGGGAGAGAGAGGGTTAACAGATTCACAGTCTTTGGGTAGCATTCCTCCACCGCCCTCCCCAAGGTCAAGAAGAGCTCAGAAAGTCTCAGAACAGAAAGCGCAGAGCGTACAAGCTCAGATTACAAGACGTAGGAGTGACGTAGATTAATAGGGACAGAGCGGGGAGTAACCCTTAATTGGGAGCACCGCCATTTCTAGGGAGACGTGTTCTTTTGTCTCTCACTGTGATTATTAAAGAATCTAACCGGTAAGTCATTCCTTTCGTTTGATCTTAGTATTCACTGCCATGGGCGAGGAAGGCGATTCCCTGAAGCCTGACATATTGGCCCCCATTTCTTTCAAATGCACCTTCTGCCTCTCCCCCCTTCCCTGGGCAGGTACCTGCTTTTTGTCATGCTGCTTGTGACTGCCGTGGGGGTAGCCATCGTCACAGAGCTCAACATCCATTTCCGGACCCCCAGCACCCACATCCTGACCGACTGGACCAAAGAGGTGAGCTGTGAGGGCCGGGTAACAGGGAGGGGGTGGAGATGTGTAAATCCCACATACCATGCACCCAGGAAATACCGCCAGTGTGGCAGTGTAGCATAGTGGTTGGAGCAGGACCTCTTGTAGACCAGGGTTCAAATTCCCACTGGGCCGCAAAGCTGCTTATATCCACTCAGACCATCTATTGCCTACACTGAATGGCAGCAACTCTCTGGGTCTGAGCAGTAATAATAATAATAATAATAATAATAAATTACTTATAACCTGCCCATTTGACCGGGCCTCCCCAGCCACTCTGGGCGACTCCCAACAGAATATTATAAACACAATAAAACATTAAAAACTTCCCTAAACAGGGCTGCCTTCAGATGTCTTCTAAAAGTTTATTTCCTTGACATCTGATGGGAGGGTGTTCTACAGGGCGGGCGCCACCACCGAGAAGGCCCTCTGCCTGGTTTCCTGTAAACACTTCTCATAGGGAGTGAACCACCAGAAGGCCCTTGGAGCTGGACCTCAGTGTCTGGGCTGAACGATGGGGGTGGAGACGCTCCCTCAGGTATACTGGGCCAAGGCTGTTTGGGGCTTTCAAAGTCAGCACCAACACTTTGAATTGTGCTCGGAAATGTACTGGGAGCCAATGAAGGTCTTTCAGGACCGGTGTTATGTGGTCTTGGTGGCCGCTCCCAGTCACCAGTCTAGCTGCCGCATTCTGGATTAGTTGTAGTTTCCGGTCACCTTCAAAGGTAGCCCCACGTAGAGCGCATTGCAGTAGTCCAAGCGGGAGATAACCAGAGCATGCACCACTCTGGCCAGACAGTCCGCGGGCAGGGAGGGTCTCAGCTGGAGTACCAGATGGGGCTGGTAGACAGCTGCCCTGAAGTCTGATCCTAGTGCTACCTGGAGTTGCCAGGAATTGAACCCAGGACCTTCTGCATGCCAAGCAAACGCTCTACCATCTGAGCTACGGCCTGTCCCCAAGGACTAATCACTTCCACAAGGAGGCTTCCAAGACCCCTGTGTGGGTTGAAGGCCAATTTTTAGACCTCAGTGCACAGCAGCAACATACCTTCCAGGCATCCCTATTTTAATTCCCAGAGTTACAGAAGCCGCCCTGGCTTCTGACTTGATCCCAGAAAGTCCCAGGGATGAGCTGGTGCTTGCAGCCAGCCCTGGTTCTTGCAGTGGTGCTGTGTTTTCGCCGGGTTTTGTGGCACCCAAAGATGGACATCCCAATTTTACGTGCCCCGATTTGCTTCAGGGGAATGTTGGAGGGGATGCAGACATGGGATATTCCTCCCAACTGTTATAAGAAAAAACTGCTCCTTTCCCCTTATCCAAGAGCCCACATAGAGTCCTTAAGTGGGTCCCCTATCGGTGGGAGAAAATAGCAGAGGCCAACCAGAGAATATTGAGAAGCAAAGCAGCTAGTATGCCTGATCTTTATTAAACTGTTGCAACAGGGTTCCCCCTTCACACGCAGGAGGGAGGAGGAACCCTGAACAATGGCATACAAGCCCTTATATAGACTTTTGAAATTGCCCACCCTGTAGCCCAAGACCACCCCCCAAAACATCATACATACATCACAGAAGGAGGCGGTCTACAGCAGAGATCCTGCCTGCCAGGATACCTGATAGTGGTCACTGATTGCTTTCCCTGGGCAGCCTGGCCATTCTTTTGTGATGGTTAATATTTAGTCCCTGAGTCCAGGTCGCAGGCTCACCCTATTCATAAAACAGGATTCGTAAGCAAAAAGACAAAGGGAAGGCAGAGGAATATTTGAGGTCAACTTGAGAGAGTCAAAATAGCTTCAGGATTGCTCTCCTGTACTGTTTCAAACACGTGGTTTATATACTTATGCGTATGTTTGCCTTGGACATTTATGAACATTTAAATTATATTTGAGTGCTTAGAATTCTTATGACGCTACCTCCCCCAACCTTTCTGCTTCCCTGTCTCCCCAATGCTGCAGTTTTTCCTGGAGACCCTCCCTCGCCTCCTTCGCATGTCCAAACCGGCCGAGAGCGAGCCCGAACACAGGCTGGTGATCCGGCGATGCAGCTCTGTGGGCTACATTGCCAAGGCGGAGGAGTACTTCACCGTGAAGTCCCGCAGCGAGCTGATGTTCGAGAAGCAGTCGGAGAGGCACGGCTTGGCTAGCCGCATCACCCCTGCCAGTGAGCTTGCGGGGGGCAGGGGGTGGTCACTGCTCCCAGGGGGCCAGAAGAGGGCCACCGTCTCAGAGGGCTTGGAGAGAAGACGAGGCAGAACTTACGGAGGGCAGGACAGGCTCATGAGAACATGAGCCCTGATGGCACAGACCCAAGGGACCACATGCTCTTCTCAACAGTTTTCTGCAGGCCATACAGTGGTACCTCTGGTTGCGAACGGGATCTGTTCCAGAGCCCCGTTCACAACCTGAGCAGAACGCAACCCGCATCTGTGCGTCCGTGGGTCGTGATTTGCTGCTTCTGCGCATGCTCGTGATGTCATTTTGAGCGTCTGCGCATGCGCGAGCGGCGAAACCCGGAAGTAACCCTTTCCGGTACTTCCGGGTCGCCACGGGACACAACCTGAAAAGATTTAACCTGAAGCGTCTTTAACCCGAGGTATGACTGTATTTTATTTTGTTCCATCTCATTTTTAATTTGTATACCGCCTTTCTATATCACTATACACAAGGCAGTTTGCAAAGCTGAAGAAACAGCAAAATAGACAGATCACCCATGAAATATACTCAGAGTCGAGAGTGGATTTCATGCTCTTTATTCAGCTCATAGTGGTGAGGAGGGGATGAATGTCCCCTCAAAGTATCTGCTTTATATACATTATTTATACAATGGGCTGCACGTGACTGGCTAATTCCGGAATTCTCCTGTAGGCCAATCAGGTTGTGGATTCACTTCCACCTGGAGCTGGATTGGGTGGCTCCTGCCGACCAATCATACTGCTGCATTGTTCTAGGACCAATCAGACTGCTAAAGTTTGGATCCTATTCAACTCAGTACATAACACCCCACCTAATAACAACCTGATCCAATGCACAAAAGTCATAACGAAAACATAACTTTGAAATGAACAATCTATATCGAACAAAGCAATATTCAATTATCCATTGGAATATAATAGTAGAATTAAATATCAGCAGATGATAATTAAACAGTTTACACTTAACAATTATGATAAAGAACTACAAAACTATAATCAATAAAAATAACGTCAAGTCACAACGCATAAAATACCACAAAACATGCAAAACCAGGTAAAAGGGTCAAATTGAGAAACAAGGGGGCACAAGTTATAAAATTATTATTTTTTAATATCCCTGGTGGGCAGGGCCAGAGGCAAAAGTGGGTTTTACGGTTGCAAAGGAGGCTGGTTTCTATGCCCACTCACACGCCCCTCTCTGCCCTCAGTCCACGCAGGTAAGAGGCGTGGTCAGAGTTCTAGGACATAGTCCAGCCAGGCAAAAACACTCCAGCAGAGGGTGAAGGGGTGTGTGGCCTGGGGAGACTCCCAAGGGCCAGAGGGAGAGGCCTGGACTTCTCCCCCCTCACCCACCAGCATGAGGCTCCTCCACCCTTGCAGTGGCCAACCAGATACCTCAAGCAGCACCTGAGTGCTCAGTTATCAATAATAATAATAATAATAATAATAATAATAATAATTTATTATTTATACCCTGCCCATCTGGCTGGGTTTCCCAGCCACTCTGGGCAGCTTTCAACAGAATATTAAAAATACAATAAAGCATCAAACATTAAAAACTTCCCTAAACAGGGCTGCCTTCAGACGTCTTCTAAAAGTCAGATGGTTGTTTATTTCCTTGACATCTGGTGGGAGGGTATTCCACAGGGCGGGTGCCACCACCGAGAAGGCCCTCTGCCTTGTTCCCTGTAACCTCACTTTTCGCAGCGAGGGAACCGCCAGAAGGCCCTCGGAGCTGGACCTCAGTGTCTGGGCTGCACAATGGGGGGCGGGGAGACGCTCCTTCAGGCCTACTGGGCTGAGGCCATTTAGGGCTTTAAAGGCCAGCACCAACACTTTGAATTGTGCTCAGAAACGTACTGGGAGCCAATGTAGGTCTCCACCACTGAATCTCAGTGGAACCTCATTTGGTTGCTTTTTATGAGAACTGGAACAGGCCAGAGAGAGGCTTCTGCACCAGGATGTAATGATCCTTAAAAAAGTCTTAACCAACTTACATAAAATATGCATTATAATTACACATCAGGTCAGATGTGAAAAGCAAGGAAGGTTTAGAAAGAATTATAAACTGACACACACCGGTGTGTCCAGTCAGTAGAACCTCTGCTCTGGTTCACCGTGGCTCAAATTCAAACTGAATTTTTATCTAACACCAGAGCACCATCTCCAAAACACGCTGGCTGCCAGGAAATTCGAATATTGTTTTTATAGACTGTAAATTTAGCTGGTGGATGTAAACGCTTGGGTTCTAAATTTTTTATGCCTGCCTTGCACTGCCGCTGTGGGCTGTGCTTTTTATTATTGCTGTTATCAGAACAGCAGCTTAGAAATATTGTTCATAAATAGATAAATGTTTGAAAGCCCGGGCATTGGCGCTAATCTGCATTCGTGAACACTGCAGGGCTGTTGCAATGGGAAGGGGGGGGCGGACAGGAGAGCCTTGCAGGGGCCTACGCCCCTCTCCTGCAGCCCCTACTTCTTAGCGAAGGGACCTCTGTGGTCGCACACACCCATCTGCTTGTAAATTGTGGAATGTTTATTCCAAAAACGTTATGCAGCCAACTCAGTGACAACGATTCGCATGGCGACTAATTTATAAGTTAAATGCTGCAGAGGGAACACAGAAATCTTGCAAATCAGTGGCAAACCAGACTGCGGCGCCTTCAAAACACCCTCAGCCGCCCCTGGGCAGATTAGAGCCCCTGTAAGCAGAGAAGCAGAGGTGGCCCATCCCATCTTGTCGCCTGAGGCGAAACGGGAAGGCGCTGCCCTGTGTGCGAGACGTATTTTTCGCTCCATAAGACACGCCTGACCATAAGACGCAGGAAGTTTTTAGAGCAGGAAAACAAGAAAAAAATATTCTGAACTAAACAGTGGATGTATGATTTTTGTGGTTCATGCTGTGGCCACAGACATGTGATCTGATGGTGAATTTGGGATGACCCAATGCAAAAATCCTGAGGATCCATGGGCTTTTACCTCCCCCCTCCCAGGCAGCCTCCGCTAGCCTCCCTTATCCCTCTTCCGATCCCATCGATCAGCTGTTTCCTTTCAACACTCCCTTCCCGCTTGTTTGCCTTAGTGTCTTTTCCTTAGCTGGAGCAGTTTTTTGCTCCTCCTTTTCTCCTAATTTCTCTCCTTATTGCTTTAGTCTTCCTGTTTCCCCCCTTTGCAAGTTTACTGTCTTTACCTCCCCCTCCCCAGGCAGCCTCCTTTATCTCTAGTGTCCCTTATCTCTCTCCCCGATCGGCAAACGATCAGCGGCTTTGTTTCAACACCTGCTTCCCTCTTTCAAAAAAAAGAGGATGATCTGATTTTTGCCCCTGGGCAATTCAGCTCCAGGGACCACACATTCTCTGCATAAGACGCACAGACATTTCCCCTTACTTTTTAGGGGGGGGGTGCGTCTTATGGAGCGAAAAATATGGTACATACACTCTTGACACCCCCACTGAAGCCTCACTTACTAGGGTCACAGGAAGGCAGCTGAGGACTGTCCTCTGTGAAGTGGACTGCATGGCCACCCAAGTCTCGCTGTGGCCCAGGTTTGGTTCCAGTGGGTGGCCAGGGGAGGCCTCTCTGGGGCTGGCAAGGGGCCCTGCACCCCAGCAGCAGCTCCAAAGATCAGAGAGGATATTCTCGACGCATTGCAGGGGGTTGGACTAGATGACCACAGGGGTCCCTTCCAACTCTACAGTACTAGGATTCCATGAAGCCCCTTTTTGATTATGAGTCCACTGAGGTCATCTTGATTATGGATGGATGAATCTGCCAGCTGTGCTTAATATGCACATTTCTGCAAAGAAGTTTTCCCTAATAAAATGTGCTTTTGCTTCTCCAAAATGCAGAATGCCATGGCGAGGCTCCTTACGGGGTCCTTGCCGTGGGATCACATTCATCCAGTGCTTTTCCCATCTCCGCCGTATTAAGCAGTTGGTCCCTTACCTTTCTCGCCCTGATCTGGCCACAGTGATCCATGCGATGGTCACCTCCAGGTTTGATTATTGTAACTCACTCTACGCGGGGCTGCCCTTGAAGCTGATCCAGAAACTCCAGCGGGTTCAGAATGCCGCAGCGAGGCTCCTTACGGGGTCCTTGCCACGGGATCACATTCATCCAGTGCTTTACCAACTGTACTGGCTGCCAGTGGAGTACAGGGTCAGGTTTAAGGTGCTGGTTTTGACCTTTAAAGCCCTATGCGGCCTAGGACCCACGTACCTACGGGACTGCCTCTCCTGGTATGCCCCGCGGAGGACCTTATGGTCCACAAATGACAACATTTTGGAGGTCCCAGGTGCAAGGTTGGTTAGTTTGGTCTCAACTAGGGCCAGGGCCTTTTCAGTACTGGCCCCGACTTGATGGAACGCTCTGTCACAAGAGACCAGGGCCCTGCGGGACTTGACATCTTTCCGCAGGGTCTGCAAGACAGAGCTGTTCCGCCTGGCCTTTGGTTTGGACTCAGTCTGACCCTTCTGTTTCCCTCCCCTTATGGTCTTGATCTATGGGCTACTTTTAAAATGAGGCTGCATTTTAAATTGCATTTTAACCTGTATTTTAAATTGGTCCCCCTCCCCCCATTATGTTTTTACTGTGATTTTATTGGTGTTAGCCGCCCTGAGCCGGGCTCTGGCCGGGGAGGGCGGGGTATAAATAAAATTTATTATTATTATTATTATTTATTTGATACTGACTTTATATGCAGGCGACACATTTTTGTGCCCACCGCTTGGCTGGAGAACTGCGCTGTGAAGGATGGCTGTACGTTTCAGTTCAGGTCCCCCCAGAAACCGCAAATTGGGTAGCTTCACCCTGAAGTGCAAGCTGAACTGAATTCCTCCTTCTACCCATCGTAGCCCAGTTTGCTTGATCCAAGAGCTGGGACCCAAATTCTGTGCTGCCCTCTCGGTGGCTGCCTTCACCCTGCATTTGTGAGGAAACCCTCTCCCCCCCCCCGTTTCCTGGATGTAATCTGCTCACCCCTTCTCTCCTCTCTGTCCGCTAGGGCCAAACCCCCACGGGGTGGAGGGCACAGAGGAACAGCTCTACAATGAGATCAAGCCGGCCATCACTGGAGCCAACTTCATCGTGAAGCACACGCGAGACAAGAATGACTACAATGAGGTGGGCTTGGCAGAAGCCTCACGGCTCTTCTATGGTTTACCTTTGGTTCCTCTGAGCCCAAGCTCCTTGCTAGTGCCTTAGATTACAATGGATTCCTCCTCAACAGTCATCGATGCCCCGTCTGCACTACACATTTAAAGCGGTATCATTCCACTTTAACAGTCCTGGTTTCCCCCAAAGAATCCTGGGATCTGTAGTTTATTGTTTGGTGCTGAGAGTTGTTAGGGGACCCCTGCTGCCCTCATGGAGCTACGGTTCCCAGAGGGGTTTAATAATAATAATAATAATAATAATAATAATAATTTATTATTTATATCCTGCCCATCTGGCCGGGCCTCCCCAGCCACTCTGGGCGGCTTCCAACAAAATATTTAAAAAACCCTCTTCCCAGGGAACTCTGGGAATTCGATGCTCTGCTGGATTTTAACCCTTGCTGGATCCAGGAGATTAGGAAGGACTGAGGCTAAATCTCTGCCAAACATACAACCATTTTTAATGATGTTGAATCATCTTAAATAGTAATGATTATATTAGAGTGGCCTTGTACCAAGTCGGATCATTATTCCATCTAGCTCAGTGCTGTGTGGCACTGACTGGCAGCTGCTCTCAAGGGTTCCAGGCAAGGGCTATGGAATGGCTCTCCTGGAAGATGCCATTGGGGATGAACCTGGGACCTTGTACGTGCCAAGCCTGTACCTGCAATTTCGCAATACGGCAGGCTCGCAACTTGCAACGCATTTAACTGCGGGGTTGCAGCTTTACACATCTGGCAGCTGGTCAGCCGACACCACACAAATTAAGCATATGCAAGGCAGAGAGATTAAAAGCTCTTTTCCTGCTGCAGAAATGACTTCTAAGCTTTCCATGTTGCTTCCTGGGCTCTGGGAAGGTCTGTTTGGCTCTAGGAGGCTCTCTGCCTTCTGGTTTCGTGGGAGCAAAGCCTGCCTGGCATGCCAGCTTTGAGAAATTAAGGATGGCCACACAGGGGCATTTCCGGGGTTGCTATGTGTTAAGTCGTGGGCGAACATATCAGACGACACAGCGATTCTTCAAACAGCTCTTGTTTATTCCAAGGCCAGAACAGAACTGAACTGAAGAGCTCAGTCAGCCTGCTTATATAGAGCTCCAGAACACGTAACTGTAGCAACTTTCTAAAACTATCCAATCACTGAACGTCACTTTCGATCCTTCATTTGCATAACTATCTACAGTATCCCCCTGCTGGCCCAGGGTGAGAACTTCAGTACATAACACTATGACTTCCTGACAGTAAGAGCCTTCCCTGACCCAACCGGTAGTGGAGCAGCTGTAAGTGATGGCCCAGCTGAAGGCAACGAAGTATTCCCCACATCTGGAGCCAGGGCAGGCTCAGGCCCCTGACTCGGCCCAGCTGGTGCTTGTTGCAGGGGAACCTGTGCAGACTGGGGCTCTTCAGAATCAGGCCCCAGACTTGGTTCAGATGCAGCCTGAGGCAAAGGATCCGGTGCGGACTGAGACTCCTCTGGTTCCGAGTCTGAGCCCAAGTCCCAGGCTATTACACCACACAGTCGCCACCCCCTGCCAAAATGTAACCTCTCCTCGTTGGGAGCCTACTGTATCCCAACTGAGCCCTGCCCTCCCTTTGCATCCTTCATCTCTGGCTGCGCACACCAACGGAATGACAGGACCAGCCTTTGGCTCATGTGCCGCGGAGGCTGGATGGTAATCTGTCATGGATGCTTTAGTTGAGAGGGGGTTGGACTAGATGACCCTCGGTTTCCCTTCTCTACAATCCCATTATTCTCTGCTGCGCAGCCCAGCTGTCAAGAGGGCATCCTTGGGTACCCTCACTTTCTGTGTCAGGCTGTGGTGCAGAATGTACCGTATGCATCGACCGGGAAATGGGAAGGTTTGTGTATGCTTGAGTTGACCTCTGTACATGGGTTGGGGGAGGGGGGGATTTTGTGGTCTTTGGGCCCTTCCGAACCTTGCGATTTCATTGGCAGGAGATAGACAACTGGAACAGCATTGCCCGCACGGTGGACCGCCTTTGCTTCTTCCTGGTCATGCCCGTTCTGAGCCTTGGCACCTTGTGGATCTTCCTGAACGGGTCCTACAACCACCCTCCCCCCTTGCCCTTCGAAGGGGATCCCTACGACTACAATGAAGTGAACAAGAATTACATCTAGAGCTGGAGGGGACCCTTGACCCCCATCTCCCCAGATTCAGAGGGCTGCACTAGGCCCTTGACTCCATTTGAGAGCCGGTCTTCTTCCCTTCCTCTTACCTGTGAGATGGGACGCAGCCCGTACGAACTCACACTCGCCTCCCAAGCCAGCTGGCGTGTTGCATTCTCTTAAATTGTTTCTGCTTTTCTGCCTTGTCTATTGCGGTGCAATAAAAGGCTCTGAAACTACAGGGAGGACCTGTTCAGGCAGAAGTGTCCTGGATAGCAAGGGGGAAAGGTTGACGTAACTTTTCTTAGGCAATGTGTCTCTGGGTGAGGAAAACCACCCTCACTACGTTCCACACAAAAATTTGTATCTCTTTCCATCACTGGTAAATTCTTGCACATGACATAGAAATATTATAAGCTGCCTTATGTCGAGTCAGATACCCTTGGCCCATCTAGCCTAATATTGTCTACACTGACTGGCAGAAGCTCTTCAGGGGAGGGGGCATTCCCAGCCCTGTGTTGGGATGCCAAAGATTGAATCTGGGGCCTTCTACATGAAAAGCAGGTGCCATATGACCACCACCACCACCCCTCTTTTTTTTAAAGAAATGTGGTTTAGTTTGAACTATGGAAAAGCCAGCCATGCAAAGCTCCTATTGGGCAATACCTGTGCCTTCACCAACACTACTTCCTGATGCAGTTTTGCAACATCCTGCAGTCCAATACACACTTACTTGGGAGTAAAAGTGTTTCCAGATTAGGGATGGACAAATCTATGTCAGTTTCTATTTTTTCCAGTCTTAGATTCAGTTCCCCACATATCAGTTTGCTTTTTTTAAAAGAGTCCTTGTGAAAAATTGTCAGCATGTAGTGTGCGATTATCCAACATATACTCAGTTTTGTATGCAGTTTTGACTAATATAGACATTTTCCAAGACATTTTCAGCAATAAACTGCATTTTTAATGTTATTTTCGCAAATATATGCCTTTTTAATGCATGCTTTCCTCTTTCCTCTGTTATACCAATTTCTGTGCACATTCTTGGTTGGAATGCTACATTGCAAAATTTAGAGAAGTACAAAGCTTAAAGGATGGCTGTGTTTCAGTTTGCGTATCGTATCCCCCACCCCTCTTCCAGACATGAAGCTCATTTTGCAAATGGGTCATTCAGATCTGATCTTTATTCTGTGTGCGCATTTGGCAGGTGAGCTTCCACACATTCCTGCTGGGGGTTTTAAGGTAATATTGTTCCTGTTACACCACTTGCCATCCATATCAGGGGGATATGGCTTGATGGAATGTATATGTGGTTTTTGTGGGTTTTGTCCTTGCCTGAGCAGTCAGAGAAACCCATGTGAAGCCTGCAAACAGGAGCTGAGGGCAAAAACACTCTTCTCACTTATGAACCTCAGCAACTGGTTTTCTGAAGCATCCTGCATCCGACAGGGAAGGGAGAACATCACCCTACAGTATCTTCTCCCATCCTGGTGTGCAGGTATTTCTGTATATGCACCTTTTAATGAAAAAATATTCCCCCGGATATGCACAACAGCAAATACTGCTTACAGGCTTCATTTAACAAAACTTAGACACCATTTGACTGTAGCAAACAAAACAAAAACACTACCAAACCTCCGCAGCCAGTTATTTATTCATTTAAATAAAACGTCTCAAAGCGATTTAACAATAATTACAATTGCATATTTAAAGGCAACAATGGCTGCAACTGCATATTTTAAAGAATTTGAAACAATTCCATATAAGACAATCGAAACTACCACATATGAAAGCAATTTCAAATCTGATAGAAGATTCAGACAGGGATGATCGTATTTCACAATGGGCAAAATGGAGGTTTGTGTATTTGGAAGCATTGCATTAAAAATAACCATACAAAAGGCCCAGTACTGTTGGAGGGAGAGAGTTGGAAGAGAGATTCCTACTCTCCAGCAGCAGTTAAGCACAATGGTGATTGCTCCAAGCACATTAAAACTTGATTAGATTTACACCTGCCCTCATCCACCTTGAAATGAACATTCCTGACAAAAATACTTAGGCTAGAATAAATCACAGCCTCAATTCACTCTGTGCTGTGTGCCCCGAATCTTCATCCAAAATGGGTCTCAAAGTTGCCACAAAGCAACAGAAGTGGCTTCCTGAAGCGACCTCTGGACTGAGCCAAGTCATGTCTGGGGGCATATTTTTAACCCCCAGGCCCTGCCGCATCTGCTGCCGGCTGTTGTGTGGAGAAAGGAGGTTAGGGGGTCAGGCTGCAGTGGGCAAAGGAGACATGGCCTCAAAGGAAGTGCCTTTCTCTGCGGCACAGATCCCATTTCACAGGTGGCAGCTGAGGTTCCAGGAATGTGGACCACCGACAGCTGTGGCCTGAGGGTGGGCCAGGATCTTGTTGGGAATGAGTGGGATCAAAGGGCAGGCGTGAAGACGTCAAGCTGAGGAGGATTCCTGCTCCCTTCAGTGACACCATCACTGGTTCAGTCAGGGCGGGGGGCATATTGTGGTTGCGCACACTGACCCCCTCAGCTTCTCGATAGAAATGATACAAATTTATTTGTTTAATTGGAAAGAAGAAAGAGTCCCTACCAGAGAGGAATGGCAAACTAAGCTGGTGGATACGCTGAAATGGTGAAGCTGACTGGGAAACTCAGGAACCAAGAGGACAAAACCTTTTAAAAGGAATGGGAAATTTTTATAATTTATTTAGGAGACCACTGTAAGCAGATGAAAACATTAGCAGGGTTTTTAATTTTTTTAAAAAAATTATCTTTATTAATTTAAAATAAATACATTTAAGAAAAAAAAGATGTACATACAAGTAAACAAACATACAATCAAACAAACAAATAACAGAAAAATCAGACAAACCACCACACTATAAGATACAAGAAGATTAATATAATTATCATCATATAGACTGCTGATACTGAACTCAATTATGAAACTTATAGAGAAGAAATTTAAACATTATCAGGGTTTTAATATCACTTGTAATGTAACAGGTATTATGGATAATATGGATGAACACAAAAGATAGATTAGGAAATAATATGTAGTTGGAAATGTTTACATTAGGACACATGGAAGGGATGGGGGGAAGTTGCGAGATCCAGAGAAGTCTCTTTATATGGATATCTAAGTGGTACTGTTATAAACTCATTTTTGTAAAATCGAATAAAAAATGAATTTAAAAAACAAACAAAAATTTATTTATTTAAAAGCATTTATAAACTGCTTAATTATTTTTTCCCTGAGAGGCATACAATGCTTGCTTTCTTTTTCTTTCTTTTTAAAGCACCATTAAAGAATAATAAAGCCTAAAGCCAATAAAAAGGCATTATAAAAGCATATAAAACAAGCCCCACACCAAGCAGGGGGGCTGCTGCTGGCAAAATCAGAAGTTGCCGGGAGGGTGGAAGAAGAACTGTACTGTTTATAGGAGGCCTAGCGGAGCCTCCAGGGACCTCCCCCCCACCCAGGGGTAAAAAAAAATAAAATCCTAGGCTTGGTGGTATTTTTGCCACCAGGGTCAGAAGAGCAAGGCTGCTTCTATCGCACACTGAACACATGCAGAGTGGCTTCCATCAGGCAGCTCCAACGTGATCTCCAGATGTCCAAGATTAGGGGTCAAGCTTCTAATACAAAGAACTTGAACAAATACATGCCAGGCAAGTTTGAATCCTACTCTCCGCTTTCCCCAGAAATTAAATAATGATAAACACTGAAACAACTGGCAAGCACATTTCTTGGTGTCTCCTGTTGGCAGAATATGGCACTCAGATAAGGATGGATGAATCTGTCAATTTCAGTTCCCTTATTCCGTCCGTCCATCCGCCCCCTTTCCAGTCCTGAATTCAGTCCTCTACATTTCTGCAGCAATTTCCCCTGGTACAACTCCTCTTTGTACCTTACTATGCATTTTATGCAAATCTCTCCCTAATATATGCACCTGTCGACCTACTGTTTGGTTGGAGACCAAAAAAATCAGAGATGTGTGAATTCCAAAGGATAGCTTGTGTTTCAAGAAGGGTGAATCAGGTAAAGGTAAAGGTAAAGGGACCCCTGACTATTAGGTCCAGTTGTGACCGACTCTGGGGTTGAGGCGCTCATCTTGCTTTATTGGCCAAGGGAGCCAGCGTACAGCTTCCGGGTCATGTGGCCAGCAGGACTAAGCCGCTTCTGGCGAACCAGAGCAGCGCACGGAAACACCGTTTACCTTCCCGCCTATTTATCTACTTGCACTTTGACGTGCTTTCGAACTGCTAGGTTGGCAGGAGCAGGGACCGGGCAACGGGAGCTCACCCGGTCGCAGGGATTCGAACCACCTACCTTCTGATCGGCAAGCCCTAGGCTCTGTGGTTTAACCCACAGTGCCACCTGCATCCGGTAGTTTCTCATTAAAACGCAAACAAAATTGAATTTTCCCTCCATCCTTATGCTCAGGTAGAATAGACGGGGTGGAAGGTGTCCTCAGCTAATCTGAGGAGTTCCTATCATGCAAGGTATAAGTCCTTCTCTTTGATCATCTATGGAGAAAAAAGCCTTCTCTCATCCCACCTCTACTTTATAGGCAAGCCTCTGTTCACTGCAATCTTTGGTATGAAGCCCATCTCAAATGGGCAGAAATGTCTCGGAAATTCTGCTGCCGGAGGCTGGTCGTCCTCTTTGTTCCTATAAATAGGGGCCCTGACCGCTTCCCTGATCACACAATGCCCTGGGCACAGAGATGTTCCTGGCACTGTCTCCTTGCTGCAGTTCTCCCCCAGCCCCATTGGGAAGATATGACTGCGCTCAATGGCTCAGTTCGGCTTGCATGCCCAAGGGGGTTGGCAGGGACAGCCAGCCCCCCCCCGCCTCACCTTCTCCACTCTGTTTTTCCAAAGGCAGTCGTCCATCACCATCAAGGAAACAGCTGACAATGCAAGCACTCGTGGGACAGCTGGTCTGCCAAGTGGCTGAAAAGGAGGGTGGGGGGATAGGGGGGAGGAGGAGGATGGGAGAGGTGGGTTTCAGCTCAAAATAGTCCTCCAGACCCTCCCTCCCACACACACACACACACACTGCTGCTTGGGGTTAGGAAGGAAGACCGATCTGCGCCACCGGCATGGGTTGGCCTAGCCTGGTCATTGCCTTCACCTTCCTCACAGGTAAGGAGGCTCAGTCCAGGTGGAACTCCTGGGCTTATGTTGATGCGCTAAAATGGAACTCGGAAGCTTTTCCTTGGGAGCGGGAAAGGGGAGGAATTGCTTGGAACTGAGATGAAATGCGAAAGTAGGAAACTCTTGTGGGGAGTCAGATGGTTGGGAATGGTCTACACAGCTGGGCAGTGGGTCTCCATGGTTTCAGGCAGGGGACGGCCCCAGCAAAACCTGGAAGTGCAGGTGGGGGCTGACCCGGGGACCGTCTTAATGCAAAGCAGATTCTCTGCCCCTGAGCTATTGCCTAATGAGCAAGCAAGGGATGGGCAGACCCCGCCCTCGCCTCTGTAGCCTCCTTCTGTGGGGTAAAACAAATGGGATATCAGAGGGATTTGTCATGGACACAATGCAGTTGGGGGGAACTAGGCACAAAATTTCATGGATTGGAGATGATAAGATGATAGCTAGATAGATGGATAGATAGATAGATAGATAGATAGATAGATAGATAGATAGATAGATAGATGATAGATAGATGATAGATAGATAGATAGATAGATAGAGGTAGGTAGATAGATAGATGATAGATATGAAACTGGAAAACAGGTAAGTGACACCTAAGGAGCATTTACAACACCTTTGTCCCTTTCAGTTTTAAGCTGCTCCTACCACAAGCCTAAGACTTGCCGATCAGAAGGTCGGAGGTTTGAATCCCCGCGACGGGGTGAGCTCCCGTTGCTCGGTCCCAGCTCCTGCCAACCTAGCAGTTTGAAAGCACACAATGCAAGTAGATAAATAGGTACCGCTCCGACGGGAAGGTAAATGGTGTTTCCGTGCGCTGCTCTAGTTCGCCAGAAGCAGCTTAGTCATGCTGGCGGCCACATGACCGGGAAGCTGTACTCCGGCTCCCTCAGCCAGTAAAGCGAGATGAGGGCCGCAGCCCCAGAGTTGTCCGCAACTGGACCTAATGGTCAGGGGTCCCTTTACCTTTACCTTTAACACACACAAACACACACACACACAGAGAGAGCACAAAATTGCATTTATATAGCACTTTTAGATGATCAAATATTTATTAATAACATAACAATTAATTAATTACGTATACTCTGCCCATCCAGCTAGCTTGCCCCAGCCTCTCTGGGTGGCTTCCAACATTATACAAAAACACAGTATAAAATCATATTGTCTCCGCCTTCCCTGGCCTGAGTTATCTTTACAACAACCCTGTGTGGTAGGTTAGGCACAGAGTCTCAAGGCAATCCAGTGAGCTTCCTAGCTGAGTAGGAATTTGAACCCTGGACTTCCAGGTCCCACTGCACAACCACACAGGGATGGGGCAGACACACAGGTGAACAAGCATACAAGTTTGCCTCCTGCCACACACCTCTATCTTGGTCCTCCGACTCACTGACGCTGCGTGAGTTTTTATGAGGTCCTGCGATGTATTCTGTTTCAGGGACACAATCACGGAATTGTAGAGTTGGAAGGGACCCGTGGGTCATCTAGACCAACCCCCAGCAATGCCATGCTCCAGGGGTGCCCTGCCACCAAAGTGCTCACCTACGAGGGCTGGGTTGCAGAGGCAACACAATCCAAACAGAGAACCAGCCTAAGCCCAAGCAGGATCCAGAGACAAAGTCAGGCACGAGTCCGAGGTCAAGATCCCAGGGAGGTTGGGCAAGGAACAGCACAGCAAGGCAGCAAGACCAGACTCGGGCGCAAGGAGCCAGAGAACGCCATTGTTTCCAGCACCTGGAAATCTCAGGAGGGATGACTTAACTGGGCCAAACTTGGGCTTCCTATCGATCAGCCACCTGACATCACAACGGAACGAGGTGCGAGGTGCTTTGAAGTCCCAAAGTTGGGATTTCCCCTTGCAAGACTCTGATAAAAGGAAGGTCTTTCTCCTCCCTTCCTGAGTCCAGGACCATCCAATTATGGCAAGGGAATGACTATTAAACCGCTGTAGCATAGACAGGTCCTAAAATATCTTAGGTAGGAGCAAGTCCCCTCTGAGGAAAGGCTGTGAAGTTTGCCTTCTTCCCTCAAAGTCATTGTGGATGGAGAGTCCTGTTTGAGGGAGAGCAGCTGCTGGCCATGTCCATTAGCAAGCGCGGGGGTGGCAGGTGCCAGCCGACAGTCATGTTAAGAGTTTTCCGAAGTTCAGTCTCCCCTTGGAGCCGCCCACTCAGCCTCTCGACCCTGCCTGGCTCTATAAACTCCTCAGTAGGCAGCTGCAATTACCCTAATGAAGGCAATTTGCCAGCACTTCTCCCACACACTTCCCTTTTAGATTTTATTGGGCAGTTATTGTGGGCTAATAATTTGATAATGTACGGGATTAAAAAATAGTTAGCAAGGTAACCATCTGTGGACTAGACTAGACAGGGATAGATGGCAGGCGGAGCTGAGGGGGCTTTAATATTAATCCATTATTATTTATGGAATGCATTCCACCGGCCTCATTAAGTTTCCCTTTCTGCCCAGGGATGGGAGTAAGTTTGGATTTGTGCAGGGGGTGGTTTTTCGCTTAGGGAGGTGGGGGATGATAAAGGTGGAACGTGATAAAGGTGTATGCAAGTATGCTTGGTGTGGCGGAAGTAAAAAGGGAGATGTCTGCCTGTCACTAGAAATTCAATTTGCTTTGCATTTAAAGGTGAACTCATCTAACCCACGGGCATGCGGGTGGCGCTGTGGGTTAAACCACAGAACCTAGGGCTTGCCGATCAGAAGCTCGGTAGTTCGAATCCCCATGATGGGGTGAGTTGCCGTTGCTCGGTCCCTGCTCCTGCCCACCTAGCAGTTCAAAAGAACGTCAAAGTGCAAGTAGATAAATAGGTACCGCTCCGGCAGGAAGGTAAACGGCGTTTCCGTGCACTGCTCTGGTTCGCCAGAAGTGGCTTAGTCATGCTGGCCACATGACCCGGAAGCTGTACGCCGGCTCCCTCAGCCAATAAAGCGAGATGAGTGCCGCAACCCCAGAGTAGGCCACAACTGGACCTAATGGTCAGGGGTCCCTTTACCTTTACCATCTAACCCGCACTTTCTGAAAGAAGATTCAAACCGAAACACGGGCATCTTTCAGAATCCACACTTCTCCAAATTTTGCAATGCAATTCACCAGTGAAGCAACATGTACAAAAAAAAGCATGTACTAAACAGGGTAAAGCGTGCATGGCAACACGTATATCACCATCCAAAAATGCATTATGTGATGGGAAATTATTTGCAAAAAATAAATAAAAATGAATTGAATTGTAGAGTTGAATTGAATTGTAGAGTTGAAAGGGGCACCAAGGATCATTCAATCCCTGCAATGCAATAATTAGGTAACATCACATGCAGAAGTGTGTATATTAGGAGGAATTTACATTAAAATGATGGTTTAGGGTTGTTGTTGTTTTTTAAAAAAAGAATGCTGATGAAGAAATGCGGAGAACTGAAATTAGAAAAATGAGAAACTGAGAGAAACCAGAATTTTCAGATTTGTCTGTTCCTCCTCAGACGTTTCCTGATGAGATTGAACAGCAGTAAGTGCTGCAGAAACCAAAGAAAGTGATTTTCCTCACTCAGCACACAATTCATTCCCAGAACTCTCAGAGCCGGCCCTACCGTTGGGTCGAGTGAGGCAGCCGCCACATTCAGTAGATGCCTGATGTTGGGGAACAGCCATGAGATGTTGGAGGACAGAGCTGGGTGTGCCACACAGCCAGCCCTGCACCCTTTGTCAACTCTCTGGTCCACACCTGGTCTTCTCTTGCCTTGACCACTATAACCTTCCGCTCTCAAGTCTCCCATTGTCCCACCTGGTTCCCCTCACAGCTACCCATCATTTGGCTGTCATTCACTCCTCTCATTACTCTGACGCCCCTCCTTAACCTGGCTTTCTGTCCACACCAAAATCCAGCACAAGCTCCTTCTCCTTATCATCAGGGTCCTTGTCCCCTTTATTTCTCTGCTCTCATATCCTGACACATCTCTGCCTTGGGTCTTTGTCCTCAGGCTCCGCCATCCTCAGGCCTCCTGCTCCCCTTGCAAGGACCCCCCCACTTTCTTGCTTGCTGCTCCCCCTGTCTAGAGTCACTTTCCCTAACACCTGTGTGAGGCCACCACCTTCCCTTCAAATGCTTCCTCGAAACCCTTTTGCATGGCGAGTCCCCCCCCCAGTCGAAATAATGACACATGACACAATTATTAAGGTTAATGGGCTAAAAAAGGCCACAACTTTATTGGTTACAGGTGATGAGGAGTATTGGCTTAGGCATTGGTCTTAACTGACTATATCCGACTTCAGCCTGTCCGCTAGAAGTCCGGGAAGGGTTAACCAGCATTAGGGGGAGTCCTGCTGATGCACATCAACTAGGAACTCCCCCGGGGTCACCGATAGGGGTCGTGCCTTAGGCCCTCACCTCCATAGGCTTTGGACAGGGCCACGCCCCCCGGAATCCTTTCCCAGACTGCCCTTCAATATGCGGGGCAGGTGATGGCGATACCTCCCCGCTTCCATCTACAGTGCAATACCAATGCCTAACTGCCAATACCCAGAAAGTTGTGACGATTTGCTACGAGGTAGGCGAGAACCAAGTGGCTGGTGCCAATTTGCCAAGTGGAAAAATTCCTACCAGATCTCTCAACGGTGACCAACCGAGGTCCATAGCAAGGTCAAGGAAAGAAAACCTTATAGAGCGGGAGGGTGGGAAAAGCAGGAACAGCTGGTAAGCAGCAAAGAGGAAGATCCCCAGCCGCGCCCTGCTTTAAATAAGCCAGGCCACACCCCCAGAGCCAGCCGATTGGCTGGCCAGGAGGTGATGCGGCTGGGAATCCCCCCAATCACGCTGGGGCTGGGTTCCAGCAGCCGCGCGCGTGGTGGGGCCGTGAAGCCCGCAACTCCACCTCCTCCGAAGGGCAGAAGTGGCTTTCCAAGGCACCTTTGGCTTCCCAAACATAACGAAGAGTTGCTTCTTCACTGTCTTTCTCCAGTGGTCCTGAGCCGAAACCAGGAGGAGAAGCTTCTCAATGACCTGATGGCCAACTATGACCGCAAATTCCGCCCAGCCAAGGACGAGAGGGACATTGTTGACGTTTCGGTCAAGCTAACCCTCACCAATCTCATCACACTGGTGAGGAAGGAAGGAAAGAATAAAGGCTTTATTTCCTCTCCCCCATGCAACATATAGTTAAACTATGGAACTCCCTTCCACAGGACACAGTGATGGCTTTAAAAGATTAAATTCATGGAGGAGAGGGATATTGATGGCTATTTAGGGCATGTGGCTGAATCTTGTGGGCACTGCAGAGGGCCCTACGACTGTCATGTAGAAAGGAAAGCAAGAGGTGGTTGCCGAATTTTGGCATTTCTTACGTTCTTAACATCTCATACCTAAAATGTACATTTCAGAATTCTATTGCTCGCTAGCAAGGCTGCATCTTCTAGTTCCTAAAGGAAGCACGGATGCATCCGCAGCAAGCTCCAATAGCAGGTGGAGATTTAAGGCTCAAGACAGATATATCATTTTAAAAATCGCAGCAGGCTCTTCACACATGATGTGAGCCTAGCTTCCCGACTTGCACAGCGAACACACATTATATCAAGCTGAATGTAGCATCAGCCTCCAGTCTTGCCTCTCCTTTTAGCTTTAAGTATGTTCTCCATCATTTTTATTGCTCAAAGCACCCAATGTACATTAATCGGCTCGTACATTCAACCTTAGCCTTGTTTTCAAAAATGAAAGGAGGGAAACGTTTACAAACAGTCGCAAAAGTGGCGGTGCCTTGAGGATGTCGTCATGGGTACAAGCCAACTGGCACCCTTATTTATTTATTTTATTTTATTAAACTTACATACTGCCCTTCATCCGAGGGTCACAGGGTGGTTTGAATCCACCTCTTGCTGCTTATTTCCACTGAAGTAGTCTCACTAAAGGCCAGGATGCAAAGATGACAGAGACTGCCCCCTGTTTGCTGTCAAAAGGTGTAGATTATAGAAGTTTGGGGTATGTTGTAGCAAGACTGGATCAATGTTACAGTTGTCCAACTGTGAGGACGTCTCCACCACCATTGTTCAGCCTAGACACTGAGGTCCAACTCCGAGGGCCTTCTGGCAGTTTCCTCATTGTGAGAAGTGAGGTTACAAGGAACCAGGCAGAGGGCCTTCTCAGTAGTGGCGCCTGCCTTGTGGAACGCCCTCCCTGTGGATATCAAGGAGATAAAGAACTACACAACTTTTAGAAGACATCTGAAGGCAGCCCTGTATCAGGAAGTTGTTTATGTTTTATGCTGTTTGTATATCTGTTGAAAACCGCCCAGTGGCTGCAGCAACGCAGTTAGATGGGTGAGGTACAAATGTAATACAGTGGTACCTCCAGTTGCGAATGGGATCCGTTCTGGAGGTCCAGCCAGATCCCGAGGTTTCCACAACCCGAGGATCACTGTTCTGCATATGCGCACAGGGCAGTAGAACGCTTCTGCGCGTGTGCACGCGGCAAAACCTGGTCTGATACTTCTGGGTCTGCCACTTTTGTAATGTGAAGTTTATGTAACCAGAGGTTTACATAAGCCGAGGTGCTACTGTAATCATAATAACAGCAGCAGCAGCAGCAGCAACAACACTCACCTTTTCTCTGCTCTTTCCAGGCACGGCCCACTCTTTATAGTTCTGTGTATGAGCATCATTCCCCTCCCCTCCAGAGCTTTCTCTGTGGAAACCTGCTCTTTGAAGCTCAATTGGAGCAAATGGCAATTGACAGAAAACTGCTCCGATTTAGCATTAAAGAGCGGGTTTTCCTTGAGCAAAAAAACAAGTGTGCTCAGTCATGGAACTTTTAAGCATGGACCTGTGCCTGGAAAGAGCAGGGCAAAAGTTAAGTGTGGATAAGACCTTAGATCGGTGTTTCCCTAACTTGGGACTCCAGCTGTTTTTGGACTACAATGCCCATCATCCCTAGCTAGCAGGCCCAGCAGTCAGGGATGATGGGAACTGTAGTCCAAAAACAGCTGGAGACCCAAGTTTGGGAAACACTGCCTTAGACGGTTTTCAAAGGAGGATTCATGGAGGATAAGGCTACAAGGCACGACCTAGATGACTTTAAAAGGGAGAGAGAGCTCTTGTGCTCAGATCCTGCTTGTGGGTTTTACACAGGCATCTGGCTGGCCACAGGGAGAACAGGATCCTGCACTAGATGGACCTGATCCAGCCACAGGGTTCCTCTTACATTCTAACTCTGTCTTCTCTCTTTTTCCAGAATGAGAGGGATGAGGCTCTCACCACCAACGTTTGGGTAGAACTGGTAAGAGAAGCAGCCCAAGCTTCACCTGTTATCTTTTATGTGTTTCAAATTATGGACCCTTTAACTCCGCCTTTCCTCCCCTGGAAGTCTTAAGAGCTAGTAACTTAATTTTTAGGGGGGTGGGGGTGGGAGACATTCCAGGGATACTGATAATTTTCCTAGCATCCTGGATTCTGGGTTTGGGAACGCTAGTTGTGCCTCTAGCTGAAATTTACCCTGGATTCAAATTTACCAGGAAGGAAGTCAGCCTCAAGACAGTAGCATGTTCCATTGCGAAATATCCACCAGGCCGGCCAGTGTGATTAACTGATTTCTTTGTTAGCAGAAATGGCATGATTACCGCCTGCAGTGGGATGCGGCTGATTACGACAACATCAAGTGCTTACGAATCCCCTCCACCATGGTGTGGCTGCCAGACATTGTCCTGGAGAACAAGTCAGTATCCAAAAGGGTTGTTCTCTTCCTCCTCTTCTTCCTCCTCCTCTTCCTCCTCCAGCTCATCTGCCAGCTGGCTGCAGGTGAACTTGGGATTCCCCTTCTGTAGATAGGAGATGTGACCTAGCATGTCTCCTTGTAGCCAGGTAGCTTACTTGATCTTCGTGGGGTCCTCCTGGGCTCTTTCCACAAATTAGTTCCCAGAGAAATTGCTGAGTTTTGGGGGGAAAGAGTAGCCTTCACCCGGAAGGAGGCAGTGTCTTTCTCTAGTTCAAAGAATCGTGAAATTGAAAAGTTGGAAGTGACCTCAGGAATCATCTAGTCCAACCACTGGCAATGCACGAATCTTTTGCCAAACATGGGGCTTGAACCCACAAACCTGAGATTAAAGAGTGTCAGGCTCTACCGACTGAGCCCTCCCTCATGAACTAATTAGCAGGAAGAACAATTAAAACAGAGCTTACACGCAGCATTTAAGATTGCATTATATGAGCTAGCAATGTCCTTCCTCATAGAAGATCCTTTTAATAATATTGGTTGGGAACCTCCAGCCCTTGAGCGTATTTTAGGTCCCGAAAACATCTGGATTTGGCCCACAAGGGCTTTTGGGGCAAACTATGCCCACCTGTCTGTTACCAAACAGATGCCGTATGACATTAGACCAACCTAGCCGTTCGAAAGCACGTCAAAGTGCAAGTAGATAAATAGGTACCGTTCTGGCGAGAAGGTAAACAGCGTTTCCTTATGCTGCTCTGGTTCACCAGAAGCAGCTTAGTCCTGCTGGCCACATGACCCGGAAGCTGTACGCCGGCTCCCTCGGCCAATAAAGCGAGATGAGCACCGCAACCCCAGAGTTGGCCACAACTGGACCTAACGGTGAGGCGTCCCTTTACCTTTACCTTAAGCCCACCTGTCTGTTACCAGGCAGATACCATACGACATTAGGTGCAGAGAGCTGTCACATCTTATCTAAATACGCTGATCTTGGCACTAAGCACCACACAACTATGACTGGAGATAATCTTATCTCTGATCTTAGCGCTGTGGCACTTAGTGCTGAGATCAGAGACAACCCCATTTATTTGACTATAGACTGCCAAAAGGATCTTAAATAGTCTTAGAGAGCCAGGAAACAGAAAGGAATCACAAGGCTTTCTTGTAAAGGCCCCATAGCAGAGGGCAGAAGAGGCCCTTTTCCAAGATAAGAAGAGGGCTCCCCCCCCCCTATTTTCCCACTCTGTGGCAGCTCTTAGCTAGAAGGTGAGACTGCTCTCCTCTGAGACCAGCGCTAGGATAGGGAAGGAAAAAATATGCCGAGTTGCCTCCCCACAACAGCACTGGGGCCGAAGAGGAACATCTCCTATCTCAGTGCTGGTACGGAGAAGATGAAAACACTGTTTTCTCACTCTTTAGCAATGAGTACAAGAGGAGCATCTGCTCCTATCTCAGCGCAGGTGCAGAGCAGAGGGGGGAAAGTGTTTCCTCGCTCCATAGCAGTGCTGGGGCAGGAGAGGAGAGTCTTCTATGTGTGCCTGCCTGCCTGCCTGAATGTGCTTGTGTTGACCATGCCCACCTCTGCCAAGCATCCCTCTCAGGGGTCACCAACCTTCACTGCAGCCCTCGGGTCCCAAATGGCAGGAGAGCTCTGCTGCAAGAGGGTGGGGGAAAGGATCCTGGCTCTCCTGGCCTCTTCCTGGAAGCAGTTGGAGGATAGATGGCGGCTAACAGATTGAGGTTGAATCCTGACAAGACAGAAGTACTGTTTTTGGGAGACAGGAAGCGGGCAGGTGTGGAGGATTCCCTGGTCCTGAATGGGGTAACTGTGCCCCTGAAGGACCAGGTGCGCAGCCTGGGAGTCATTTTGGACTCACAGCTGTCCATGGAGGCGCAGGTCAATTCTGTGTCCAGGGCAGCTGTTTACCAGCTCCACCTGGTACGCAGGCTGAGACCCTATCTGCCCACGGACTGCCTTGCCAGAGTGGTGCATGCTCTGGTTATCTCCTGCTTGGACTACTGCAATCCGCTCTACGTGGGGCTACCTTTGAAGGTGACCCGGAAACTACAACTAATCCAGAATGCGGCACCTAGACTGGTGACTGGGAGCGGCCGCCAAGACCATATAACACTGGTCTTGAAAGGCCTACACTGGCTCCCAATACGTTTCCGAGCACAATTCAAAGTGTTGGTGCTGACCTTTAAAGCCCCAAACAGCCTTGGCCCAGTATACTTGAAGGAGCGTCTCCACCCCCATCGTTCAGTCCAGACACTGAGGTCCAGCTCCGAGGGCCTTCTGGTGGTTCACTCCCTACGAGAAGTGGTTACAGGAAACCAGGCAGAGGCCCTTCTCAGTGGTGGTGCCCTCCCTGTAGAACACCCTCCCACCAGATGTCAAAGAGAACAACAACTACCAGACTTTTAGAAGACATCTGAAGGCAGCCCTGTTTAGGGGAGCTTTTAATGTTTTATGAATTATTACAGTATTTTAATATTTTTTTTGGAAGCCGCCCAGAGTGGCTGGGGAAGCCCAGCCAGATGGGTGGGGTATAAATAATAAATTATTATTATTATATTATTATTCCTCCCCTTGTTCCCCTCAGCATCGACGGGGTGTTTGAGGTCGCGCTGTACGTCAACGTCCTGGTGTCCCCTGACGGCAGCATCTACTGGCTCCCCCCGGCCATCTACCGCAGCGTCTGCCCCATTGTGGTCACTTTCTTCCCCTTCGACTGGCAAAACTGCTCCATGGTGTTCCAGTGAGTCTCTGTACTAGTTGGAGGGCGAGCTTTCTGAAGGGGAGAGCCTCTTGCACCCGTGGCAGTTCCCTGCATGATTTAGAGGGTGGAGGGGGTGTCTCAGTGAGGGTGGAGAGGAAGGCAGTAGATGAAGGGGGACTTATCTTGCTCATTCATGTTCCTACCCCCCCTCCCCCTAAAAAGAAAACGCTACTTGTGTTGGAAATTTTAATGCCTGAAGGGGACTAATATATATTCATTTCTAACTGTGGGCACATTTTCTTTCTGCATTTATATCATATTTTTAAAATTAATTTTTCATATGCCAACATATATTTGTTTGTGTTTACTTATTTAACGAAATGTATCTGCCGTTTGATTGTTAGCTCCCCACTTCTAAGCAGTTGTATAAATTCAAAGTATGCAGCCCTATACACTCGAATTACTTTAGAGAATACCTGTATACATTATAAAACATACACCGAAACAATATACATGATAATGAGGATAAACAGGTATTTTAAATAATCATTTTATCCGTTCGTACATTTACTTATATTAGCATGTAACCTGATATCTAAAGTTCCCTTTTTATATCTCACACAACCGGTTCCCAACAGTCTAACATTTCTCTAAAATTTTCATATTTCTTTAACATGAATAATATCAATTTAACAATTGCCACCTGCTCCCATAAAGCACTAACTAATTCTTCCTTATTCAGTTTACGAACATCCTTCTAAGTCCTCCTTGCTAGAGCTGAAGATATCCAACACTTGAGTGTGGATATTCTTCTGTATCCTTTGATCATTCCCATTGCTCAAAAGGCATAAAGAGGGATCATTGGTCTACCTCAGTCCAAATATTTCATTTACAGCCGAAATCACAATATGCTGATAACGTCTGGCCTTCCAACAACCCCACCAGATGTGAACCATGGTTACCTAGGACTCGGATCCGATGAACCTTGGTTATCTGTATATTGTAGTGCAGTAAGGGATTCTGCTCTGGTCTAGAGGCCTCTGGAAGTGATTGGCTGAATTGCGCTGGTGTCATAGAAGGCCTGGCAGGCGTTCTCTGGCAGGAATCGTGGCTAAAGAATCCTTGACCAATGGCAATCCAACTTCTAGTTGAAAACACTCAGTGAAAGAGAGTCCCCCACTTTCCAAAGGAATCCATTCCACTGTTGAACAGCTCTTACCATCAGAAGGTTCCTCCTAGTGTTTAGTGGGAATCTCCTTTTTTTGTAATTGGTTCGGCTCCTACCCTCTGGAGCAGCAGAAAAAAACCTTACTTGAGTCAGCCTTACTGAGTGATTTTATGTTTAAGGTCACAGACCTACAATGCCCGTGAAATCAACCTGCTGTTGACCGTCGAAGATGAGCAGACAATAGAATGGATCTTTATTGACCCCGAAGCTTTCACAGGTAACCCCACCTGCATGCAAGCCGAGGGGGACAACGGGTGGGAGGAGGTAATGATGCTGCCCAAATCCTTATAAGAACATTGAAAACATAAGACTTGTCTTGTTGCATTGCGTTGACTAAATTCAGCCTCCAGTTTCCTGCAGCAGTGAGTCCCATGCCTTTGCGAAACATGCAAACTCTCCAAGGAAAAGGGACACCCTTCCCCTGTCGTTTGTTCCCATCATTTGGTATTTACAGTTAAATTGCCCCTTAACATGGAGGCTCCATTTAATAGTAACTGATAGATATATCCTCAGTGTCAAGTTATTTTTTAAGGCTTTCTAAGCAGCCGTCCGTACCTGCAATGAATCCCACGAGTTGAATAAAGAGGAAGCACATCTTTTTTTTCTGGTCCTGATCCTACTGCCTGCCAGCTTTGCTGGCAAACTCCCCTGATTTCTAATGTTAGAAAATGTTCAAGGGATAAATCTCTCACTCTCTCTCTCTCCCTCCACCCGGCACCACACTTTAGGAAATGACAGGGCTGCCTGGAATCCTGAGGGCATTTGGAGGATTTGGAAGACAAAAGCGTTTTTGGCACAGATACCACAAAGGCAAAGCATCATTCAGATCGGGGTCAGCAAACTTTTTCAGCAGGGGGCCGGTCCACTGCCCCTCAGACCTTGTGGTGGTGGGCAGGACTATTATTTCAAAGATGAAAAAATGAACGAATTCCTACACCCCACAAATAACCCAGAGATGCATTTTAAATAAAAGCAGACATTCTACTCATGTAAAAACACACTGATTCCCGGACCATCCGCGGGCCAGATTTAGAAAGCGATTGGGCCGCATCTGGCCCCCAGGCCTTAGTTTGCCTACCCATGATTTAGATGCTCCCTGGCCCTGGTGGAGGCAGGGCAGTCGAGTTGTTCTGAGTGGGCGAAACGATTTAGCAGGGAAACTGTTTAACTATAAACCATAGAATCATGGAAGTGTAGAGTCGGAAGAGAACCCGATGGTCATCTAAGCTCTGTCCATGAGGTGTAAGTCAGGGCATTTGGTATAATCAATTTGACGTACCAAACATGAGAAACAGGTGGAATAAAGAACTGGAGGTTCCTATCTCACCCAATCAGTGGGACAATGTTTTAACTTTGGTAGCTAATGTGTCGTTAGATTATGAATTATGTATTATACAACAAAAAGTAATATTTAGAATTCATTGGGCTCTACTACACTTGCACAGAAAGGGATGATCTACAACAACATGCTGCACATAATAAGGAAATGCTTCTTTGAAACATGCTTATGCAGTATCCGACGCTTGCAAATTTCTGGAGGAAAGTATTAAGATGTATAAATACTACTTTGGGGAATATTTTAAAATTGCCATAGAATAGTATTATCCTAAGCCACATACCAACCATATGGGGTTTGACTGCGGGTCAACATAAATTAGGGCTGCCCTATGTCCGGGTTTTCCTGGACATATCCAGGGTTCATCTGCCGGAAATAGCGTCCAGGCGGAATTTCCAAAATCACTAAAAATGTCTGGGAAAACCCAAATGCATGTCAACCCATGTCAGAAGTGGGCAAATTTCCTTAAAAGGTCAACAACTTTTGTGCCCAGGTTCCCACTTTTAGAAATATGGCAACCCTAACGTAAGTGGACTCTTCATGTCCTTATTTCTGCTAAAAGACTGGTATCAAGACATTGGAAAGATAATACCACGGCCCCCCTTTTCCCAGCTGGAATTGGTAACATTCCAGGGGCCACAATCCAGTGGTGAATGGGGCCACGGGCAAAAGGTGTGTGGAGCAATGCATGCAAATTTCCCCTTTCTAGAGTAGGGTAGTTTCTACACAAACTCACACATCCCTCTCCTTCCTCCGTCCAGACTAGCAGGAGACATTCTCAGAACTCAAGGGCACGTTCCAGCCAGGCACAGATCTTTGGGGTGGGTGTGAGGCAGGGCTGAGGAGGAGGTGTGGCTAAGGAAGGGGGTGGGGAGAGTCCTGAGGGCTTGGGGGGCTGCACTTGGGGTCCCTCTTCAGCTTTGCTAGGCCTTGCACCTGGGAATCACACCTGTCACCTGTTTGCATCCACCTCTTAATGGTTTCCAAGGTTTGCCTCACTTTGCTCTCTGGCCATGTGTCCCGTCCCCCTCCCCCCAGCCTGCTTCTGTGGGTTATTAATAAGAATCACTGCAGGAGAATGTTTGGCATTTGTCATCCCCCCCCCTCCTTTGTTCTGCTGGCTCCTCTCCTTCCCTCCCAGCCACTCCTAAAGCTAACAGTTACATTTCAGCCAATTGATCCAGGAACGCAGCCGTCGCCAGCAGCTGCCGCTGCCATTCTCCATCATGTTTTAATAGCATCTCGGAGGTGGAAAAGTTCCTCTTTGGAAGCGAGAGGCTTTCTTGTTTTCTCATGATGGGGGACAAGCCAGTTATTTTGCACGGTTAAAAATCTATCTCTCCCGCAGACGGCGGGGGGAATAAACAAGAAAACACCAGCTTAATAGCGTGTCACGCTTGGCTTCGTGTTGCAGCCCAGAGAGAGAGAAAGAGAGAGAGAGATAAATGTGGGCTTTTATATGGCAGCAGGGCCACTGGAGGCCTTGGGGACCAAACACATGGCAGAATCAGCTCTCTCTCCACCAGATTCCAGCTTCTGGCAGAAGTCCCTTTGCAGTGCCAGGCAGTAAGCTGGCAGCTCCAGGCATCCTGGCCCAGATGATCGGATGAGTCTTGCTATTGTGGATATATCGTTCACACAGGGCTCTAAACCCTCACTCAGATCCAGGGCACTTTTCTCAGGGACTCTGTTGTGTCAGCTCTCTCTCTCTCTCTCTCTCTCTCTCTCTCTCTCTCTCTCTCTCTCTGCACCTTTATTTTTTGCACTCGTTTCCCCATCAGCTCGTTCGGTGCCAGCAGGTCCCTTCCCCCAGGCTCCGTTCCTCGCCTCAACGTGGCAGCCTGGCTTCAGATCGAGGTGGCCGCCAGGAGCAAACTTGGGGACCCCCAAAACAGCGGCAGCTGGTGCCCACTGGGAATAGTGGAGCATTTGGCAGGGAGGTCAACAGTAGGGGGCACCAGAGCTAAGGACAGGCAGGACAGTTTAGACAAGTTTTGTCCTCTCCTCGTCTTCCTCTCTCTTGATTTCTGCAAGGGCAACACTGAGACTGTGGAGAAGGGGGGAGCTGCTGGGCAAAGTGGGTGTGTCTGGGGCAAACTGAGATTGGAGGGCTTTAGTGAAACAGGCACTACTGCCCACAAATGTTTGGAAGATGGGGAGCTCAAGGTGGTCGGGAGGCAATGAGCAATGCTTTCTTTTCAGGTGCATTATTAGTTGGGCGAAGGCAACATTTCTCATCAAAGAATTATTTGATAGGCTTTTGAGCTCTCCTGTTGGAGACTATCTCCGCTGGAGAATATTCTGCAGAATAGCCACTCCAGTTTTGCAAAGCAAGAATTTTGGGTGCTGCTGTGACCCAGAAATAATATCATTTACTGTTATTTCTGTATTGTTGAAGGAGGGCTTGAAACTTGGTGTGCATGTGTTTGTATTAAAAGGTTGGGGTGCGAGAATTCATGGTGATGCCAAAAATAGGGAATTGCAGAAAAGTGTGACAGGGAGAGCTCTGAGCTGCTGGTCTCAGAAGCTCCATAGTTAATGTGACCAATATTTGTATGTAGGAAAGCTTTGCTTCTACCCACATGACGCTGCCTTCTCCCGACAGAGAACGGGGAATGGGCAATCAAGCACCGGCCAGCCAAGAAGGTTGTGAACGCCCAGCACTTCACGCCAGATGACATAGGGTACCAGCAGATCATCTTCTTCCTCATCATCCAGAGGAAGCCACTTTTCTACATCATCAACATCATCATCCCTTGCGTGCTCATTTCCTCGGTTGCTGTGCTGGTGTACTTCCTCCCAGCGAAAGGTCAGTACCAAAAGTATCACTGTGGACTCAGCTATACAGCTTCAAATAAGTGTGTTGTAAAATGCAATATACAAATGTGCCACCAGATGGCGACAGTGAGCTATGGCAAATTCAATGTATTTTTCAAAACTTTTAAAAAAAAATTTAAAAAGCATTTTCACAGCGTTTTTTAATATGTTTGTGGATTCCACCTGTGGTGCTTTGGTTGGCCTGGGTTAGGTCTGATAGTCTGTGCCCCCCCCAGGTGTTGATGGATGATGGGAACTGTAGTCTGGAAAGCCCAGCTTCCCCCACCCTGGGCTAATGATTCAGCACTCTGGACAGCTCCCAGACTTTGCTTCACAGGGAGGCAAGGAACCAGGTTGGTCAAGAGGAAGTGAAAATTGGTGGGTCTTCCGATGTGGCTGAACTCCAACTCCCATCAGTCCCAGCCAGCACAGTCAGTGGTCAAGGATGATGGGAATTGTAGTCCTGCAATAGCAGAAGACCATCCAGGACAGGGGGAAATTAAGTGTGTGCCTGCTGGTTTTTGCAGCAGGCATGTGTTTAGCATGACACGGGCTACGATCGCCTCCAAATTTGCACTATCGAAAGCCCTCTCACGATTTCCAGGCCTGTTTATTCATTTCATCAGATATCTAAGTTGCCCCTTCATCCAAACAGACTGCAGGCAGGTGTAAATTAGTAAACACAGGGTAACCTCTTTATGCTTGGGTCTTTGGCTCCTGGGGTGTCCATTTTCAGGCCCCCCCCTTGCTTTCTGTGACTGCATTTTTCTCAAGCTTCTAGTAAGAACCACCTCCACCTGACGATAAAATATAAAACCCGCATAAAAAGCGAAGTGCAGAAATGGAACATAAAGCATGAAACAGATCGTAAAACAGTATCAAAATCCTAAAACCATCAAGAATTAAAAACTGCAGGAATAAAATTTGGGAAGGCTTAGGAGAAAAGAAGTGTTTTCTGTAGGTGTCAAAAACTGCAAAGTGATGACATAAGAGAAGACTCCTGGATCAGGCCAATCGTCCATCTAGTCCAAAGTCCTGCTTTCTCAATGCCATGTATAATTTTATAAACTTCTATCATGTCTCCAGGGACGCAGGTGGCACTGCGAGTTAAACCACAGAGCCTAGGACTTGCCGATCAGAAGGTCGGCGGTTAGAATCCCCACGATGGGGTGAGCTCCCGTTTCTCGGTCCCTGCTCCTGCCAACCTAGCAGTTCGAAAGCACGTCAAAGTGCAAGTAGATAAATAGGTACCGCTCTGGCGGGAAGGTAAACGGCGTTTCCGTGCGCTGCTCTGGTTTGCCAGAAGTGGCTTAGTCATGCTGGCCACATGACCCGGAAGCTGTACGCTGGCTCCCTCGGCCAATAAAGCGAGATGAGCACCTCAACCTCAGAGTCGTCCGCGACTGGACCTAATGGTCAGGGGTCCCTTTACCTTTACTACCATGTCTCCTCTAACTCAAAGGCCCCAATGCTGCAACCTTTCCTCTTAGGAGAGTCACTCCCTGAATCTGCAGGACCCTGAATTCCTCAGCATGATGAGAGAGGAGGAAAAACTTTTCTCCATCCAAACAATGTACAACAGCACACAGTGGCAGGTTGAGAATCCCTCCCTCTAACCTGATAGATCAACTCCTGCCTGCCTTGCCAAATCTGTTTAGCAGAAAAGAGCTGAGAAAGCTCAGAGCAAAACTGGGTCCCATCTCAGCAGGAACAAGGCCAAGAGGCAGCTACGTGGCCTAGTGGCAACTGGAAGTTTGATAGATAAAGCCCCTCATCCGCTAGCCTGCGATTAGGCACTGGAAACACCTGCAGATGGGACTCACAGAGCATCCTGGTAGGAGAGTGTTGTTTTTAGGGTTCAGAAGACACAGGGTGGAAGGTGCTTTGCATTTTGAGGGCTCTGCCTCTCCCATCTCTCATCCTGGTGCCGTTTACTGGATGTGAGGGCTGGGCCAGGGCAGAAGCACGATTGGGAGTAGGGCTGGCACACAAGTGAGAGGGGCTTGATCCAGCAGCGGCCCTGCTCTTCCTAATGTCTCCAGGACCAAGACTTGAATTGAGTTGGGGAGGTTCATAAGGAGCTCCTGGCTCATCAAGGTCAGCTTGGTGGGAGTCAATCATGACGTGGTCCAGAGGCTGATGTCTCTTTCCCCGCTAGTCTGGGGTTTTGACTATGCTGAGAACCAATCAGCGAAGCATCCCTTTCTTTTAACCCTGTGGCAGTAGAGAAAAAGTGGGGTTGGAAGGGGTTGGAAGGGGGCATGGTCCTAAGTTTAGAGAGGAAGCCCCTGGTACCGTTTCAGATACAGTTAAGTACTTAATTCATTCCGAAGGTCCGTTCTTAACCTGAAACTGTTCTTAACCTGAGGTACCACTTTAGCTAATGGGGCCTCCTGCTGCCATTGCACCGCCACTGCACAATTTTTGTTCTCATCCTCAAGCAAAGTTCTTAACCCAAGGTACTATTTCTGGGTTAGCGGAGTCTGTAACCTGAAGCGTATGTAACTTGAAGCGTCTGTAACCTGAGGTACCACTGTATTCCCTGCCTGTCAACTGCTGAGAGGAGGACAATAAGTGATATTCCTGCATCCCAGGCCTCTATTTTCAGAGCAACTAGGCATTCCTGGGGTGGACCTTCTTGGGACAGGGCATGAGAGCATGATGAAGCAAGGCAGAAGCCTTATTGCTTCTCTCTCTCTCTCTCTCTCTCTCTCTCTCTCTCTCTGCAGCTGGTGGTCAGAAGTGCACAGTTTCAATCAACGTCCTCCTGGCCCAGACCGTCTTCCTCTTCCTGATTGCAAAAAAGGTCCCTGAAACCTCGCAGGCAGTGCCGCTCATTGAAAAGTAAGCAAACAATGTTTAGGGAAGCTTTTAATGTTTGATGCATTACTGTATTTTAATATTTTGTTGGAAGCCGCCCAGAGTGGCTGGGGAAGCCCAGCCAGATGGGTGGGGTATAAATAATAGATGATGATGATGATGATTATATTATTATTATTATTATTATTATTATTATTACTATTATGTCCCGTAGGTGGCAGTGATGGCCTCCAGCTTGGGTGGCTTTAAAGGAGAATTAGACAGATAAATAGTTTCCAAAAAGCCACTCCTTTCATTTTAGCAAAGATTCCCCTGCATTGGGGCATTGGCATGTTTCTGATGTTATTACACCAGTTCATCACTGAAGTGGCAACTCTTTGCGAAAGGGAGTTGCGGAATTTATCTTCCCAACACTGTTGCGTGACAGATAATGGATAAATCCATTTTGCTGGTGGGGAATGAGGGAGAGGTAGCGGCTTGTCCAAGGCCCCGTGAGAAGCCCGCGAGAGTGGCAGGACGTGAGCTCTAGATGTTGGATTTGGTCTCCGGCTGTTGGCATGGCTTTATTTTATTATGGCAGAAGCTCTTGAGGGCTAGCACCCACTTCATCAGACGTTATCCTGATAGATGCATGACCAAGGCTGCCAGGGGGGGGGGCTGCTTGCTAAACCACTGGCTAAAGCACCTCCTTCCTCCATTAAACCTCACTCCAGCCACGTTTGATGGGGAGGGGACTTTGCAGAGTGGTTTGCCAAACTGCTCTGTGAAGTTCCTCTCCCCCTCCATTCAGCAACTCATCAGAAGACGTACACATGGTTGGTGGTTAGGATAGAAGGGAAATTTGGTTCTGTTTGCATTTTTAGGTGAGCCTTCCTGATTTGCCGCCCCCCCTGCCCCCAAGATACAATAAGTTAAACACAGCTGTCCTTCAGAATTCACAACTCTCTGAATTTTGTGGTGCATTTCTCTATAGACAAAAACTGGGTATACCAGGGGAAAGGTGCCTACAAATGCATATATTCACAAATGCTTTACAGTGGAACCTCAGTTTTCGAACGTCTCCATTGACGAACGTTTCGGAACCAGAACGCCACAAACCCAGAAATAAATGCTTCCATTTTCAAACACGCCTCAGAAGTCAAACTTCCAAGGTGGCTTCTGTTCTCAGTTTCCTTATTGTATTGAGGCTTTAGTATTGAGTTTTCAGTTTTTGAATGTTTCGGAAGTCAAACGGTCTTCCAGAACAGATTATGTTCAAAACCGAGGTTCCAGTGTATATCCAGGGTTTTGTTTTGTTTTTTGCAAAACTGTGCCTACAAATGCATATTATTAGTGAATGTATCATATATGGGGAAAGCGTAAAATTGCAAAAACATGGACAAATTTGCATACTGATATGTGTGCATTAGGGGAAAGGCATTTTCCAATTACTTAGAAGAACAAATTCTCAGACTGATGAAGAATATGAAATGGTTGATTTTGCCACTGATTAGGGTAGGTGACCAGTGTGCCATTTTCCTTTTTCTCCCCAAAGGTACTTAACTTTCCTCTTGGTGGTTACTATTGCCATTGTCGTGAACGCTGTCATTGTACTCAACGTTTCCCTGAGGACCCCCAACACTCACTCCATGTCCGCACGGGTCCGGGAGGTAAGTCCAGCGGATGCTGCCCAGAAGCTCTGGGCTGGCCCCCTGCTCACGTTAGACCTCTTTGCACCGCTGAGCCCCAAGACTTGGCCTTTGCCTTACCTAGGAAACTGCCTTATCCTGACTCAGACCACAGGTCCCTCTAGCTCAGCGTTGACCACACTGACTGGCAACAGCTCTTTGGGGTTTTATGCAGGTGTTGTTCCCAGTCCTACCTGAAGATGCTGGAAAGCAAACCTGGGCATATCCTCTGCCACTGAGCTACGGCCCTGTCCCCTTCCTTCTTGAAGAGCCACAGCCCTAGCTCAAACCCCAGACCCTGCCATTTCATGCAACAACCCACTTGGAAACTGCCACAGACTGGCTGGGCACCAGGAGTGCCAGCTTGGCCCCACGACATTGGGTGCCTGGGGACGTGGGTGTCATGCAGTGTGCCTGGCCCTGGCATCAAAGTTTCTGGGTGCCACAAACTCTCCATGGGGAATTTTGTGGGCCCCAGGGAGATGGCAGGGGAATGGTGGGAGGAACCAGAGTCTGGGGGATGGTGGTGGGATGGCAATGAGTGGTCAGGAGGAGGAGATTGGGAGGAGGAGGTGTCAGAAGCTGAAGAGGTAACAGGGCTCAATAAGCCAGGAGAGTCTGTGGGAGAGAGAAGTTCAGAAACAGAAGCAGGAGAGGAGGGAGGAAAAGAGGCAGAGATGAGTCAGGCTGGTGAAGAGTCTTGGGTGTCTCCCCGTCCTGCTGCAACAAGCACTCCTCCCTGCTTGTCTCCCAGAACCAGGAGAGGCATGAAAAGAGCAGAGGAGAAATTGGAGGCACAGTCTCCGATTGCTTGGGAAAAGCCATGGCGAGAAGGGGACTTAGGCAGCTGAGGGGAGGAAGGGACCTTCAGTCTGGAGACCCAGTGTGGTGTTGTGGTTAAGAGCGTTAGACTCGTAATCAGGTGAACCGGGTTCTCGTCTCCGCTCCTCCACATGCAGCTGCCGGGTGACCTTGGTCCAGTCACACTTCTTTGAAGTCTCTCAGCCCCACTCACCTCACAGAGTGTTTGTTGTGGGGGAGGAAGGGAAAGGAGAATGTGAGCCGCACTGAGACTCCTTCGGGTAGTGATAAAGCGGGATATCAAATCCAAACTCTTCTTCTCTTCTTCTTCATCTCAGCAACAACTTCATGGAGGCAAGACCTGCCGGACATGAGTTGCTGTGCTCCTTAGGCCTGACACTCCTGTGCCCTTCTTGTTTTGTCTGATAAAGCATTAACTCCAACTTGCTCTGTGTGGTTTCCTGCCGGCTCACTCCTGTCAGAAACCCTCCTGGGCAGCCTCACCATTTTCTCCCCCCACCTCCCAGGTGTTTCTGAGGCTGGTGCCACGCTACCTGGGCATGCACATGCGGCGTGTCGACGTGCCCGCGGGGAATTGTCTCGTCCGCCGGCGGAGCTCTCTGGGGCTCATGGCGAAAGCGGACGAGTACATGCTGTGGAAGGCGCGGAGCGAGCTCCTCTTTGAGAGGCAGAGGGAGCGTGACGGGTTGGTGAAGATGCTCCTGGCACAGATAGGCAAGTCTTGGGTGAGCAGCAGAGGGTGGTCTGTTGTGGAAGAGAGCAGACGATGGGGAAGGGGGGATGTTTCAAGTTCTTCCTCTTCCCCCACCCCTCAGCCTTCACGAGCTCAGAGCCCTCTTCGAGTTGGACTGGGGAGCCTGTGTTCTCTTCCCACAGATGTCGATAGACTACAACTCCCATCATTCCCTGAGCAATGCCCTTGCTGGCCAGGGCTGATGGGAGTTGGAGTCCAACAACAAACTCTTGTTCTAGAGTCCCAGTGCTTTCTTTCTGGGGGTACTCAGTGGGATACATTTCCCCCAAAATGTGTGGCGCTTACTGTAACAACTTCATGGTGAGTCCCAGCACCCTTTTTCCTAAAAAAAAAGAAGAAGAAGGGGGGGGGAGCAAAGCACTGCTAGAGACTTATAGGGTTTTTCTTTTCTTTTATTGATTTATAATAAAAGCAAGGAACACTAAGCCACAAATTGCAAGAGCAGGGCAGGAGTATAGCGAAAAGGAACATAAGACTTATAGTATTTTTAAAAGTGCCTTTTAGCACACAGCAGACGGTGCTAATCCGCAAACAGCATCGGTCCCCTTTAAATCCCCAAAGCTGCTTCTGCCAGCTCACTTCATCGCTTGCTGTCCTCCTCTTCCTTGCTCTTTCTGGGCAGTTCTTCTGAGCTAGGCCACGCCCTGCAGGCAGATTGCCTCTTCATCATGTGGAGGAGACTTTAAAAATGCTATTAAAACCTATTCTTCTCTATTATTTCTACTGCAGTCCACTCATACCAGGGGCCGCCAGAAGACTTTAACATTTTAAAGCCAGCATCTTAGTGTTATGCTGCCCTCTGTCTTTCCTGCATGCTCTTGGGTCAAGTGTGGAAGCTGTTTGGGCCCCCAACAAGATCTCCCCTGTTCAGATTCTTCCTCTGCAATCTTGACATTTCCCCATTCCCAGGAGGCAGCTTAGAGAACGGAAGTCCCCAGGAGATTTGCAACAGTCTGCGCCGTGCTGCTCCGGAGATCCAGGCCTGTGTCGATGCCTGCAACCACATTGCTAAGACTTTGGAAGAGAAGAAGGACTTTGACAGTGTAAGTTGGCATCTCAGGTGTACAACTGCTTAGGGACCTGTTCACACAGGCATGTTCGTCTCCTGCTGACTGTGGCATCAAGCAATGTTTTGCATGTGTGAATGCGCAGTCATAGAAGATTGATTGATTGATTGATTGATTGGTTGGTTGATTTGTGCTCTGCCTTATCCCCTGATATCATTTCAAACGTATTTTTAAGCAGAGACAATTAACACATTGTTTAGGTATGCGTTCATTTAATTAATTTATGTAACACTTAACGCTGAAACAGGTTTCTAAGGGGTTTGCCATGATTGTTTATGGTTATTTATAAATTTATGTACTGCTTAATGCCAAAAAATAGGCTTCTGAGTGGATTGCAAAGCATGAAATCCCAGCTACTCACACGTTGAAACATACCTTGTTAAAATACACCATAAAATAATTCTGCTACAATATTTAAATAAAAGCATAACCCATAATCAAAAAGGGCAATAAAACAATCCAATTAAAACAGCACGGCGATTGAAACAGGAGGCCTGGGTCGGGAGATCAAGGGACTGCCTGTGTGAACAGGTGCGATTTCAAAAGCCGTCGGCATGCCAATGCAGATGGCGCCTCTTGTATTTCATTCAGCTGCGAGCTTTCATCTTGTCTGACCAAAGCCCTCTTCAGGCATTTCTCTCCACACTTCTTCTTGTGCTCTTTAGTGCATCTCCGGGGCTCCCAGCGTTGCCCAACTGAGGAGGGCATATGCCAAGCGGAGATCTATGGGGTGTGGCAGGCCCTTAGGTAACCTGGTCCCTAGTTATTCAGGGCTTGTAAGTGCTAAGAGTAAAGCCTTGAATTGTGCCCAGTAACATATCAGCAGCCAGTAAAGCGGCTCCTTGGCAGGGGTGTTATCTATGGCATTGACAGACTGTGCCAGTCAACAACCCAGCTGCTAAAATCTGCACCAGCCGCAGCTTCCGAGTGAAACCCGACCGAATAATGAGCAGGCCTTCCGCTGCCCCAAATGGTGGGGAGAACCAGGAGATGAAGGGCTTGTGGCTGCAGCATAAGCCAGAGGGCTGAAAGAATGAGCTAAGGAGGAAACCTCACCATCCCCAGGGAACCCATACCAGGGGGGCGTGAATCAGTGGAGAAGGAACACCAAGACCCCAGCATCCTGCTTTGGAACTGTTAGAGGGCTTACAAATCAGTGGGCAAGACAAGAACTTTATTGTCCCTAAAGAAAAAAAAAATGGAACAAACACAGGAAACTCCACCCAGGTACAACTAAATCCAGCGCCACCCAGTGACTAAGCTGTATAATGACACCATTCTAATTTTTTTTAATTAAATTTCTATGCAGCCCTTCATCCGAGGATCACAGGGCGGCTCACAGTATAAAAACACAAAATCACAAATAAAACAATACCCCCCATACTGTCCACACACAAACACACCCTCTCCTCTTTTCAGAGGCTCCAGGCAAAGACTGTGTTGAGAATCCTCCGTTGGGAATGTTCGCCATGAAATTGGTTGGGGAGAGAGGGGGTAACTGTTCCTCCTCACCCCTGGTTTCACCTCTTTCCACCACTACAACAGTCCCCTGGGTAATTTAATGCTAGTTTTAATTTCCCACAGGTCCCGTGGCAAGGCTGCTGCAGTGTCCTTCCCGGTAGGCTTCTGAGAAACTAAGCTTTGGCTGCCTGTGATTGGGGTGACAGGCAAAAGGGGACTGCTTTATTTCAGCCCAGCTCCTGTCTGTCAGGCTTCAGGAAATCCGATCTCTCCCATGGTGGGCAACCAAGAATTAGATAAACAAGAAGAGTTCTTACCAAGTCTTTTATTCAATATTAACAGAAAGAGGCTTTGAAAAGTGCCTCTCTTGCAGTAATGGTTTTGCTCTGAGTAAAGCTCCACCCCTTCTGTGTCTCCTATTATATGTCATCCCTACGTATATAGAGCCAGTGTGGTGTAGTGGTTAAGAGCAGTAGACTTGTAATCTGGTGAACTGGGTTCGATTCCCCGCTCCTTCACATGCAGCTGCTGGGTGACCTTGGGCCAGTCACACTTCTCTGAAGTCTCTCAGCCTCACTCACCTCACAGAGTGTTTGTTGTGGGGGTGGAAGGGAAAGGAGATTGTTAGCTGCTTTGAGACTCCTTTGGGTAGTGATAAAGCGGGATATCAAATCCAAACTCTTCTTTTTCTTCTCCTCTTCTACGGTGGCTGATCTGTGCCTTCTGCCTTTGAGCTTTCTCTTCTCCTACTCTCAATGCCCGCCAGGTCCTGGGAGAGGGGGGATCTGGTATACTTTCTAAAGACACTGAGTCTGTCAGCTGTCTCTCCTGCTGTTGCTCCTCTCCCAATATTTCCCAGCTTCCCCCCTCTGCAGCCTCTGAGCTAAGACCGTCTGCAAACAACTGCTGTAAATCTATGCTGTCTCCCTCTTCTCTGGGAAGTGCCCCGGGGGGGACGGGGATGAACTCCACAATTCCTCCTCAGTCCCGTCCCTCACACTGTCAGGCCTGAAGGACCCCTGTGGCAGCCTCCACGCCCTCTTCCGCTCGACAACTTGCACACCTCTCAGCCACTGAAAACAATTCTAACGTGCATCCTGTCTGGTGTCTTCTTCTTTGCAGGAGAACGAGGAGTGGATCTTGGTGGGCCGGGTCATTGACCGCGTCTGCTTCCTCTTCATGGCCTCCATCTTCATTTGTGGGACGCTGGGCGTCTTCCTGATGGCGCAGTTCAACCAGGCTCCCGCAGAGCCCTTCCCAGGGGACCCCAAGCTGTACCTCCCCTAGGAATGAGGTCTATCTAGGGGTGGCGGCAGCAGTGGCAGCAGCGGTGGCAACCCCTCAACGGCCGTGTGTTGGCGCCGTCTCTCAAATGAAACCTCTGTGCTTGGTGGACTTCTCTGCTGGGGGCCAATTATGTCCCATAGGAATGCAAGAAGACTCCATATCCATTGGTCCATCTATCTCAATATGGTCTACACTGGCAGGCAGCAGCTCTCCAGGGTTTCAGGCAGGAGTCTCCTCCAACCCTACCTTTGAAAGGGGATCTTCTGCATGCAAACCATGTTCTTTATCACTGAGCTATGGCCCTCCCTCATAGCCACAAAGCCTTCCTGTTTAAGTCAGTGCTTGCTCACATGTTCTAGCAGGTGGGCACACTGCCTTTTTGGGTGGGTTGCAGGGTTGCCCGTCAGTGCCTTCCCAGGTTCCTCAGCCAACAGCTGAAGCTAAGAGAGGCAGACAGTACTGTCCCCTCCCTGTGAGACCGTTGGAAAAGCTGCAGCCTTAAAGGTTGTGCTGGGACCCATCCATTAATCAGATATTTGACTGCCTTCAGGCAGCACTTCATTCCTCTTCCCCAACATTTACTTACCTGATAATTTCTTCATTTTCTGTGCTCTTTCACACGACGTGAAAGCTACTTCTGGAAACCTAGCAAAAACTGTAGCCCTCATTTCCGTGTCCATTGCTCTTGGAAGCAACCAGTTCGCAACCCCTTTGTGGCTGTTTCTAAAAGCAATCAACCCAGAAATGAATATCATGGGAGTTTTGCATTGTCATTTTTTCCGGACTCCGTGGAGGGAATTTGGGGCAGGGATCTGGCAGACCATTCCCTCCTGCCATTTTCATGAATGGATTGCACACATAAAGAGTGGCAACGTGTCCAATGGCAGGTGCAAACAGAATTGAGGCACAGTGGCACCAAATGTCCAAAGGCCACAGTTCCACAAGGCAATGTGAAAGGAATGTGAGAAACTCATGCAGATGCCCAGCGGAATTGCCAGCAGGAAAATAAACAGGATGGACACCCCCCCCACACACACACATCTGAAGGTGGCCTTTGTCTCCCAGCAAGGGCTGGGAAATAAAAGTAAGATAGTTGTTTATTGCCTTGACATCTGGTGGGAGGGTGTTCCACAGGGCAGGTGCCACTACCGAGAAGGCCCTCTGCCTGGTTCCCTGTAACCTCACTTCTTGCAGTGAGGGAACCGCCAGGAGGCCCTCGGAGGTGGACCTCAGTGTCCAGGCTGAACGATGGGTGGGCTCCTTCAGGTATACTGGGCTGAGGCCGTTTAGGGCTTTAAAGGTCAGCACCAACACTTTGAATTGTGCTCGGAAACGTACTGGGAGCCATTGAAATCCTTTAGGACCGGTGTTATATGGTCTTGGCGGCCACTCCCAGTCACCAGTCTAGCTGCTGCATTCTGGATTAATTACAGTTTTTGAGTCACCTTCAAAGGTAGCCCCACGTAGAGCACATGGCAGTAGTCCAAGCAGGAGATAACTAGAGTATGCACCACTCTGGTGAGGCAGTCTGTGGGCAGGGAGGGTCTCAGCCTGCGTACCAGATGGAGCTGGTAAACAGCTGCCCTGGACCCAGAATTAACCTGTGTCTCCATGGACAGCTGTGAGTCCAAAATCAGTTGCATGTCCCTAGGTCCAGCTTTACTTCAAATGCTCTGTGTTTCTTTCTTGCCTGGGATGCGTCCTTAACCCGGATGCGATAAGAGGCGAGGCCTGCTATAGGAGCAAGGAGGGGCTGTGGTTCTTGGGCAGAGCACACTCTTGGGCAGACCAAGACCCGCAGCCCTGGCTTCCTTGTCCTCTGCATAGCAGCGTCGCAGCCCAGAGCGCTGTTTGCAGAGGCAGGAGAGACAAATTGCAGTGCCGCTTGCTCCTTCAGTCCCCAGCTCCTGTTCCTCTCCAGTCAATAGTGAAAGACGATTAGCCATCTCTCAAACCCTGCTCCAGTCCAATGAGAGGCCTCCTCCTTTTATCCCCATACCCTGCAGTTAACGCCACTTCCCTCGCTTGGGCCCAAAGCTTATTTTCCCCGTTGCTCTATCTCGCTCCTGCAGCCCCCGACTGGGGCTCCTCAAACACGGCCATTTGGACAGTTTGGCGTTTCTGCTGTCAGAACAAGGCCCCGAGGCCAGAGCAGCTCTGTTTCCCGCTGCCCCCGTGCCGCTATATTGTCCTGGCCCCTCTCCAGGCCTTGTCAAAGCAGCCGTCTCAGAGGCCCTCTCTGCGGATAACTCTTCCGAGGACCTGCCAAATCGCCTGCCTGCCGCTCCCCGGAGCTGTGGCAGGTGCAACAGGCCAGCAGCGGTAATGACAGCGAGCGAACGAGAGGCAAAGAGAAGGGTTTAGATAAAGTCCCTGTCATTAATCCAGACTGATCGTGGGATTTGTTGCTCCCGCGTTCTTGAAAGGTGGGCTGCTGTTGTTTCCTGAGAGGGAAAGAGCCTTTAGAAACTGACAGTCTCTCTCTCTCTCTCTCTCTCTCTCTCTCTCTCTCTCTCCAGTCCTCTTAAACTTTAGCTGAGTTCCCTGCATTTGCAGGGGTCCCTGCAACTCTATGATTCTATGAAATCACAGAATTCGCAGAGGCAAGAAGGTGTTGTAGCCATGGGGGCTTCAGGACACGGACAATACAGCAGTGGCAACTGGTGACCACTGAGGCTGGTGGGGCGGCTAATGGTAGGCGGAGTCTGCTGGGGTAGGCGGAGCCCTAGATCTTAGGAGGAGGAGCCAACCAATCAAGGTTTTCCCTCCACCTTCCTTTTCAAAGACAGCGAGGGGAAGAAATTCAGATCAGTACACATTTAAAGACACATCTATCGGTTTTGTTGCCAAACAGTGTGGGAATAATAATAATAATAATAATTTATTTATATGCTGCCCATCTAACTGGGTGGCTTCCAGGAAATGAAAGCATCAAACACTGTAAAGCACCAAACGTTAAAAACTTCCCTGTGCAGCATTATACAAAGCAATCCAAAATGCACACTAATTGAATTTTGCAGTGCTTACAAAGATGCATATTATTACGAAGGTTGTGCACCCTGAATCTCGGTCGTGCGGGAGAAAAATTCCAGGGGGTTCCAGGAGCTCACCCAGGGTTGTGTTTCTGTTGGGAAGTTGAGGCACAGCAGAGGCTAGTGTCTTTAAGAAATATGGTTTATTTTACACATATTTACACCTAAAACCTTCAGTGCAGGGGGCACAGAACATTATGCCCCAAGAGTGTCTCTCATTGCTCTTCCCAGAGCTTCAGGAAGGTTGGGTCCAGCGCAGTGGTCAGTCATGGGCCCCGGTCTCCCTGTGCAGCCTCTTCCAGCCAGCGCTGTACGGGCATCTCCCCAGAGCCTCCTTCTTGTTCCCAGAAACCTTCGTTATAATGTCATGAGAGAGGAAGAAAAGCATCTCTCCGCCCACTTTCTACACACCATGCATAAATTTATACACCTCTAATATGTCTCCTCTCACCTTTTCTCTAAATGGAAGAGCCCTAATTTCTGTAACCTTTCCTCACCCTTTCCTGCGCTATTTTTTGAGGTACATCCTGTGTTGTCAACATGGCTGGGAGCTGGACTAGAGGACCTCTGGGTTCCCCTCCCAACACAGTGGTTCTAGGGTTTGCTAAGGATTGGGACAAGATAAAGAGAACGGGGCCTAGGAAGCAGGGAGCAATGGAATGCATGGAATATGTGAGCATTCAGCACCCCCACAAATAATAGCTCCCCACCATCACTGACAAGCTGGAAGGTGTGCAGAGGAGGGCGACCAAGATGACCAAGGGTTTGGAAACCAAGCCTGATGAGGAACGGTTGAAGGAGTCATTTATATTTAGCCTGGAGAAGCCATCTTCAAGTATCTCAAGGGCTGTCACATTGGAGATGGAGCAAGCTTGTTTTCTCCTGCTCCAGAGGGTAGGACCTGAACCTATGACTTCAAGTTACAAGAAAGGAGAACCCAATTAAACATTAGGTGCGTCTCCACCCCCATCGTTCTGCCCGGATACTGAGGTCCAGCGCCAAGGGCCTTCTGGCGGTTCCCTTGCTGTGAGAAGCCAACTTACAGGGAACCAGGCAGAGGGCCTTCTCGGTAGTGGTACCCGCCCTGTGGAACGCCCTCCCACCAGATGTCAAAGAGAAGAACAACTACCAGACTTTTAGAAGACATCTGAAGGCGCCCTGTTTGGGGAACCTTTAATGTTTAAAAGGTTATTGTATTTTAATATTCTGTTGGAGGCCGCCCAGATGGGTGGGGTATAAATAATAAATTGTTGTTGTTGTTGTTGTTATAAGAACTTTCTGGCTCAAAGAACTGTCTGACAGTGGCATGGACTGCCTTGTAAGGTGGTGGACTCTCCTTCATTTGTGGTTTTTAAAGAGATGTTGGGTGGCCACCTGCCAGGGAGGTTTTAGCTGAGCTCCCTGCATTTCAGAGGGTTGGATTAGATGACCCCCAGGGTCCCTTCCAGCTCTACAATTCTATGATCTCCCTGTCAGGGGCAGACTTTGGTAATCTTTCATAATACGGGGCCCTGTGCAAGGCCAAAATGTGGTGCCTCAAAACAGATCTTCTGAGTTATAGATCTTCCCGATTTTGAGTACCCTTGGCACAGTAGCCTGTGCGGTAGAACCGCCCACACTGCCCAAATCCGGTGCTGTCCCTGCCTCTGGAAAGTTTCCTTTTGCCATTCACGCCCTCTGCCAGCTGACCTCCTCATCTGATGCATATGCCCTTCTGCGCTCCAGCGACGCCATTGTCCCCGCACAACAGGGCAGATCCGGGTAGTTGGCATGGGAACACAGGAGGAATGGGGATGGAGATTAGAGGCTGGGTTTGCTGGAGGTGGCAGTCTCCGTCCTAGGCTGGGCCAACCGCCTGGGTTTCTGCGGTCTATGTTTCTTCTTACCTTCTGCCTCCTCCTCCCTGGTCCGTGGCCGCTGCCTCCAGAGCCCCACGTCTCCTCGAAATGTCTGTGATAAACTCCCAGCCTTCCCCCTTTGGACACCTGACACGGGAGAGACACATTGAATCCGTGGCCAAGCCACTGAAGTGGGGCGATGCCCCAGAGCTCCTGGCTGGGGAGGCATCTCAGGGCTGCACCGGTGACGTCTTGGCTACGGGGTCAGATTCAACACGGCTTCAGAGGCACCCCCTGCAGGTAGTCAACACATGGGGCATCAAGGGGTACAACTGCAGCACAGAGGCTTGGATGGGTTATGAAACAGCGCCCTCCAGAACGAAGTGCCAGGGTGCCCTGGATTTACCTCTGGTGCCACCAGCCTACGGAGGGGGTCAAGGAGGAGAGCTGGGTCCCTTGCGGCACCGAGAGGCCGACACTCATCCTGGACTGCAGTTACTGGCCGGGGCCCAAGAGCTCTGCATCACCTCCAAGGCTGAGCGCCACGGTAAGGACCCGTTCTGATGCCCAAGGAGACTCGAGCAGAGGGTGGGGGACTTGAAGCCCAGGGGGCAGGGCTAGTGGCCCTCCCGGCCACATTGTCTGGCGAGAGTCTCTCCTGGACACACCCCTTCCCAAAGCCACACCCATACTGTCTCAGTGCTTTCAACTGGCTGAGATAGAATAATAGGGTAAACCTAAAGGATCTTTGAAATGTAGTCTTGCTGCTTGCTTGCCTAGATGAAGATAGGTGTGTGTGTTTGTGTAGAAACCTATGGTTTGTGTGTGGCTGGAATGTATCCTTCTGTACAAAGGCAAAAGCCACGCCCATTGCTCCACCTATTTTTGCCTCTGGACCCACCCACTGCAGGCATGTGGCCCCCAGGGAGGAAATATGGTCCTCAGATTGAAAAATTGAACCCTCGCCTAGAGTTAACAGTCACCGCCTGATAGGATGGCTTCCCTGTTTAAGCATTCCTTTATAGCATAGGGTTACCAGATGTCCCCGGTTCCCGGGGACAGTCCCCAGATTTGCAAATCTGTCCCCGGACAAATTCCGTCCCCGGAATGTCCCCAGATTTGCAAATCTGTCCCTGGGAAATGTGGCAGCAGCAGCCTCAGCAGCCTGGTAGCGCAGTTGGCTCTGGCTGGCTTCAGGAGCTGCTTGCTGCCGTGGCGACTGCCATTTTCCCTGCACCACAGCAGCAAGCAGTGAGCAGCTCCTGAAGCCAGCCAGAGCCAACTGCACTACCAGGCTGGCCCCTCCTGGGCAACGGCTGCCCGCCCGTGACTCCCGAGCCTCCCCTGATCTGTCAAAACAAAGGGGGGAGGGGGCAGGAGATCGGGGAAGGCTCAGGAGTTGCGGGCGGGCGGCGGGCCGTTTCCCAGTTTTTAAAAAAACTCTGCGCATTTATGTTTCACAGGGTGCGAAAGAAGGGCTTTGCACCTTTATACAATATGCATGTGTGCTTGGGCCCAGGGTCTTTTGCCTCACCATCCCCACTACTGACTCCCTGTTGCTACTCAGCTTCAAAAAAGGGGGGGGGAGGTGTCCCCGGATTCATTGAAAAAAATCTGGTAACCATATTATAGCAGGGATGCCAAACGGAAATGACTAGGGCGGGGTGTTGTCTTCCTCGGTCGGCAAATGCTCTGGGGGCGATCCCACACGTCAGAAGGACATTTGTCCTGCAAAGCCTAGGATGACCTTGGCCCTGAAAATGACTGACTTTCGGCAATAACAGACTGGCATTACCAGCTACAAGAATTTGCTGAAATGGCGCAGTTAACAAATACCCTGAGAGGCAATTCAAAACAAAAATATATGGAAAAGTGGGATAGATATAAAACATATGTTCAAAAATACAGTAAAGGTTCGCTATCCATGCTAGCATTTGATTGACGTTGGAGTAAGACTGAGTTGAGGAATAAGACTAAGAGCACATATTGATATAGGAATGTATTAGATAATATGTAAAGAAATATGCAATATTAAGAGTACATTCATTTGTAAAAAAAGGAATATACAACGGGAAAGACAGGAAGTCTAGTGTGTTGGTATGTACAGTGGTACCTCAGGTTACATACGCTTCAGGTTACATACGTTTCAGGTTACACACTCTGCTAACCTAGAAATCGTACCTCAGGTTAAGAACTTTGCTTCAGGATGAGAACAGAAATTGTGCTCCGGCGGCGCAGTGGCAGCAGGAGGCCCCATTAGCTAAAGTGGTGCTTCAGTTTAAGAACTGTTTCAGATTAAGAATGGACCTCCGGAACAAATTAAGTACGTAACCAGAGGTACCACTGTATATGATTTTGGGGGGGAAATTTTGTTTTTGTTTTTTCTCTTTGTTCTTTCATTTTTTTGTTTCATTTTCTTTCTAGGTATATAAAATTAGTATATAATTTTTGTATACCTGTTGGAAATTATAGTAAGTCCTGTAATGTAATATGACAACATTTACCAATGTAATATAAGAATGTTAACAAATAAATAAAATGCAAATTCGAAAAAAAGAAAAAGAAAAAAAGGAAGATGACTGACTTCTCCTGTGTGGCAAGAGGGGTCAGAGCCCCCAGAAAGCCTGGCAAGGACCCAGAACTGCTGGTTAATGTTTTCTAACACATTGTGTGAGTACGAGAATGCGAGCAAGAACCTGGCTGCGGAATCAGGACAAAGGTCCGTTTAGTCTAGCATTCCGGCCCAGTCTGTAACCCTGGAGAACTGCTGCCAGTCAGTGTAGGTAGTATTGAGTTAGATGGACCAATGGTCTGTCTCAGCCTAAGGCGGCTTCACGGTGTCTTTGTGCCCCCTTCTTGCTGCAGGACTTGTCAGCAGCTCCCAAAGAAGAAGCTACGTCATCAGAGGCGCGGCCGGCGAAAGGGGACTCCTGCTGTTGGCCACCGAAGGTTAAGTACAGCCTCTGAATTTCTGGGAGTTCCCACATCAGAAAGAGACAGAGAGGAGGTTCAGCCCCCGGGCAAAGCAGCAGCAACAGCAGTAGCAATAGTAATGATAACAGTGTAGAATCATTGAATTGCAGAGTTGGAGGTGACCCTGAGGGTCATCTAGTCCAACCCCCCCTGCAATGCAGGAATCTCAGCCAAAGCATCCTTGACAGTTGGCCGTCCAACCTCTGCTTAAAAACCTCCAAGGAAGGAAAACCCACCAGCTCTTGTGGGAGTCTGTTCCACTGTCGAACAGCTCTTACCGTCAGAAAGTTCTTCCTGCGTTTGAGCTGCAATCTTCTTCCTTGTAACTCAAAGCCATTTTCTTCAAGCAGGAAAAAACAGTAGTCGCAATAACCAAGAATAATTTGCTTCAGTCCTAGTACCATTCTGTTTATTGCCTGTGTCCATTTTGCAAGAGTTCATTCATAAATCCATTCCACACACACCCTTTCTGTATTAATCAGTGATTTATTTATTTTTTAAACAACCCTGCAAAAAATTATACTTAAATACCGGTAATGTTATGCCAAAATACAGACAACAACCACTACAGTTCTGGTATGTAATATTTTTATTGATTGTGTTCAGAAGTGCAAACATAACAAAGAAGAGAAGGGGGGGGAGGGAGGGAGAGAATGTAAACTATAAGCATCACAGCCCGGAAAGACATAAGTACAAAATTGCAGTGCAGGTCCAAATAAAGTATCTGTTCATACAAATATTCCCTTTACAAATAACAAAGATATGTAAAAGTAAATAAGGAGATGAAATAGAATGGATAACTATAATTATATGCAAGAAAAGAGGGTAAAATATGGAAAGCAGGGTGGGGCGGGGCGAGGGGGGAGTCTCAGGGCTTTATATAATCCCAGTATTGTATATATGGAAAATGTTTGGAGTGTATGGAAATAATGTTAACATAAAACTGCAAATAACAAATAACATAAAACTGCAAATAAAAAATTTAAAAACAAAGAAACAAAGATATGTAAAAGTATTCTCCACCCATGAGTCCCATCATTACTGAGAATAAAGCATTGCTAAACATCTTGCGAATCTTCGTACTTTGGTCCATTTACCATATTTATTTTTCCTGATTTGAACTATAAAATGGTGGTTTTCTTGAGTCAAAATGAGAGTACCCTGAAACATTTTAAAAAAAAAAAAAAGCACTGGAATAAAGGTTCTGTAAAGTCTTAGGTGAGCCAGACATTTGCACGTAGGGGTGGCCCTGAGAGTTCGTGTGTCTCGATATTCATATAAGAAATCAGTACAATTCTGGTAGCAGCAGCAGTAGAGCCATCAGCTGAAAAGGCAACCAGCCTCTCTTGCCCAACACATAGCAGTCCCTGCAGAACAGCACCCCCTTTGGGGCAGGAGGGGAATAGGTTCCATGCCTGCGCCTTGACTGTGCATCTCTCTCCTTCCCTCTAAGAATGCAACAACTGCTGCTTTCACCTGTGTGGCCCTGCCCGCCCCTGCCACCTTTGCCTCCAAGATCAGGAAGGCCATGTCGTCCTGTGGTTCTGCAGACCTTTCCGACTGGGCCTCGGCTGCCTCTGTTGCTGCCAGATGGAGATGGGGGCTTTCACCGGCGATAACCAGCTTATCGGCACCGTGCGCCAGAGGTGTGTGTGTGTGTGCAGCCAGTTCAGACAAGGGCGGTGGGAGGGTTCAGAGGCGAGCGGTTGTCCGTGCCATCGGAGCATGAATGAGATGCCCAAATATTCTCGGTTGCTACATACCCTGAGCCTAACTTTTAAGGCAGCCTGTTGCCTGCTAGGAAACATAATCCATCACGTACACTTCTTTGATGGGATCTGCCTACCAGTCCCTGGGATCTGTCTCTTGGTCACACTTGAATTCAGGACTGTGGGGAATGTTCTCCCACCATCCCTAATTACTGTCCCATCTGGATCAGGGTGAGTCCAACAATATCTGGCAGCTCTGCTCTGATTTGAAAATCTGGGGCCGCCCTTGGGCCTGATCCGGAAGCTCCAGCTGGTGCAAAACTCTGCAGTTGTTGATGGGGACAAACCATTCCAGCACATTAACCCGGTGCTCAAAAGCTTGCATTGGCTGTCCATACGCCAGCAGGCGAGATTCAAGGCCCTGGAAAATTGAGTTCCTGGATACTTCCAGGACCGCCTGATGTTCTTTATTGATCTCTGAGGTTTACGGGAGAGTCACTGTCAGGGGTCCCCCATGGCTCGGATAAGGAGATTTGCATTTGCTATTGTGGGTCCAATTGTGGGGACTTCCCTTCCAGTTGATTTCTGACAGTGTGCCAACTAGAATAAAATATTGTGGGGGCCCAGGTAAGCCCCGCCCGGATAATCAATCACATGATGCAATGCATACACACCATTTAAATGGGAATGCCCATCAGCTTTGTGGGGGTCCGGCCCCCTCAAATGTTTTATTATGCCTCCACGACCCCTAGGACTCCTGTGCTGACAATACTCCTCCATTTTGAACTTCAGGCATCGCTGAAGACTATTCCAGCAGGCTTTTAACCGAATTCTAATTTTAATCATTCTAACTCTTTTATTGCACAGTGGAACCTCGGTTTTCGAATGTAATACATTCCGGAAGACCGTTCGACTTCCGAAACGTTTGAAAACCGAGGCACAACGGGCAGTCAGCAAAATCCATTGAGAAAATAGAAAAGCATGCAGTGGAAACTGTTTGACTTCTGAGGCATGTTTGAAAAGGGAAGCAATTATTTCGGGTTTTTGGCGCTCGAAAACCGAAACGTTCGACTTCCGAGATGCTCGAAAACCGAGGTTCCACTGTACTGGGTCTTAGAGACCACTGTAAATTAAGCAGGATATAAATTATCAAAATATACCAACGAAATGAAATGTCTTGGGGTGTGGCTATGGAACTGAAAGGGTGGACCTTGTAGACAAGGCCAATCTCAGTTCCCCAGTTCTGCGTTATTGTCGACATTTGAACAAAGCAGTATGAACTGACCCCCTGTTGGAGTGGGTGGGCTTCCTCTGTCCTGTTGGCTTGGAGATTTATCCCAATCCCCAACCCACAGCTGCTCCCCTCTACTGTCTCCGTGCCTCCCACAAGACTCACCCGCTGATGTGCTTAGGTGCCGCATCTTCTCCCATTTCCTGGAAGTCAGTGATGCCTGTGGTTTTGCCACCATGAAGATCTATGGCTCCTGCATTCCTAGACGGTGCTTCTCCGAACAGGAGTTCCAGGTACGGAAAGAGGTTGAGGGGCCCATGACAGATGGGAAACAAGGCGTCTCAGAAGGGGAAAGTAAGTTTTGCTTTGTCAGAGAGATCAACACTCCTTCCAGGGTGGAAGGTGGTGGCCCAGGGATGGAAATAATAATAATAATAATAATAATAATAATAATAATAGGCACTACAGAAATTCACCATGGGCCACAGGGTGCAGCTGAACCAGGTTCCACAATAAAGGATCCCATAATAAATTACACACACACATATATATACAATAATAAAATAGTAATAATAGAGATTAATGATATGTATGTGTAAAAACAAGATTCAGCCATGCTGAACTTTATAAAGTAATTGGAGAAGACAATATTGAATATGCCTTTCCAAATGTAGACGTTTGCTTTCATACATTTTTTAATGTTAATGGTCACAAATTGCTCAGCTCAGTGTTCGTTTTCTCAGCTGAAGTATATTAAAAATCCCAACGGAACAGCTGTGCCACAAGGCAGGCTGGGTGCCTTATCTCTACTAAGCATAGAAACAGATGTGTGACATTAGATTAGTTTTAAGGGTCAGGTCAAAGAACTTCGCAATTAGAAAAAGTAGGAGAATTTTTTTCAGATACAAAGTATACAGACATAAACAATATCTTCCATCTTACTGCAGGTTTCGTTTTGTTTCAAAAAGTAGAAATTTATTACACAGTTTATTGTGGTTCATATTTTGAATTTTATATATATGGGGGCACCAGAATCCTTTCAGTGCTTATAAGGGTCTTAATCCGGCCCTGAGAAGGCCCTTCCACCCATCCAAGTCCCAGCGGTGATGTTGGAAATAACCCACCACATCAACCTTCGCCAACCCGGTGCCCGCCAAATGTTGTAGTCCAAAACATCTGGAGGGCACCAGGTTGGCAAAGGCTGCCTGAAAGCAAGGGCAGGGAACACTCCATTCACTCTCATTATCTTCCCAACGACACTTCATCATCACCACAGCTCCGCTGACTTGATGTGATCATTCACCCATGGATGACAGAGTGTCACTTCAATTCAAGAGCCCTGTGATCTTGCCATGGGCTGTTGACGCCTTTCAAAGTTAGCTCCACACCCTTGACTTGCTCCTTCGATGAAAGCCCGGCTGGAGCACCCTTGTCTCAAGAAGGGAGAGCCCAGGGTGCTTGCTCACAATGACATCATTGTGGGGAGATGGTTTCCTGTAGGTCCGGCCCTACCGTTTGGCAAGGTCAGGCATCTGTCTCAGGCGGTACATAATGGGCAGTAGCACTGAATTTCTGGAAGACAGAGCAGTCTTCCCAGAGCTTTGAAAGCTAGCCTGCTTCCATCAGGTGTGAAGGACTTTCTCCCACTACCGTTGCCGATGTGAGGGTCAGCAGCCACCTGAGGCATCTTGTTCTCTGCCTCAGGTAGCAAAGTGTCTTGGCTCCCAGCTCAGCGCAGCGTTCAAATGAAGTTTCTCCCATGTTGATCATTGAGCATGACCTTTGCTCCTCCTCTCTCCAGGTCCTCTCCTCCACTGACAGCGTAGTAGCCACTATTTGGAAGAAGTGGCCGGGATTCAAGGAGGAACGCAACATGGATCATGAGTCCTTTGGAGTGGACTTGGGTAGGAGAATTCCCGTCCTCTTTTGGGCAGAGCACAAAACATTGCAACCTGATTGTCAGTTGAGACATCTACTTGCTGTCTAGCTGCTGTTGTTTAGTCGTTTAGTCGTGTCCGACTCTTCGTGACCCCGTGGACCAGAGCACGCCCGGCACTCCTGTCTTCTGCTGTCTACCTATATTATGCTAATATTCTTTTAAAAAATCAGAGTCCTTAGTTTAGCATTTGCAGAAGTGCTCAGGGTGCCTCTAAATTGTTGTTAGCATGCTAGAAGGGAGGAGAGGGGAGAGAAGAAGGGGAAACACTCTTACCTCTGATGCACAAACACATATCACAGAAACAAAACACTGGAGGGGACTTTGTAGGGCAGTGATGGGGTAAAGGTAAAGGGACCCCTGACCATTAGGTCCAGTCGTAACCGACTCTGGGGTTGCGGCACTCATCTCGCTTTATTGGCCGAGGGAGCCGGCATACAGCTTCCGGGTCATGTGGCCAGCATGACTAAGCTCCTTCTGGCAAACCAGAGCAGAGCACGGAAATGCCGTTTACCTTTCTGCCGGAGCGGTACCTATTTATCTACTTGCACTTTGACAGGCTTTTGAACTGTTAGGTTGGCAGGAGCAGGGACTGAGCAACGGGAGCTCACCCTATCGTGGGGATTCGAACCGCCGACCTACTGATCTGCAGCCCTAGGCTCTGTGGTTTAACCCACAGCGCCACCCGCTGGGCATAATCAGGCAAGCCAGACCTCTCCATCTGGACCATGAAGCTGATTCAGGGAGGCTATGCCCACCTCCCCTACACGTGACATCTGACACCTGGGGGGAGGCAAGTGAGGGTGCGGCTTGTTCAAATGGACCTTGTGGGTGCTGATGATTAGTCATCCCTGCAAAGCCTTCTTGCGCAGAGGATTTTCCCACCTCTCCTCTGGCCCTCTGGCCTCAGGCAATCCCCAGATCTACTTCAGATGTTTCTTTGGGGCGGGGGACACACACCCCACAACAAATTTAGGGGGTGTCCTTAGGCAAGGCATTTTTGCATGCCTGTTTCCACTAACATATGTGTTTTAATGCACGCTTTACGTCTTAATACGCAATGCTTGGCTGGAGAACTTCACTGCAAAATTCAGAGAAGTGCAAATGGCGGTGTTTCAGTTGGCATATTGATTCAGAAAGTGTTCACCTGTCGGATTCCCTCCCCTCTACATAGAAGTAAACCCCTTATTCAGTGGAGCTCAGTAGCAAGCAAGTGGGCAGTTTATGCCTGCTCCAGCTCCCTAGAGAGAACCCCCACATTCTGAGGTGCCCAGCAAATAGAGCATGAGACTCTTATTCTCAGGGCTGTGGGTTCGAGCCCCAGGTTAGGCAAAAGATTCTTGCATTGCAGGAGGTTGGACTAGATGACTCTCAGGGTCCCTTCCAACTCTATAGTTTCTATGATTCAGCCACCTCAGAGTTTCCTGCCTCTGTGACAGATTTCTCCTGTTATCCAAGCAGCAAAACTGACTCCAGCAAGTTCCTCTAGCTCAGCTCTTAGCTTTGAAGGATGTTGCCTTTCTCAGACTCTGATGGGTATTCCATTCCAATAGCAGGAGAGACATTCCCAGTTCTTATCCGTCAATCCTTTGATGCATGTCCACTCGCTCTTTGTCATCCAAATGCCTTTTGCTGGGCTTTGCGTGTTCTTCATTTATACTGCAGCACTCAGAAGCCAGCTTCGTGGAGCTCAGGGACACTTACTCCTCTTGGGCAAAGGACGGGAGAAATTCAATTTCGCTTGTGCTTGTAAGGGTGAACCGTCCTAATTCGCACTTCCAGAAACAACACACGAGCTTCAACATCAAAACAGGGCTGCTTTTTGAAATGAACACTTGTCTGAATTTCACAATGAGTTCCTCTGGCCAAGTAATGCGTACCAAGATGCATAGGGTGTGCACAGAATGCATACGTTGGTGAAGATAACATTTAAAATGTGCTATATTGGGAGAAATGGCTATGCAGAATGTATATATTGGGGGAAATTGCATAGGAACGTATGTACATTAGGAGAGTTTTGCTGGTGGGGTTTAATGAGGACCTTATAAAATAACAAGGGACACAGGTGGCGCTGTGGGTTAAACCACAGCGCCTAGGACTTGCCGATCAGAAGGTTGGCGGTTCGAATCCCCGCGACGGGATGAGCTCCCGTTCCTCGGTCCCTGCTCCTGCCAACCTAGCAGTTCGAAAGCACCTCAAAGTGCACGTAGATAAATAGGTACCGCTCTGACGGGAAGGTAAACGGTGTTTCCGTGCGCTGCTCTGGTTCGCCAGAAGCGGCTTAGTCATGCTGGCCACATGACCCGGAAACTGTACGCCAGCTCCCTCGGCCAATAAAGTGAGATGAGCGCTGCAACCCCAGAGTTGGCCACGACTGGACCTAATGGTCAGGGGTCCCTTTACCTTTACCTTATAAAATAACGGAGACTGATTTGGAAATTTGGCAAATGTAACTTAAGACTGGGGAACTGAGAAACTGAGAAACTGAGAAACTGAGAACTGGCCTTCGCTAGATAGGATCGCACCATTTGGCTGCAGGCGTTAACCTCCAAGGGAGAAGGTCGTCTGAGCTCTGGGTGATTTCCTTATGGGGGAAAAAACATGCACAGGAGTGACTGTGAAAGTGGCAGAAGAGAGCTCTGAATTTCTGCTATACCGGGGGAAGGTGTGCAACTCTGGGAAAATGTAGAACCCTCCATATTGTCAGTCAGTATGGAAATGGGAGCGCTTGATTCCTAGCCTTGCACTGATAAAGAGGAGTTGAGTAAGTGGGAACGGCATCTCTTGAACCCAACAAAACACAAATGCTGGAAGTTGGAAGAGAGGTTTCTCTTCCCAGCACTTAGAACCGACCCGTTCCCATCACAGGGAGACCAATTTCACACTTTGAAAACATTAGATCTAGCTCAATGCAGGCACACTCTTCAAAAGAAAGGCGCTTTGTGCATGCTCAGAGATAACTTCTCCCTTTAACTTCACCCCAGTCTTGAAAAATACTCCCCCCCACCCCTTCTCAGGGGACAGGCTGTCTGTGCATGGTCAAAGCTATTTAGCATGAGGTGGGAGAGTACTGGAAAACAAAAGCTGGCCTTAGCAACCCCATCCCAGGAGTGAGCAGGGAAGTGTCCTTGGTGTGGCAATATTCTGTCCTCTTGTGAATAATACCCAGTTCTCTTTCCGGCAGTTGCAGCAGACCTGAGCAATGAGGAGAGGGCTTTGCTCCTGGCTGCAGCATTCCTGCTGGTAAGTGGTGAAGCTGTGGATCGTTGCCGCTGTGTGTCCTCGGTGAGTCAGTATCCCAGCCAGGCAAAAACATTTGGGGGGTCGGGGGCAAAGCAGAGTCAGTGAGGACTGTGGCTCCCCCCAGAGACTTCTGAGAGCCAGGTGGAGAAGACTAGAGGGCAGCATTTAGAGACCCTGGGACTGAGGTTCTCTAGTCTGGATTTCAGTGTGTTATGATACTGGCTCTTTCCCCAAATTTATTCCTTTAAACCCCTTTCCTAACAACAGGGAAGAGACTCCTGCACATCAGCCAAATATTGGCTGTGGGTATGTATCTCCCCCGACCCGTCCTGCATGACAACAGGCTCATAGTGCCCTCTGCTGGCTGCCTTTTGCAGCCACAGATGGGCAATGATCACCTCCAAAAAAAGGACTCATGAGTCAAGAACAGCTTGGCACTTTTTTGCACTGACTCGCTTTCCCTTTTCCCCTGAGAACTGGGCCCAAGCTGGTCACCCCTGCCCAATGAAATGTGCATGCCCATTTATGTTACTCTAGTTCATGCCTCTCCGTTTCTGACAAAACAGAAGATTGCAACCTCCTTTTTGTGTTTTGTTTCCCAGAACTTCATGTTCTTTGAAGTGAGCTGACGGGCGGCGCTAAGAGAAGACGGAAAGAAACTTTAGTGGCTCAACTCCGTTCTGCACCCAGAGAACCCCCAATTGTAACGTCTTGCCGTGGAGAAGCTCCCACAGTGCCTCCAACTAGGAAGGGGACGCCAACTTTGTACTGAAATGCCTGCACCTTTCACAGCTGCTTGGGATCCAGGAGAGGCTACTCCTATAGAGGTCAAGAGACAGAAGAGGAAGCCTCACCTACTAAAGGTCTGTGTGTCAGGCGGTTGTGAAAGGCCCAAGAGCCAGTGCAGAGAAAAAAGTTGGCAGCCCTGTCACAGAGGCACCCTGTTCCACTTTGGAGCGAGGGCATTCGTCACCCCACCTTCTCCTTATGCAGAGGATGGCCACGGAATCATAGAACTGTCAAGTTGGAAGGGATCCCGAGGGTCATCTAGTCCAACCGCCTGCAACGTGGGAATCTTTTGCCCAAGGTGGGGCTCAAACCCACAACCCTGACATTTAGAGTCTTGTGTATCCCAGAAGGTGATCTGCAAGGTATTATTTAGCTGTGATTCCTGCTTTGCAGGGGGCTGGAATAAATGACTCTTTGGGCCCTTTTCAATTCTGCAATTCCGTGATTCTGACTTGACGCCAGCGGAGGCTGCTGGTTCATGAGAATGCGGCAGTGCCCAACGAACCTGTTTGCCCTCACTTGGCCCCAACTCCCTGTTTACCTTGCTATTCAACCAGTCCAGGGAGTGGGGGCACTGCCTTTCTTCCCCTTAGACTCAGCATTGCCCTTGTAGAGTTCAGCAAGGAGGGAGAGAAGCAAGGGGACAAAACTGCAATGAGTTGGCTCTGCCTTTACTTGGGCTTTGGCGCCACCTGCTGTTGGGCTCCCTGCCATCCATCCTACTAGCCTCAATGGGCAGCTTGAGCTGCCATTGCATTTGGCACCTTGGAATGTCGAGCATGAAAACAAGATTCCTTGCAGAGCCCAGGAAAGGTGGATAAAGAGCCATGAGGCCAGAATTCAGCATTTTGCAGTCCCCATGTTCTCAGGCTTCTGGCACCAAGGGTAACTACTGAACTTCCTTCTGGAGCTCCTTAGAAGCCATTTTGCAACATAAATGGCCTATAAGTTGTAATTAAAATAATGTTTAGCATGGTATCTGCTATTTGAGGATAGTTGGGTGGCTTTTAAAAACTTTTTCATGGTAGCTTTTGTTGCATAAAAGAATTTGTGCTGGATACTTGCTTCAGTCTTCAGCTTCTAGTGGGAGTTTTGTAGTTTTGAAAGATGCTTTATGTAACTTGTACATTGCCTAGAGAATCTTTATTAGGACGTGGCTAATAAATTTAAATACACAGCATGTGAGGATTATGCTGCAAACCTTTTTGATGAAACTTGCTGATGTGTTTGTTTGGTGAAAGTGTCCACTCAGACAGAAAGTGAAGCTTCCTCAAAGAACTGACTTTGCTCGTGGCAATGTCAGCATGTAACCAAATCTGGTTGGCTAGGCAGCATCATGGCATAATCTCAGTGACATCACCAGGTAGCGAGATATGCTTTGCTGTGTGGTGTCATCATATAACCTCATTCGCCACCTGATCTCCAACTGCCTGGAATTTTCCTTGACTAATCAAGGAAGATGATGTAGGAATAAGAAGTTGGTGTTTGTGGTAGCAGCACGGAGGTTAAAATGGCAGTGAGCCTCATCGAAGGAAAAATAAACATTGTATATTGGAATGATGATTGCTAGTCCCCAATCCTCTGGGATGGTAGCCAATTGATCTATGCTGGTGAACAAGGCAGCAAGCACTGGGGCCCACCAATCAACATTGGCCTTAAGAAGCTCGGGTGAAATATTGTCTGCACCAGGAGCTTTGCTAGGTTTCAGAGACACTGAAGTTAAAAACAGCAGTGAGACTCATCAAAGGAAAAATAAATATTCACAGAGTTTAGGATTTCCCCCCCAGCAAAGGTTTTGGAAGTTAGCTACCTGCATGGGGGATGGCATGGAACTCAGGGCTGGCGTTATAAGTGGGATTTTTAAAAGGTGCATTTGGTCCGCTGCTCTCTGAGGATACCAAGTGTTGAAAGTCAGGCACTCTCCTGAGTTTTAGACAGAGGCCCTTTCCTATCCCCAAGATGCAACAACAGGAGGTGCCCAACTTGGGCCTGCTTGTCATCAAGGCAGCCAAGCTGCCAGGGCTGTACTGCTTCAGACTACCAGTGGGGACTTCCATGGCTGAATGCTCATCCCATATAAAAATGTCCCAGCACAAAGAAAGCTGAGATGTCAGGGGAAAGCTAGGCTAGAACTCTTCTCTCCAACATCTAGGCTTATATTGTAATGGGCAGAGATGATGTTGTATGAACATGCGATTGTGTGAACCTGCACCGGCAGCCTGAAGCGGTACAGGCGGGGCAGAGGCTGACCTCCCCAGTGACAACTGGGCCCAGGAGGACCTTCTGCATGCCAAACATGTGCTCTGCCATCAAACTGCGCCTCCTCCCCAAAGTCGCCAGCCGACTGATCCATCCCTAGGGGCCCATTTTCACTCCAGGGGGGCTTGCGTTCCAGCTTTGTTACAGATGGGAGGAACCACCACCAAACATACTTCAGTGCTGTTTAAAAAATCAAAACAAAGAGGCAGCAAATTATTAAAGCGGTTCTGAATGGAAACCAGAGGGTGAGCAGAAAGAGAAAAAGACACCTCTGGACCCCATATTGTCATGGTAGGCGCTGCAGGGAGTCTGCGTTTTCAGATTGAACAGCAGGCCTCGTCTCTTAAAGCCGAGCTCATGAGCAGACGAAGCAACAGCAACTTGTTTGGCACACAGCTGGGACCTCGAGCGAGACTAAATCCTTAAGTGCCATCATTTGCGGAACAATTAAGGCAACATGGTGGGCAGGAAGCGGCATCTGGCGGCTTAAGCTCCCCTTCCGTGGGTATTTTGCTGGCTTACAGTGCCCAAGTGCTATTAGGATGGAAATCAAATCCCACTCCTGTAACCAATATCGGAAGCGGCAGGGGTCGCGTGTTTATCTGAATAATAAATGTCGAAATGCGGCGGCTGTGCCGACTCATGATCCCGTAAGTAGCAGAAAAACCACAAGCCGCGTCTAGATGGGATGCGATGTGCGCCTAGGAATGCAGATCGCCCCGTGGGAAGAGAACAGGGGGGCCTGGGCCAGAGGAGGAACCGACCCTGATGGTCGGAGGCAGCAGTGCGTCTGAATGCCATTTGCTGGACTCTTGCGTTCTCACGTCCTGCCTGCGCGTTATCTGGCCGGCCCCTGCGAGAACAGAGTGCTGGATTGATCCAGCAGCCTCCTCTTAGGAAGGGGGAAATGGAAAGAGAGAGAAACACACCAGGGCTGAATGAAGACACAGCAAGATTCTAGGTCATGTCAACATTCAGAGGAGGAGGCACCATAGAAATAAAGAGAAAACAGTGCCCTCTTCTCTGCAAAGACAAAATGCACCTCTGTTGAAGGAGCTGCTAAACCACAGGCAGCCTCTCCAGCACTCCCTTCTGAAAATTTCTCATTTTTTAAAGACGCCTCCCATAAATGTCCCCACTGTGAGGACTGTGGAATTGTTTTCCGCCACCCTAAAAAATTTTTTAAAAAAATTGACTCCCATAGGTCCTGAGCTATGACAATGATGCCGTGTCTTTTTCTTGTGGTCTCTGAGGTCCAGTCCCCATCCCCCCCATCCCCATTTATTGTGGTTTCGCAATTTGTTGGAAGCTGCCAGAGCGGCTTCGCCCCAAAGACACCGCTTTCCAGTAACAGCTCAGTGACAAGTGTCATACGTAGCCCTGGTTTCCAGACTAAAAAGGAAAACCCCAGAGGCAGAACCAGAAGAGGTGCTTGCTCTGATTGTCCCTGGTCTGTTTTCTTAATAACCCTTGAATTCTTGCTCCTGTTCTATTGCACTGCCATGGCCAAGAGACCTTCAACACCTGTCATGTTTGACTGATTTATTAGCTCAGTTAACTTTGCAACTGGGGCAGCCTGAAGAGAACCTGCAAAGCCTGCCACCCCGAGTGTAAATGCGCGGTCATGCACATTTAACCTGCTTAAAGCCCCAGCCCCAGCACCTGCCTGTGTTCCCCCAGAAGTCAAGGAGAGCGCTCAACTCCTCCCCTGAGGGTCTTCCAAGCAGGAGGCCCTCTCAGATACCTGTTAAGCAGACACGACGACAAGGAGGAGGGAGTAGAGGCCTAATCGTTTATTGGCAGAGGTGAAATGGGGGCACCTGCCAATCGCCGGACTGCCTCCGCCTCTGCAGCAGACATCCGGTTAATACTGGAAATCCCTGGGCAGGAAGAGCCACTTAGCAGGAGGACCCTCCACATCGAAGAGAAACGAGGCGGTAGGGCACCCGGGCTCCGGTGTGGAATGCAAAGTACGGTCACCCACTGGGCTGGACCAAGATGCCTGGGTGCCGGAAGGTCAGTCTTTGGCACAGGGGTGAAAGCCATTGTGTGTCAAACGCCCAGGCCATCCTGCGAGCCTCCTCAGCCAGCGGACACATGCACACAGAAAAACCCTCCTCTCCCCCTGCCCGCCTTTTCTGGGCCAGGCTGAGGAGGAGCTGAGTGCTGTATCCCCTCCTCCTTCTGCTCCTCACAGTGCAATCTTGGTATTTCGGAAGCTTGAGTTATCCCTGAAAGACAGAGGAGGGAAGGCGGTTAGCAAATGTATTTTGTCCAAGAAAAGCGGCCGCAGTTTGGTCTGCGATGCTCGGGGGCAATTCAGTAGTCAAACATGTTCAAGTTGTGTCGTCCCCCGTCCCCCCAATGCAGCAAAAACAAAAAAAGTTGCTGAGTGAACAAGTGCAGGGCATGAATTTCGGCCACAGGTAGGCCCAGGAAATCCAATAATAATAATAATTTTAAAAAGGCATCCTGAGACCCTGTCTATCACAAGGAACTGCATTGCTTGAGATATCCCCCAGCTCTTCACTGATGGGAAGAGTGCCTCCCATGCACGTAAAGACAAAAAGTGAATAGAGCAGCTTGTGACCCGTAGCATCAGCAGAACTGCAGGTAGGTGGATCAAGGAAGAAAAATTGGATTCTGAACATCCCTTCCTTCAATTTAATGGTTGGTGCTGTTAGCCACATGCATCCAATATGATTCAATTCCCTATCAAAGTGTACATTATCCTCCCAACTGCATTTCCAACACAACCCCACTCCCCCCGCAACCATTTCTGGTTCTGTTCAAAACGTTGCCCCCTGAACAGGTCATAGCTCCCCTAACAACAGTAAAGGGGGTGGGCTGTGTGTTTGAGAAAGGCGAGCCTAAGAATCTGATCTGGGAAGATGCAGCTCTGCTAGATCAGGGGAGGGAAAATGAGATGACTCAGAAGTGGAAGGGGAGCTAAAAGATCTCCCCACTAGCAGCCACGTAGGATGCCACAAAAAGCCTGGAATGGGCTTGGTAAGATGCTCAGAGAGCAAACTCCATTCGGCAAGGGCGACTGGAGAAACCCACAGGGGGGAAATACAGGATTGGCCTGGCCTGCAAAACTATTGCAAGGCTGTCAAAGGCAAGGCAGAGTGAGAACATCTGGAGGACCTGGGACAAGAGGCAAGGGTAAATGTGCCAGGTCCTTCAGGCGCAACCTTGCACCATGCTTGATAAACAGGTGCACATGCATGTAAAGGGGGCCTCTGAACATAACACTCTTGCTGCTCTGCAGGCCACACTGCAGAGTGGTGAGGAATGCACATCTCCTCCCCAGGAACCAGCGTGGCTCAGCCACTATGCGTCAGGGCAGCAAGCTCATATTAGCCTGTGGAAGGAGACACAAATCTCCACCTCTTGTGTTTGTGCTTTGTGACACTTGACTTAGACTGTGTAAAATGTTTGCAGGACTGGGGGGCCCTCGCTCTGCTCCCTGCTCTAACAGCTGGCATCCACCCAACACAAGCAAGTGGGAGACGTACCTCTCAGCCTCACAAGGCCTCCCCCCTCTGGAACAGCGACCTTTGCAAACAGGCAAAGGGGCTGTCTGGAACTGGGCAGCTAACATACGGCCATTAGAGAACCTGGTTTCCACTATTAGTGTAGGCTCATAGAGAGCTGATATTACTGAGTGGAAGACTGACCACAGCAGATGCAGGGAACCTTTGGCCCTCCAGATGTTGCTCAACTACAACTCCCATCAGCCCCAGCAAGCATGGCCAATGGCCAGGGATGAAGGGAGTTGGGCAGGTTGCTTTTCATTCTTCTTTAGATTTCCCCAGAACCCCCCCCCCCAAATTACATTATGAAAACTTGTATTCTCGTACACGCAATACAACTTATAACAGTACACATCTCTCCCTCACATCCTTATTAAGTGATCCACAAGCTATTTCAAACCTTTGGAACTGGTCTTTAGTTTTACTGGAGAACAAACTAAAGCTCCATCGTTCTCCCGCAAAGGTGTCGTTGTGCTTTGTTCCTCTCGCCAGCCTCAATTTGTGAGTCAATTTCTCCATAAGGGCTATACGCCACACACTATTGTACCAAGCATTCAAGTTTGCGTCTCTTACATCCTTCCAGAATGTGGCTATAACCATATGAGAGAAATCCGATTTATCCACCAAGTCCTGATTCTCATTTAAAAACAGACTCCGTAATGGGATGATGAGAGTTGTAGAGCTGAGCGACAACTGGAAGGCCAAAGTTTCCCCACACCTTGTCTACAGATAACGTTGACAAAGGTCTGTTTTATTTCCCTTTTTCCCCCTTGGAGACCAGAACTGGCTTTGCGTAGGCCAGCCAAGGCGACCAGAGCTTTGTGGTCTGTTCTGCAAGGCTGCTGTGGAGCAGCATTAAGAATCGCAGCAAATCTTGTCGACAGAGAAAGGCCAATGGTTTGTCCCGGCAGTGGGACAAGGGAGCTGCCCAGGCTGAGAGTGACCAAGAGTCTATGCTGGGGAGGGAGAGAGGGGAGGGGAGGGGGGGCTCTGGCTGAGAGGTGCACCTCACAATCGTGTAAGAAGAAATATGAGGCCCTACCCTGGGTGTGTGAGAGAGGGAAGAGCCCCCGTTCAGCGGCCGCCGCTGTTCACCAGCCCATGAAACTCCTCCCAGGCCCTGGCAAGCCAGAGGGGTGGGGGGACGAAAATGGGAAGAGGGTAGGGTGGGGAGGAAGAGAAAGGGATAAAACAACGGTGACAACACACACACACACACAGAGGAGAGGAAAAGAAAAGAAAACGAGCACTTCAAACCAAAGGCTTTAACTCTGAACAAGAGAAAAAGAGCAATCGTGCACAGTTTTAAAGTGCTTGCCCGGAAGGCGCAAAGCAGGCTCCTAACAAGGGAAGCCGATATGAAAATGCAGCCCAGGCATCTCAGGGGGTCAGAAGGCAGGTCAGGAGCTCTTCACCGTGTGCCCCAGCCCCACAACGCCAGAGTAGGTGGCCTTTCATCCATTTTCCCCTGGCCTCACCCACTCCTCCCCTCCCTCTGTTGGAAGCGAGATTGGGGGGGGGGGCTCTTGGGACAAAGATCCGTGCTGTTTTTAATCTTCTGTTTCTCTGTAAAGTTCCACGCATACCGAACACGGTGCAAATAATGGTATTCAGAAACACAAAGAAGTACATCAAGCTACCTTGTATGGATACAGACCATTAATCCATCCAGCCCCTTGTTTTCTGTCTGGGAGCGGCTCCCCACAGCTTTCTGGGATGTGTGCCTCTCTTTCCCAGCCCTGATAGCTCTGATCGCTAGAGGGGGCAGGGTTTGAACCCAGGACCTCCAACAAGCAGCCCTGTGCTATTGAGCCATGGTCCCTCTTCACCAACTTTCACTGAGCCACCTGGCAATTGGTCTGGCTGGCTCACAAGTGGAGAACCTCTTTCCAGCGGAGGGCCGCTTTCTCTTCTAGGCAACTTCCCAGGGGCCACATGTCAGTGGGGGCCAGCAGGGCCAGAGGCAAAAGTGGGGGCAGCAACACATGTTAATTTGCTCACACTTCCCTCCCTCTCCCCTATCCAGGCACGTCTAGTGGCCAGATCAAAAGAAGTAATAGCACTGCTCTATTCTGCCTTGGTTTGATGACACCTGGAATACTGGGGGCCCCAGTTTAAGAAAGATATTGACAAGCTGGAAGGTGTGCAGAGGAGGGAGACCAAGGTGATCAAGGGCCTGGATGTTGGGATACTGCCAGGGAGATAAAGTCCATCATGGCCCCCAAGCCGTGTCCGGACGTCCATCGATCTCCCGTAGACACACAGTATCAGCAATTAGCGACATGAGCTCCAGAAATAGCCTGCCACATTCCAGAACTCAATGCATGCTCTGTCAGCAGATAATGCACAGCAAAAGTCGCACTCAGGAGAGCATTATTTACAAGTTTTATTCAGCGTTGATCAGAACAAAGAAAAACATGACTGCCTGCTTCAGTGTCTCCAGACACAGAGAGAGCGAAAACAAAAGACACAACAGAAACATCCTGTGAAACAGGAAATATGCAGACTCTGACTCACAAAGCCTGCTCCCGTTTAAGGTGGAACGGAAATATCCTAACACTGGAAACCAAGCCTTATGAGGAACGGTTGAAGGAATTGGGTATGTTTAGCCTGGAAAAAAGGAGACAGAGAGGAGGCATGATAGCCCTCTTCAAATATCTGAAGAGCTGTCCCATGGAAGATGGAGAAAGCTTGTTTTCTCCTGCTCTGGAAGGTAGGACTCGAACCAATGGCTTCAAGTTACAAGAAAGGAGATTCAGACTAAACCTCAGGAAGAACTTTCTGAAAGGAAGAGCTGTTCAGCAATGGAACTGGCTCTCTCAGAAAGTGATGGACTCTCCTTCCTTGGAGGTTTCTAAGCAGAGGTTTGGTGACCATCTGCCCTGGATGCTTTAGCTGAGATTCCTACATTGCAGGGGATTGGACTAGGTCTCTCCCGATTCTATTATTCCAAGACAAGAATCCTTATCAGAGATCAAGGGCACATTACAGCCAGGCAGAAGCATTAACGGAGACTATAAGGCAGAGCAGGGGAGAGATGCAGGCCAGGTAGAGTCCTGGTGGTCACACACAAGAGTCCTGGATGCCCACATGCAACTGAGGTTGTCCAACACTAATCTAGTTCAATATGGCCTGTTTACTGACCACCTCCATCTCTCAGTGCTACATGAGGTCCTTAACTGGAGAGGCCAGGGAAGCAGCATAAAGCATGGATGCAAAGCATGTGCTCCTCTACTGAGCTATGCTCCTCCCTTCCTACCCTATGGTCCATGGGTTTGAGCCCCACGTTGGGCAAAAGATTCCTGGGTTTCAGGGGGCTTGACTAGATGACCCCCATGGTCACTTCCGCTCTATTATTCCACAATTCTGTACTGGCCTTGCCAGGCTCACCTTATTTCCAATAGTTCTTCTCCCTACCCCACTTTTCCAGGATATATAAGAAACCGCATCTCATTGTCTCAGAGCAACTGAACACCTAGTCTAGCATGGTCAACAGAGGCCTCAAAATCCAAAGGCTCCAGCTGGGAGATCTCTGAACCCCTAAAACCTGAAGCCCTTTAACTGGGAGGGAGACTCCCCAGCAAGCTGATATCTTGCTTTTGCGGCCTAAAACCTCACACACACCCCGAAAACATGGGAGAGCTTACAGGCGATGAAATTTCTCCACTACACTCAGGCCTGAGAAGAACCCTGGGCAATGCATCACGCTGCATGCTGAACACAAGTCCGTTAATAGAGCCATTTTTTGATTGGAAAGCGGAAGCCAATTGTTGCCAGTCACGTCCTGCCTTAAATCTGCTTAGCTAATGACACCCACAATAAACATAAAAGCGTGATCACTATCTGCAGCAAAAGTGCTTTCAGATAAATCTCGGGGAATGGGCCTAATGTTGCCTCCTCTGGCGCTATTTTTCTCACTGATGGGCCAAGTGAGCAGGAATTGGGGGGGGGGGACCTGCCTGCTTTGCGGAGTCAGACAAATGGAGGCGGAATTGGGAGAGAAGACGATTACCTTAATGACTGCCCCTTCGCGTGGCTTTCTGCTGCCAGAAATACTCTCTTCTCTGAAACTCTTCTACAGCAGCACAGGGGGGAGAGCCAATCCGGCTTTCACAATCTCTACACCCCTTCACTGGTTTCTCCCCTGTAACACTACTTTTCAGGCTGGAGTGCAAGCTTTACCGAGTCACGACACATTGGTTCACCTAGCTCAAAGATGTCTGCACTGGCTGACGGTTGCTTTCCAGGGTTGCGCTTCAAGCCAAACGACGGATTTTCTCCAAATCCCTCACTCCTAGATCTCAACAGATTTGCTGCCTCACAACTTGCCAGCAATCCCACCTAGGAGTCACCAGTGTTGCTCCCTCATGACCAAAAGAGGTGCAGATTTTGTCATCACGATCTGTCTACATCACACGTTTTTTCTCAATCACAAGCCTTACTTCTGTTGCTTTGAGATTTGCCTGGAGAATCCCAGAGGCTTGTGTGGGGTGAGTTCCTTCTATCAAATGGCAGACCCTTCTCCCAATTCCGCTTTCCTTCCATATAAGATGAGCATGGGATGAGCGTGTTCCTAGTAATCCTGCAGCCAGAATCCCAGGGAGTGTCTTTAGGAGGGGGAATGTTTCTGTGGGACCAAGGAAGAAGGCCGCTCGCTCTCTGTCAGCTGGAGCTGCAGAAGCTGCCACGGGGGCCAATTAATGCCTTGCTGTGAAGGGGCTCAATTAAGAAGCATTGTTGACTCAACCTGGCACAACTTCAGTCAGTTCGCTTCTCCCCTGCCTGCCCCACGAGCTGGCCTTTCCTGTCCCTCTGGCTCCATGCAATGTGGACGGGAAAGAGATCAATCCCGCTGCCCCACTGGACCACTTTGGTGCAAAAGCAAAATCCCCAGCCCTGCTGCCATGCTCAGGAGCAACTGGAACGGGTCCATTTGTCCCAGCCTCCTGGAGACAAAGGATTTGAGCTGAAGGAAGGACCGAGAGTGCAAAGCGATTCCAGGGCTTAGACACTTCTGACTCCCAGGGCTGAACTCTCTTCGAGCTGAAAATGGTGTGAGAGAAGGGAGGTGGAGGCCTTCAGTTTAAAGCTCTTAGGCCCAGCCTGAGAACCCCTGCAATGGCCACCAAGAGCAAACTGGGGCCAGAGAAGCATTTCTAAGTTTCTCACGGGGGGGCAGAGGGCTGGGAGGAAAGAGGGCATGGAGGGATGGCAACCATTGACTTGGAACAGAGGTGGGGAAGTGGTGGCCTTCCAGCTATTGTTGGATTCCAACACCCATCGCTGGCCACGGAAGCTGGGGCTGATGGGAGATGCAGTCCGATACCATCAAGATCAGTGGCTCCCAAAGTGGGCAGCACTTGTTGGTGTAACGTGAACAATGGGTTAAATTGCACAGTGCATGGTCTCACATCCCCCATGACCGGATGTTTGGGGATAAGGTGCCAGGTGCACTGGGTTACCATAGCAACACCACCGAGGTCGAGTGTATGGCTTGTTGATCCATGCATCCTCGCCACTGGTTCAGGAATGCAGAGACGAGTCCAATAGTCTCTAGGGTGTTGCTTTCGTTATGTCCTGGCAGGTCCATATCCTGAAGTCCTGTCCTGTTTGCTGTTCAGGGTCTGACTCTGAATATGCAAGTTAGGGGAAGAGGCTGTGGATTTGACATAGCAACATTAGCTAGCATGGTGATAGTTTTTGTGGCTCTGTGCATATGTATCTTGACTTCAAAGCCCTGAAGAACTGTATATATTAGACAGTATTGTTTAGCTTTGTGTTGCACCAGAAGACAGTAAACACTTTGTTGCTTTGAGCTGTGTGGGAGAGGAGTTTTTCCCTTAACCAGGAATCTCTGAAGACTCTGCTGGGGCTCCCTGTACTCAGCTGATGCATCACATGGCTTGAGTTGTGGTGAACAGCCAACTGACTTCCACCAACAGTACCACCCCGTGGGGAGCCACAAAGAGGCAAGCGGATGGAAACGGGGCGCAGAAGGTGCAAATGACTATCACTGGAACTCGCTCATGAATTTTGTAGATATAATTAAACTAAACAGATTTAACTGGATTTTGAATAGACATGCAATTAATTGCCCATTTCGAATTTTACTCTGATGTTACCTTCCTTAGCGGGTTGTGAAAATTGCTCATCCAAGTAAGGCTTTTTTATAGGGTAGGGGAGCAGTGGAGAGGTATATATGGAACCAAGGGGACAGGGACCCAAAAAGTTTGGGAACTACTGATCTATTTAGTCACTGACATGCTACCCCAGGCTTGGGAAGTGTCACATGACTTGCTTCTGTGGTTCTGGGGTAGAGCCTTGCGCCCTCACCACAAATGATTGTGGCAAGGGGGTCTGTTTCTTCCACAGCGAGACTGCATGGTTTTGGAGGAATGCCCTTGCAAACAGGGGTTGATGCAGGCACAGGAAAGTGTGCTCACATGAAGAGAAGACCCCGGCAGCCCCATGCGCCAGCTTACCTCTTCATTTTGATATTCAAATCCTTTTAGTTTGTGTTTTTAATCACAAACCACCAGGGGAGCTCTAATGGCTGAAAGGCAGCCGGCATTCACTTAACACTGTCAGTCAGTGGAGGGCAAACGTCTGTGGATTGCTACCTCCCGAGTCACCTTCACAACGCAAGGAAGGGTTCAGAGCTGAGCCCGCCAGAGGGGGTTATAAGCGGCAGCTCAGCTGCCCAGAGAGGAAAGGCTGTGAGACCCAGGAACTCACATTATCCCAAACTGGGCTCAGGGCATAAATAATGAAGTGATGGGAACACAAATTACCCCCCGAGCGAGCAAAGGTACCGTAAAGCAGACAGTGAAAGCTCCATTAAAGCAAAGACCAACAGGCACACTGCCTTGCTGCATGATGCATTTTCCATCAATCTGATAATAAAATTCTGGAGATTTCTCTTCCCTGCAGTGCCTGGTGAATCAGAGGCCTTAAGTCCTTATATGCTGGAGTTCCAGGAAACTGATGGGGATCCGCTAGTGTGCAGTGGATACTGGAAAATTTGCCTCATTTATTCTGCTGCTCTCTAAAACTCAGCTGTCACCTGTTTGTGACGAAATTCATTCCCTGTTTACCCTAGCTAGTCTGCATATGTCTATACATACATTTTTGTGTGTGTGTGTGAGGGGGGGAGGAGGGAGGGACGGACTCTGGAATTACCAGTTTCACAGCTTCATTTGTACTGACTACAAGGGGGTGCAGAATCAAAGTCTGATTTATTTTAGAGCTGTGATTCACTGAATTTATTCTATTAGCATTGCATTTTGTTGAACTATTTTACAGTATTGTGTGTGGTGCACTGTGTGTTGGGTCTTTATTCTTGACCCCCACTATATGTGCCCCAACTTCAGTTGAGTATAAGCCTGCAGAATAAGTCTATGTTATCTTTTCATTATCAAAAAAAAATAAACCAACATGCAAATTTAGCGGCATGTTTTTACAAATAAAAGCCAGCCCTAGATCAACAACTGAGCAACGGCTACTCAATGCAGAAACAAAAGCAGATGGGTGATGGGCAGAACAGTATCAGAATCCTCCCCCCAAAAAAACCTTTTGTTCTATATTGATTGCCAAGTTAAATACCCACCCATGCAATCACAACAGTCTCACATCCAGAAGTACCATCATGGACACCAGGGACTCTCAATGAAACTATCTCAACATGAGATGCTCCCCACTCCCTCATTTTTCTTGTGCAACAGTCCCAACATGAATCGCTTTCTCCAAAAATAAAAGGATTCCACAAACTTCCCTAGATAAGCTGCACCATCAAGAAATGACTCTGCCTCCCATCACCCCACACAAACACAATATTTCACCCAAGCCAAGGTGGGGGACCTCTGGCCTTCCTAATATTACTGGAGTCCAACTCCCATTGGCCCTAACCGCTGGCCATGCCGGATGGAGCTGAGCAGAGGTAGTGTTCAATGGGTGGGTCTCACCCCAACCTGAAGCAAGCTGCACCAGCAATGCTACCACTGGTTTTCCAATGTCACTTGGGGGTTTTCATTGGGGTGGCAGAGAGGGAGAGAAAGAAACGAGGTGGAGGCAAAATAGGAGAATTACAGAGAGACAGACAGAGGGAGAAAAAGAGGGAGGGGAAAGATGGCCATATGGTAAATAACGAGAAATGGGTCCTACATTGCAGGATGCAACTACTACGCAAGTCTGAAAAGGGTCCAATCTAAATGAATCCTCCTGCACATAAACCCATTATTAATTGCCCTCTTCTCACTAAATACAAGGAGGGAAATGTTTCTTCATCTGTCCCCATATTTGAAAACCATCAAATTCCTCACCTCCTTCAAAGATCCGAAAAGAAAAGCCCCCTCCCAATAGGGAGCAGCTGCCTTGGCTCTTAGCCGCCATCTGACATGTCCTGCACCAAGTTGCCAATGACACACTGGCTTGGGGTGGGCAAGTTTAGGATTCTACTACCTGGCAGCTCCATCAGGGCAGAGAGTACAGGGCAGAGCTTAGGACTGGATGTGGAATTGCTCCTGCCTTCCAACCCACTTCCTAACAGCCTACAGCTCAGGCAACTTGCAAATGAAGTCTGCCAACCTCACAGCATTAATGGATGTCAGGATGCAACCTCCACGATCAGGGACAGTATACCTTTGAGAACCGGAAGTTGAAGGACAAGTAACAGAAGGGATGGCTGTCTCCATCCCTGCTCATGAGTTTTCAGAGGCAGCTGGTTGGACACTGTTGTAAACACAGTGCTGAACGAAAGAAACCTTTGGTCTCATCTAGCCAGGCAATTCTCTCTCTCTCTCTCTCTCTCTCTCTCTCTCTCTCTCACACACACACACACACACACACACACACACAGTTGGCATCCGTCTGTCTCAAGAGACAACGGAGTATGCCTCCCAGGGTGAAGTCAAACTGCTGTGTTAGCCACACTGAAGTGACCTCCCTGGGGCGCAAGCCTGGGCAGTGTGTCTGGAGGTCCTGGGCTGCCCAGACAACAAGACCCCCCTCTTGGCCTCACTGATGGGATCTAAATACTGTACGTTTGGCACCAGCTTGGCTGCAGGAGTTGCAGGAAGGAGGTGTACCAGATGCCACCAGAAGACTTAGGGAATCCACTCTGGATATGTGTAGAGTTTACTCCTAACCCTTTTCTCCTCCCAAAGATATCCTGCAAGGCAGCAGAAGTTTAGGATGAGTTTTCCTCCTCCTAGATGGGTTACCTTCCCAGGACGAGCTTTGTCTGCCTCTCATTTCCCTCTACAGAATATGCAGACACCGCCTTATTGAATGCTGGAAACACTATTGGTCTCACTCGCTCAACCCGCTGGAACCTGTCTTTGCATGCAGGGGAAGTCCCTAACTCACTGATGGGTTTCGGACCCATCGACTACCGTCGCCTGGTTTAGCCAGCCAGTCAAAGCAATTTCCCGGGGCGCAGCCACTGTTGCATGCTGACAGCTTCTGAGAACCACAGGTGAGAGCGGAGTGCAAGATGGGGACCAAAGGTGGACAAACTACCCCAGAAGGAGCAGGATGTGCCGCCCACCAGTGGTACTACCCCTCCTTTAACTCTGGGATGGTCTTGATTCCTTTCCTCCCTGGGATTCTGCTAGCCAGGGGAAAAGAAGCAGGTGCCCTGCTGCATCCTTGCTCACTCACTGGACCAGAAAACCCTCTTACTGCTGAGTTCTACTTCTGCATTTTATTCATCTGTCCTCCCTCTTCCTTGGCTACGTTAATCTTCCAGCGTCAGCCCACGCGCCCCAACCTGCATCTTTGCTTATAGTGCACTTAAGTGAAAAGGGTTTTTCACATTTTTCACCCCCAATCTGAAAGCTCTTAAATATGCAGCGATCCTTCATCACTTTGCGGGAGAATAAAAGTCATCTTGAATGGCCTGGCCTGGTAAACTATAACGGTCTCATTTAAAATACAGCTGTCCTCTCTGTGTACTATAATCCTCTGTTCTAGTTAAAGGGCCTCTGTCACCGGGGGGGCTGGGAGGATTTAATATACAGCATTTATTATGATTAGAAATCATTTGTACAGCACAGTAAATTTACATAGCGCCTTCCTGAGAACATTTATAAATCTAATGGGTCTATAAATCCCCGTTAGTCTCTGTGTTTTATGTCTCCAGGAATGCGGTGCACTCAAATCACACCCCCTCCCCTCCTGCCACCTTGGCTTGGAAAAGGGGGAGACCCACAATCCCAGCCCACTCTACCAAGCAGCTACTGGAGGGCCAAGGCTGGTTTAAGGAAACACTGGCATTCCTTGAAAGCTTACTGAGAGTCAAGCCACCTTCAAACTCACCACTAGTGAGCTGACTCCGCAGGGAGGTGCTAAAAGAGGCACTCTCAGTTCCTGGCCAGAATCCTACGTGAAGCAGATGAGAATCTTTCCCAGAATCCTCCAGGGAGAGGAGCCAATCTGTTGCCAGACTCCCAACTCCCATCATCCCCAATCAGCTTGACCAATGAGTTATGAGATCACAGTCTTTGTACTTTGCAGCCTCTGGAGAGGACAAGGGTGGCTGCCCCTGCTCTGGAGGATGCTGGGACCCCTGTGGCAGATGCCCAAGGGTTCCTTAGTGGACCAAGGGACACACAAGCTCCATCGGACCTCCTGTTCCCACAACTGCCACCTGGGAAGCAGAGCTTATTCCACCAGCTCTGCTGCGACACACTAGCTCCAACAGGCACCTCCTGCCCTGAACTGTGCCAGATGGTAGGAGCAACTATTCAGAAACTGGTCCTGAGCTTTGATTCTGATTTTCCTCTTCCCTCCCTGTTCCTTTTTCCTTGTGTGCTGTGCTTGTGGGTAGGTACTGTTTTGCTCCGATTGAACGCAAGCTGTCCAGGGAGCCTTTCCTGGCTGAAGAGTGAGGTACAAATGCTCTACATAAATGAACAAATGGGGTCCCTTGAAGGTGGACAGCACTGAAGCCGGTGAGCTAGGCCACTAACTGCAGGCAGCAAGAGGGCTGTGCGTAGCCCTCAAGGCAACACGTGCCAGAACAGAAGAAGCTATGTGAGACACCAGAAGTGTCCCAGTGCGGTGACAGCACTCACAGCTCTACAGGACAAGGAATGGCTCCCTGCATTAACACGGCAGACACAGAGGCAAGCCCATTACAGCCAGTGCTACCCTCCCCGCTCGCCGCACGTACTTGATGCTGTCCGTGTGGGTTTTGTATTCCATGATGGTGTTGGGGGGCAGGTTCAGCACTCGCCGGAGCGTGTCCCGTATCCGGGCCGTGGTCGCTTGGTCGCTGGCCGTCTTGTTCCATATGGAGATGATGTCCTCCTGCAGGGCGAATGCCGGGAGGTGAGCAAACGGGGACCTCCCACGCCTCAAGACGGCAAGGCTGGTCCCACGACACCCAGAACGCGCCTTACCTGGAAGCGGACGGAGACGACCGCCCCGCAGATTTCTTCGCCCACCATGAACTGCTCTCCCAGCATTGCCAGGATGAGGTTCTCCCAACACCGAGACGCTAAGCCCTTCCGGAGACGGATGATCCACTTGCCGCCGTTCTTGTTGGCGTCATCCTGGGAAGGTGAAAAGGAAGAAAATGAGGCCAACCTTCTCACTGCCCCAAACCAGGGAGGGCTTTTCTTGCCCCAGCTGCCTCTACGAAAGCAGTCCTTGCAATCTTTTAGGCTGTACCCAGTAAAATCAGCAGGTTGGGCCGAATAAGAGCAATACGGCACCTAGGAACAGGGGAAGGACAAGGCCTCAGACCATTTCTTTTTCCTGAACAAAATCGTATATTGAGAAAAGGGATTATTTCAATGTCATATTAGCTATGTTAATAGCGATAAAGCTTCTCTTAGACCCCCAACGACTCTATTGGCACCTGCCCAGGGATTTTAGGGTGAAGGGTGGGAAATAAAGTGGGGGGATATCACAGCTGAACAGCATGAAGATTGCAGGACTTTATTTCTGTATTCTGGCATTTTGTCTCTTCCAGCAGGCCTGTTTAATATCTGGTTTCTTTTCTTGCATTTAAACCTCTTAGGTACAACTTTGAAAACTATATTTTTACTTAAATGAGGGGAGTTAAAAGTTTTAGACGAAATAGTCTTAGGAAACAGTAACTGATTTCCTAGTTTGAACGATTACCCACTAACAGCAAATAAAAAATAAACAGATGTAAGTGCAGCCAGTGAGACCTATTACAGACCCATCTGCACCCCTCAGCTCAGCTTCTGCGTCCTTTTTGTGATCTTCTCCTGTTTCCTTCCTACTGCAGCACCTGTCAGGACTCACCTCCCACATAGGTTTAATTCCTTCTTTGAAAAGGTGGAAGTCGCTGTGGCCCGTCAGGTCCCCGGGACGAACCATGTGGCTATAAAATCTCCAAAACTGCTCCACCTATATCAAGAGGAGAAGCACAGCCAAGTCAGGCAAATCTTCCAGGAGCCAAGACAGGTCTTCCTTTTCAGATTCTGGCTATGGGTGGTTGTAAGACAGCCAAGTCAGGAAGGCGTGACAGCAGCATCTCTTGTAATATTGTAAATGTCCAAGGCAGGTTAAAAAAACAAACAGTGACAGGCAAGACCCCCCTTCCTTATTCTAACTCCCACTCTCTGCTAAATGTCTGTCTGTCCCTTTGCACTTATCTTGACTGCACAACATTTCACAGCAACCTGCTCTACCACTCCCCGACTCACTTGAGCCACTGTCTCTTTCTTGGAACTCAGGCAACACTTGAGGCAGGTGACCAAATCACAGCATCATTGTGTGATTGCTGTTTCCATTGCCTCTTCCCACCAGTGACTGATGTTGGCTTGGCATCGGATCAACCAAATAGCAAAAGTGTGCTAAACCATTATATAAATATTAAAAACAGCTATCATATATATGCCACCTTTAGCACTCAAAATGCTTCGTATAGGTGATCTTGCCATAATCCTTACAGTCATACCATAGGGGTAGGAGAGTTCTTACTCTTATTCGTATTATTTCTTAAATTTGTATAGCACCCTATAACCACAGGTCTCAGGTCACAGGTTACAACATAAAATCACAATCACATCATGCAAACAGGGAAGGGCTGAGATTAAATAACTGGGGGATGCGTATTTATTAAGCAAAATCTGTGTGCTGCTTATTTGCAAGTGAAATCACCAAGTGCTTTACAAAGAATATAACATATACAATAAAACTGTCAATAAAAAAAATGAAGGTGAAATTTCATCCAGGGAGGTCTTGATTTCAAGTTCATTCTGTTAGCTGAGGGAAAGAACCCACAGAATAGTATAAGACTGCATGCATTGCATGCTGAAAGAAAGCCCCTACCCCTGGTGTCCCTAGACAGAATCTGGAAGCAAGAGATGGTAAAGACTTTCCCCTGACATTTGGGAGAACTACTGCAAGTCAAAGCAGACAATATGGGCTAAATGGGCCAATGGCCTGAGTGCAGATATGGCACCTTCAGTTGCTCAATACAAGTCATAAGCATCTTTTACTCACCGGCCTTCAGAGCAAGAATACAGCCTCCTTTCCCACAAGTTTGTAAAATAGTAGGAACTTGGGACCATGAAACATTTCACGGTGTTTAGCCACGGTTAAGCAACAGACCATTGACTGGTAGTATTGTGAATGACTAACTGGCCACTGGAACCCCCACCCTCATATCGGGGGTGCAAGTTCAGGAAGAATGGGAGCAGAAGCAGCGGCAAAATGGGTAACACTTGCAACAACAACAACATGGAAAGTCCAGGGGCCTTACAGGCGCTAGTGATCATATGGAGCACTTAATAGTGTCCAAGAAACTGAGGAGGAAGAAGAGAAGGAAAGCACCACTTCTCTGTTCTGCAGCAAACCGCTTTGCATCTCAGACTATAAAAAAAAAAAATGCCCAAAGCTGCGGCAAATTGTAAAAGAAGTCCCCCTTGCCAGAATGGAATTCAGATACAGCTCACGTCCCTTAAAATTCCACACCTACAAAGCTTTTTGCGGTGCTATATAACATGCATTATTACATCATTTGCAGAAAGGGGTTCTGCCTTTCGAGCTTTTAGGAACTAGATGGGGAGTTACACATCTTAGGCAAATGAATAAATATGCCACCCCTGGAGATCAATTCATGGCAATAACTGCACGCCAGCGGTTCTGGAGAGCGCTGCTGCCCTCCAGTGGCCCAGACACAAGCAACTGCAGGCTTGCAGAAACTGTGCTGAATTATGCGGAGTAGAACTTGTCAGACGAGCAAGGCAATCTTCTGCATCATCTACTAGGAAGTAAGTTCCACCGAGTTCACAGAGGCTTACTCTCAAGTAAGGGTGCCAAGGACTGCTGGCTAAGGCTCAGGTTATATGCAATAGTACCAGAACTACTGGTGCAACACAAAGTACTAGGTGGATGCAAGGTTCTCAGTGGGTCACTCAAACGACAGTAATGTGGAAAGGAAAACAGGTCACATGCTTACTATCAGCAAGCTCATGGCTTCGGTTCTGAACAGAGCTACTGAGAAACAAGAGGATGGTATCAGGAAGGTTGGGGAAAGCTATGCAAAAGCACAATAAATCATTCGTAATTAAAATTATTAATAATTATAATACAGTTTCTTAAGGTCCCAGGGTCGGTTGCACCAATTTAAAAACACAATGTCAAGCACAGTTTTAGACAATTTACTGCCACAAGAATAGAGAGGGCCTTGTCTACCTATCTATCTGTCTATCTTAGGAAAAGACAGCCCCAAAACAGCCTATTGAGGACTGAGCATGCTCAGCAGTCACAGAAATGCTGGATGTCAGCCTAGAGAGGAAACAGAAAATTTGATTTTGGGGGGAAGAAGAATGGGATGGGTTGGAGTATCCTGAAAAGAAGACATGTCTGCCTGGCACACTAAACAGGAGCACTCCTCACTGCAAAACATTCCCACTTGTGACTTCTACTGCAATCTTCCCATTTGTTCATATACTACAGTAATTCCAGCTGCTCATTATTTTTGGTTTAGGGCATTGGCTAGGCAGTCATGAAAGGGAGGTGGGGCTGGGCACAAGGGTCCCATCTGATTGGTTAAACAAGAAAGCCAGAGAGGAGGGCCAGTAGAATTCTCTCCTCACCACACCTCCCTTTGGCTACAAACAATCCAGGCACCTGCGCTGCCACCCAAAGAGTTTCGGCACTGCAAACCTGCTCAGCCAGCTTCTTTCCAGGGCGGAGCATATGCTGGAAGACCTGCTCCCTGCCTTGCAGGCCTTTTCCCATCTGACCTGGGAGGATGAGGACCGGACTGACTCCAGCTACAAAAGCTGAGGCTGCTGAACAGCTGCCTTTTGCATCTTTACTTTAGATATTGTTGTGATTTATGCAGAAACTGTTCAGTTTGGTTTTGTCTTTTTTAATGTTTTATTTATTGTTCATGACTACTATTGTTCTGTTGTAGTTATGTGTAGTTTTTTTCACGTTGTAAGCAGCCTTGAGCATGCCCTGAACTGTGGAAAGGTAGCATGCAAACAGAATTATATACGTATGTCAAGATTTTAAAATGAGACACACAACTACACAAGAGAAGGCCTTCTTTCAGAACCACACCTTGCCTTTGACACAGGGTCATGTTGGGCACTTTAGAGCAGGGGTTGTCAACCTGGTCCCTACCAGCCAGTAGTGGGCATTTCAGGATTCTAGGTGGGCGGGAGGGGGTCCTACAGCAGAAGCTGAATCCTCCTTCCATCGAGCCCTGGTGGGCGGTAAGGAAATTTTACCATCAAGAAAGATGCATTAGTGGGCGGTAGGTATAAAAAGGTTGACTACCCCTGCTTTAGAGGAAAAGGAACGCCCTTTCTCTGATGGGGCCATGAGAACAGGAAGCACCTAGGCTGAGACACAGGATGGGGGGGGGCATTTTGAGAAGTTTCCTGTGTGACTGTTGAAAAAGGAGGGTGGGACCTAATATCAGATCAAGAGGCCCATAAACTCCAGCATCCTGCCTCCAAAAGTGGCCAGCTAGATGTTCCTCGGAAGACTGAAGGCAACTGCTCTAACCCATATTCACAAAGCACCTGGTATCTACCACTGAAGCTCCATTTAGCTGCCATGGCTACCTAGCATAAAGAGACGCGTCCCTCATGAATTTGTCTGACCCTTTTTAAAAGCTATCTAAACCAATGGTCAATCCCTGTGGCAGTGATTTCCACAGGGTGATGAGAGATCCGTACAATGTAAAACTGCACACGGTGGCTGGTTCAGAATTCCTCCGTACAAGATGCAAGGGAGCCACTGCCACTCTGAATCCCCTATCGGTCCAGCCTAACTCTAAACATGACAGTGCACACATACTCACTGTGAACGTAAGAGATATACAAAGCTGCCCTTGGCCCCACTACCCCGATGCTGCCTGCTTGGACCGGCAGCTGCCCTCTAGGGTTTCAGAACAGGAGATTGCACCAGGGATCTTATCCATGCTGAGAATGTGCCCGATGGCTGAGCTGTGGCCCCTCCCTGTTTGCTTCTCATGTGCAGATAACACCTGCCCCCCAAGCTGCACTGAATCCAGTTAAACGAGCAACAAGACAGAAATGCAACTCACGGAGGCGAAGGTGCCAATTTGCTTGATGTTCTGTTCGTAGCTCTGAGAGCTGGTGGGCCTCCCGGGGGTCCGCCTGGAGTACCAGAAGGTGTAATTATACTGCAGGGGGTGCTCAGCCGGCCCTGGAACCACAGCCTGTGTGTGGAATTGAAACAACTCATTTGTCCTTACGCATTTCTCTAAAGAGAAGGCTGAAAGATGTTTGCAGCATTAGAAGCCTGCCTGCTCCTGCCATCACGGAGCGTGAAAGAACATTTTAGCCTCATTTTCTTCCTGAAATTCCATCTCTGCTAATAGCTTGAAACAGACCATTAGTCTGGCAGGAATTGACTATACTTCAAACAAGAGATTAGCAATCCTCAGCATGCTTGAGCTTCTCCAAGCTGGCAGAGGACGAGCCCCATGAGGGACGTTTTGTGTTTCTCAAAAGCAACTCATCAGACAAGGCCAGTTCATGAACTCCGCCTACATGCCTTTATAGGTCTCCAATTGTTAGGATAACGGATCTTAACGGGGGCAGGCAGTGGGGGTCTCCTCTGTGAAGCAATGGAGAAATCTATCCCCGTTCCAAGCAGGGAAAACAGATGGAATTGAACATTTCAAGCGAACCAAGAAAACCAAATGTCGGTAATGCATACATTAGAACAAATGTGATCATCTTTACAGCTTTCCAGGGCCAAAACATCACCCAACTCAGCTCCCAGCTAACAAAAGGCAAGCCAGGAAAATCTGGGCTTCATCTCTCTCCCACCCCAGAAACAGCTGCACTGAAATAACCCCAGGTATGAAATAGCCCAGCTCCTTCCTGCCAGGAACACAACTTTTGAACACAGGATGGGCTGGAGTGGGAAACTCTCATTTCCCTCAAAATGCCCACTACTTTGGCTTGGGGGGGGGGCTTGTTTGCTGAAGGGAGTCCAGGCGGAATTCAAGGTGTCTCTAGCAGGTTTTTGCACCTCCCCAGCCCCTAGCCAAAAGGGATCAATGCAAACGAGGGCCAGAAGACAGCATCTCTCTTTCACTGTCAATAGTATGATCAGGTTCAGCAATTTGCTAGTGAATGGAAACTGGAGAACACACTGTTAAGAGGATAATGCTGCTCCCTGGCTTGGGTTCAGCTATTTGGTGTCAGAATCTTGGCCGTGGGGTTCTATATATAACAAGCAAAATGCTGGTTATTCCGACAGGGAGAGGAAGAGTACACCTATACTGCAGAAGTTGGGTGTCCTTGATTTTGCCCGTTTTTTCTTCCCAACTGCAACATGTTTCCTTCGCCCCTTATAATTCGAAGGAGTTCACCAACATTCAAACCTACTTCCACCTTTTGTTCCATTTGATCATGCTAGAGTGGGATGCAATTTCTACACAAAGGTTCTTTTTAAAAGCAAGACGTTGTGCCTTCCTCAAGGCCTGCACACACCTTACGTTCCAAGTCCATGGCTGTTGTGCCAAAGGAACACAAGCACCTTTACCTTGCAGTAATTGGAAGCCTAAGGGGTGAGTACAGACCGTTCCCTACAGGTGTGGGCCTCAACCACAGCAGCTCTCTAATGAAAAGGGGAGGGCAGGAACAGATGGGCTAAACTACACAAAAAGCCTTCTCAAGCCCAGAGAAGAATCTCTGCCAGAAAATAAAAGGTATTCTATTAGGTTACATTTAATCAAAGGAACTTTGGGCAGTGGAAACCTTACAGAAAAGAACAGACCCAAAGTCCACAATAGAGTTTGCTTGAAAGGCAGGCAAGTGCCCCCTTTCCAAAGCAGAGCAGGGGCACCAGTCCTGCTGCATCTGTAACAAAAAAGCCTCTAAACCAGGGGTGGTGACCTGCAATTCACAGCTAGGAATAACCTCTTTCCTATCTTACTGCGGGCCATCTGCTTTCACGGCTGCTGGTGAAGGCAGGAGAGAGCTGAGGAAGCACAGCCAACGGGCAGGATAGGCACATGAATCCTGTGTCAAGGTGTGTGCTTACTGAAAAGTAGAGGGAGGGTGGGCAGCCACTTCTGTAGGTTCATGTGCGCTTGCGCCAGATGGAGTCAAGGAGGAGCGCAGTTCTAATATCAAATTTATCTACAGCTAAATGTCTGCCATTATTGTCAGGAAGCATGTTCTTGCAGAAAGAGGGATTATCTATTGCAAGGGGATTTGGCAAGGAGAGGATACAGACATCGTGTAAGTGCCGCCCAAGGTTTCAGTAGGTATTAGGAGTGTTAGGGAACTTTGCCTTCATGACATGTTCCTAGCCTCAAGGAACAAATGGCAGCCATTTGCTTAGATAGGAGAACATAATGGGTTGTCCACGTGGAAAGTCATTAATGCTTTAGGGCTGAATTTGTTCCCAACTCCAGAACCGTACGGATGAATGGAATTGTTCATTATCAGTCAATTCTGCTTTCAAGATAAACATTTTCAAATAATTCATATTTTCTTTAACAAAGGAAAGGCATGGAGACTAGGGAAGGGTCTTAGTCAAAGTTAACCATAGATATTCTCTGGACACTGGAGCTATAGGCTAACGCTTCCCCCGCTCCCTCAGAATCATCAACCGAACACTCCAGTCTAGTCTACAAGGAAGAGAAAAGAACGTACCTTCCTCTTGCTGATACTTTGGGGTTTGTCTCTATCATTTTTTTCCTTCTCACCATCTTTCTGTGTGCTGTTCTCTTCATTCTGGTCATGATCTCCACTGTCATCATCCTTCAGACTGGCAAAGAAGTAAATAAAATAATCAGTTTGAAAGCTCATGACTGCTGTTCCTTTTTTGTATTGTCTGAATAACTTTTGTAGCACACCCCTGGAAACCAATCTTATAGGAAACAGTTTAAAAAGCTGGATATGTTTAGCCTGCCCTATATTTGCCATCTTTAAAAAAATAAATAAATCCCTGACACCAGTTTAAAACTGTAAACTTATTGGGGCTAGAGACCTGTTTATAAAATTTATCAAGAAAAATAAAACATCACATGCATTGATGGTCGTGTGAAATGGAGTTCCTTTTGCCTTAACCAGTCTCTAGCCTATCATCCAGCAAGGTCCCTGTCTCTTTCTTTCACAGTTATTTTTCAAAGTGTTATTGTACCCCACTAGTCCACTACAAATTCAGCGCTTTCTTCTACCACATCTGCACACCCTACTACATCCCCCATTATACTTCTTTCCTGTGTCCTGATACATGCCACCATACCAGGGAAAGTATGTCAACAGTGCTAAATAATGGTCAAACATTGGCAGTTACATCAGGTCTTAGTGGAGTATTTTCTTATAGATGAGAAGTGATTGCCTGCAATAAGAAACAAGTGGGTATCTTGAGACTGGACCCAAAGATGTCAGTTGGGGGTTTGAACAGACAGGTGACTATCTCCCCCTGGGTATCTCTTTGCCAGCTACAGGTGCATATCAGGCAGGTACACCTGAGGTACAGTGGGGGAGAAACCCACCTCTTGATTTTTGCCTGTTAAAGACAGCGCCTGTGTCTGTTGGAAAAGTGGCAAGACTTGTGAACGTCAACAGTGAGATACAGCCCCTTTCTAAACAAATGCAAACTGTCACTCAACCGCATTTTTTCTCTACCAAAGGGCAACACAGCTCAGTGACAGAGCACCTGCTTTGCATGCAGAAGGTCCCAGGCCCAATGCACAGCGTTTCCAGGTGGGTCTAGGAAAGTTTCCTGTATGAAACCCAGGAGAGCCACCACCAGTCTGTGTGGACTGGGGTTGGGCAGAAGGCAGAATGGGATTGATTGGCAGATGGTTTTCGGTAGCTCAGTAAAGGGTTGCCACCTCTCTCTCTCTCTCAAATTTTAAAGAATAAAAACAAAAAGGCTTCCTCTTCCCGTTTGGCTGTCAAAACTCCTGATCCACAGTGAATTTACACACAACTGCAAGGTGGCAGACTTTGAGATCCTTGCAATAAAACCAAGTAGTTCCCACAGGCTTGAAGACTGCCCTTGCCCTCATTACTGAGCACTGCCCCACATGGGAAGAGACCATACCTCAGTGGTAGCTCACAGGATCCTGCTGCAGGAAGACCCTAGTTCAATCCCCAGCATCTCCAGATAGGGCAGGGAAAGGCTTCATACTGAAGCCACTGTGCCTGCTACATCCTTTCTGCTGGACTCCAACTCCCATCATCCCTCTGCACTGGCCATGCCACTAGGAGCCAGAGTCCAGCAATAACCTGAGGGCACCACTCCAGCTCTCCCTGCAGAGATGGCTGACTTGGAACGAGGCAAGCAGCTTCTGCCCAATGACGACACTCGCCCTGGAGCCTGCACTCTGCTCAGAATGCAGAGAGGCTGTGAACAGCCTATGCTGGATCAGGCCAACAGCCCATCCAGTCCAGGACCCAGGGCCAGCCCAAAGCGTTTCAGCACCTAAGGCGGACCCCAAAACGGCTCCCCTACCCCAGCCAGGGAAGCAGGGGGTAAGGGAAGATCTACACCGTGAACAAGGGGGGGGTGAGAGAAAGATCTACCTCTGGGTCTGCTGCCGCTTCACCTTGCCTCATGGGTGGGCAGGCCCTGTCCTGTCCCCTGCAGGGGCCAACCAGGTGCCCATTACAGGGAAACCCTCACGCAGGGTCCAAGCACAAGAGTGACTCTCTCCCCTCCCGAGTCTTCCAGTAACTGCCATTCAGGACCATTCATAGGAGCCAAATCATCGGGCCGAGGTCCCTTCAGCACCACCACCCCAGTAAAATATTTGAGCCCCCCCCCAAAAAAAACACCTTATGGGCATTGCCATTCAAAGGGTGTGTGATCTTGTGATCGACTGTGCAGGGCGGTGCTTACCTGCTCCTACCCGCCCCGCCCCCCACCAATACAGTGGTACCTCGGGTTAAGAATTCGTTCTGGAGGTCTGTTCTTAACCTGAAACTGTTCTTAACCTGAAGCACCACTTTAGCTAATGGGGCCTCCCACCGCCGACGCCGCGCGATTTCTCTTCTCATCCCGAAGCAAAGTTCTTAACCCGAGGTACTATTTTTGGGTTAGAGGAGTCTGTCACCTGAAGAGTCTGTAACCTGAGGTACCACTGTATTTTATTCAAATTGGAAGCATTCCCGGCCTCCAGCTCTGAGGGCAGAGCAGCAGCCCCTCCTCCATGAAGGGAGACCCCCGCCCTCATTCTGCTGGCCGAGGAGGGAATTTCGGCAGGCGCAGCTTCTCCCCGCCCTGCAGCCCCGGGCGCCCTACTTGCCCTCACGGAGGGCGGCCTGCCTCTCCGCCCATCTCCGGCCCCCTCCGGGAGCGCAACGGCGGTTGGGGGCCGGGCCGAGGGCGGCGGGGAGCCGCTTTGCACGGGGACCCCCTCCGACTAGGCCTCAGCCGCGGCGCCTCCGACTCACGCGTCGAATTTGTTGTTCATCCTCCTCGGTGACTCTCTCGCCGCCGCCGCTTCGCCTCGCCTCCTGCCGCCCGCCCGGCTACTTCCGCTCAGCCGCCGCCGCTTCCATAGACACGCCGCCTACGCCGCCCTCCCTTTGCTTCCGGCGGAACCTGGTTCCCCTCGGCCCACCGCTCCCGCCCGGCTTCGCTGAGGCTCGTGTGCGCGGCATCCGGTCATGTGACCGGCAAGCGGCCTTTGGGACTATGGTTTTCGACGAGCGTCTAGGGGGTGGCGCTCTACATTTAGGCATCTCTATGGTGGAAGCGCGGACTCGGCTTTGAATCCAGAGGTAGGAAAAGGAGAGAGGAGCGCCTTTCGTTTTCCGCATGGGCATTTCCTGGTTCACATCGAAAAGCAGTTTTTTTTAACGTCCTCAGGGAGGGAGAGAGATGAGGAATCAGTCGGAAATCTGAGGTCTTGACGTGGTGTGAGGGGGCACCAGCATATGTCACCTGAGGGTCTTCTCCATGCACCCTCTCAGAGGGAGCGGGGGAGAGCGGGGCTTTCTCAGTGGTGGCTCCCCTTTATGGAATTCCCCTGTGTGTTTGTGTGTAAAACCTGTGCATTTTAGGTTGTTTTATCCTAGTTTTCAGTGTTTGTTCCCCCCCCCCCCAGTGGCATAGGGTTTCATTTTTTAAAAAGTGACCCAGAATGCTAATACAGTGGTACCTCGCGTTAAGTACTTAATTCGTTCTGGAGGTCCGTTCTTAACCTGAAACGGTTCTTAACCTGAAGCACCACTTTAGCTAATGGGGCCTCCTGCTGCTGCCGCGCCGCCGGAGCACGATTTCTGTTCTCATCCTGAAGCAAAGTTCTTAACCCAAGGTACTATTTCTGGGTTAGCGGAGTCTGTAACCTGAAGCGTCTGTAACCTGAAGCTTATGTAACCCGAGGTCCCACTGTACACAATAACAATTCTGTGACAATTCCAACACCACTTTCAGCTGGTTGATGGCACTCGAAAGAGAGTGACTTGCAATAGTCATAGACTATTTTCTGGTGCTTGGATACCTGGCCAGTGTACACATTCATGGCAGGGGAGTGGCTAATCCATGTGCCGTCTTGACCCCTATGGCAGCAGGGCATAGCTGGTGGGCATGACCCCATGTATTGCACAATGCAGTTTTCTTTAATATTTTTTTATTAAAGTTTTAAACAAACAAAAAAGAAAAACAACACACACAAAAAACAATACAAAACTTAACAATATAAACACAAAACAATTAATAACAAACTCTCTTTTCCATTTCCAATTTTAAGTTACTTATTTTCTGGACTTCCTCATACCTCCCTCTTTTGTATTCCAATCCACATTATTTATCCAGCAGTTTCTTTTCCACTTTTTTAATCCCAATCTTTAATTTAATAAAATGTTAAAATATATAACTTCAACTTTTTTAAACCTAATCCTTGATCTTAATATCCTGTAACTTTAAAGTTTTCCCTTTTAAAATCAAATTTCCATTTCCTTAAACTTCTTTAATCTTAATCTTTAATCTTAATCTATCCTTAACTTTAACCTGGAACTTTTAAACCTGCAGCTGGAAACCACTTATTTTCAGTCCAACATCACTCTAACATTCCTTAATTTTGCAGTGTTTCTGAAGATAGTCTTTGAATTTCTTCCAGTCTTCCTCCATCGACTCTTCTCCCTGGTCACGGATTCTACCAGTCATTTCCGCCAATTCCATATAGTCCATAAGTTTCATCTGCCATTCCTCCAGCGTGGGAAGTTCTTGTGTCTTCCAATACTTTGCGATGAGAATTCTTGCTGCTGTTGTTGCATACGCACAATGCAGTTTTCTGACCAAACAGGCGCATCATACAAAAAATGTGTTCTGTCAAGGAAATTACTTCTTTACAGTGAAATATGAAATTAATATTCCCTATAAAGGGGTCGCAGCCTCGTAGGGAGGACCGAAACCCTCGGAAGAGCACCGTTGGTTAGGCTCCGCTCCGGTCGGGAAATGAGAAAGACCAACACCAGGATTCAGGAAAGCAAAATCTGATCTTTATTGAAAGAACGGGGGGGGGGGGAATTGTTGCAACAGGGTCCCCCCTCACGTAACAAGGACGGAGTGAGAACCTCGAACAAAAGAGCTGCCTTGGTTTTTATACCTTTTGGTTTCCATACAGATCTATGACAAAGAACAGCGGAGATGGCAGGAAGCGTGAAGAGAGGATTAACATAAGGTAAGTAGGAGGGGTGAAATAATATGTGTTGAGCTTTTTATTTATCTTGGATCTGGTTAATGGCTTTTTCCTTTATCTACAGGAAAAACCAGTTATGCAGATAATGAGGCTGGATGTTCGGGAAATAGTTTCAATGTTAGTGTGAAATCCTGTTCTGCATAGCTATCAATTCAGGTGTGATAATCTCATGTTTGCATACTTATTGGAAAATAAAACTAAGAGCTTGTATTTGTGTGTATTCATGGTATTATTTGCAGACCCAGTAGATGGCAGTGTGGGTATAAATAAGTTGTTGTTGTTGTTGTTGTTTTATTGATGACTCTCAGGGGTCCCTTCCAATTCTACAGTTCTACGATCCTATGATTCTGCATGGTCAACATTCCAGGGACAGGACCCATCTTGAACATAAGAACATAGGAAGAGCTTCCTGGATCAGGCAATGGCCCATCTAGTCCAGCATCCTGTTCTTGCAGTGGCCAAGCAGATGCCTGTGGAAAGCCAGCGAGCAGAACATGAGCACAAGAGCCCTCTTGCCTTCCGCGGTTTCCATCAACTTGCATTCAGCAGCAAACTGTGTAGGCAGAGCAGAGCCAACATGGCTAGAGCGTCCATCGATAGCCCTCTCCTCCATGAATTTGTCCCATCCTCTTTATAAGCCGTTCAAGTTGGTAGCCACCACTGCCTCCTGTGGAAGCAAGTTCCATCGTTTCTCTACATGCCGCGTTGTAGCAGGAACCCCCCGCCCCAATCATTCAGTTTGTACAAACTTCACACACTCACACTCACACACTACATATGCCACACTTCTGTTATAAATTTATAGAAAAATCAACCATACATCGGATTTGCACTGTTCCATTTTTATTTTACTCCATATGACAAGGACTATCAAAGGGGGGTGGCTTGGTTCTGGTCAGCCATAATCCCTTCACCATCCCAGCACATCCACAGGAGCCCTGCCCAGTTGCTATGCCAACCCTGGTGGTCCTAGACAGAAGACCATCAAGATCACAAAGAACTTGCATATGGGAGTGGATTCAGCATGGACTGAAACAAAGGACAATGATCAGATCTTCCCTCTGGGGGCAGGAAACTGCCAACTCCCCTTTGTCTCCTGGAAGTGACTCATGGGCAGGGGGAAAGGAGGAACCAGCCAGGTGACAGGACACTCAGGTTACCACCACAACTCCTCCCTCAACCCCTCCTTTCTGTAATGTATGCATGATGTTTCTGGGGGTGGGCTTGACCTAGAGGATGGGAATTTCAAAAGTTTTTATAAGGTCTTGCACACCATCTTTCTGGGTCTTTCCTCTCTCTCGCAAGTGAGGGGAACACCCTGTTGCAACAGTTCAATAAAGGCCAAGCCTACAGGCTGCTGTTTTGCTCCAAGTTATCCTGGTTGGTGTCTTTGTTTTTGTCCAAGGGAGCCCTCGGATTTTTCCGGTAACAGCGTGAAGAAGGACTGTCATTTATCTCTCCTAAATCATCCAACATTCAGCTTCACTTGTTATGAGAGAGGGAGAAAATCTTTTCTCTATCCACTTTCTCTAGGCCAGGCACAATTTTTTTAAAAATTTTTTATTCATTTTTCTTTTTCATTCATTACATACATCTCAGATTATTAACATTTACTATATGTTCTTCCCTCCCTCCCCTCCAGGGCTTCCCCCAACTTCCGCTTCTGGTTTGTTTCTACAGTATTTTCACCCAATTTGCTATCTCTTAACAGAAAAAGTTATTAATAACATAACTTCAAGTCTAAAGACATAAAAATAACAGTAAATACACCATCATATTTCACTATCTTCTAAACAGGTTCTAATGCTAATAATGTGAGTGTTTATTTAAATCTTGCCATCAAGTCTATTGACTTTCTTTGTTTCTGCAAATATAATATGAATGGTTCCCAATCTTTTTCAAAGTCTCTGTTGTCTTTTTCTCTTAGTCTATCTGTCATTTTTGGTATTTCTCCAGTCTTCCAATTTTGTGTAATCAACATTCTTGCTGCTGTAGTGGCATACATAAATAAAGTCCTCATTTCCTTTGGTATGTCTTGACCTAAAATACCTAATGAAAAGGTTTCTGGTTTTTTTACATGCCAGGCACAATTTCATAAGCTTTTATGTCGCCTCTTACTCACCTTTTATCTGAACCAAAGTTTTCCCACACTTGGGTCTCCAGCTCTTTTTTGGACTACAATTCCCATCATCCCTGACCATTGTTCCTGCTAGTGAGGGGTAATGGGAGTTGTAGTCCAAAAACAGCTGGAGACCTAAGTTTGGGAAACCCTGATCTAAACCCGAAAGTCCCAAATGTTGCAACCTGTCTTCATAGGGGAGTCACTCCACCCCCTTGATGACCAAACAGAACCTTCCCCAGAATCCAACCCTGATTCTTGATCACTGGCCCCACTCCTCCAGCTCAGCCATTCCTTAAGACGCTGATTTCTCCTCTCTGGTCCTGCTTCAGCCCTCTCCCGTGTCATCTAACTCCAACTCTCCTGGATCTGCCCATCCCCACCATGACATCTCCATAGGGCTCATGGCACGCATTGTCCCTCAGCCATCCTGATGGACCAGCCTGCACTAAAGAACAGGGATCTTTAGTGACAAACAACTGTTCCCAGGATTTTTTGGCAGAAGCCACAACTGTTTAAAGTGGTATCTGTCAGGGAGGGAGCTGTGGCAATCACACAGGGTCCCCAGACATTTCACTTCCTATTAATCCCTGTGCCACCACTTTATTTCTCGCTGCCACCACCCAGGCCCTACCTGGTACAATACTGAGTCCAGTCAGGGTTAAATTAGAACATAAACATCTGTTTATTTATTGCAGTTTAACAAGCGTGTGGTTTCATAAACGGTAATGGTCAATTACATTCATGGGGTGCCTATCCAGACCTATAACTTCCTCTACCTGCTCTCTCTCACTAAACCACCTCTCAGATATTTACTTGTCTTCCTAGCTCCTAACTGTTCCTGACTCAGCTTATTTCGCTACCCTAACTCAACCTGGGACCCAGGTGGTGCTCTGGGTTAAACCACAGAGCCTAGGACTTGCCGATCAGAAGGTCAGCAGTTCGAATCCCCGCGACGGGGTGAGCTCCCGTTGCTCGGTCCCTGCTCCTGCCAACCTAGCAGTTCGAAAGCACATCAAAGTGCAAGTAGATAAATAGGTACCGCTGCGGCAGGAAGGTAAACGGCGTTTCCGTGCGCTGCTCTGGTTCGCCAGAAGCGGCTTAGTCATGCTGGCCACATGACCCGGAAGCTGTACGCTGGCTCCCTCGGCCAGTAAAGTGAGTTGAGCGCCGCAACCCCAGAGTCGGTCACAACTGGACCTAATGGTAAGGGGTCCCTTTACCTTTACCTAAGTCAACCTACCCACAGACTCTATCCCAATTCACTCCCACTCCAACCAACCACCCAACTCCCAACGAACTCCTCCTCTCCGCCCCTCCCAGAGCTGGTTTTATAGTTCCTCTGACTCCACCCCCCTGGGTTCTGATTGGGTAACCTGTTTAACTATTTCACCTCCCTCACTCTCATATGTTAACGTCACAGGAGCCGACAAGGAGACCAGGGCATTCGCAGGTCAGAGAAAGACCGACCAACTTACAGTTAGTTTCGTTATGAAGGAAGCAGAACAGAGAACACAGGGAGACTTCAAAGGGTTGCTGCTGTCTAGGTGAAGCAGTTGCCCTGACTGGCTTGTACCTTCCCCTTCGCTCCTATCCCTCTGTGTTGGGCTCCCAGGGACCCTCTCTGTTTCTGCCTGGCTCTCTGCTCTGTAACATGCCATAGATGCTTTGATCTGGGAGTGGATGGGGAAGAAGAGAAGGCATCAGGGTGGCTTTGTGGTAGAGCAGCCAGGTCTGTTTCCTGTCCCTGCCCTGTGCTGTGCATCTTCCTCCTCCGCCAAGCTCCCAGCCTCCAGTACTTCCCAGTTCCTCCCCTCCTCTGGGGTGTGTCCAGTTTCCCATCACCAGGAGCCAGGATCCAAATCCCTCTGTGGTGTCCTCCACCATTCCTCCACATCTAGCCTGTCCCTGACAGTGCGATACTGCTTTTAAAAATGTAATGCAGATGAGGCCTATGATAAGTCATTCGGGGACAAGGCATATTATTATGGCAATGTCACAAATGGGCATGTGAACCTATTAACAGGGGTTCTTGGGTAAAAGAATATCCACCTGGATGAAATTAGGAATATTTGTTTCTTTATTCAATTTATAATACATTGTGTGGCGAGTTCCTGCTCCCCGCCCCAGTGGAAATAATGGCACATGACACAATTATTAAGGTTAATGGGCTAAAAAAGGCCACAACTTTATTGGTTACAGGTGGTGAGCGGTATTGGCTTAGGCATTGGTCCTAATTGACTATATCCAACTTCAGCCCATCCGCTTGAAGTCCAGGAAGGGTTAACTACCATTATAATAAATAATAATAATACATTTTTATTTATACCCCGCCCTTCCCAGTTCAGGAAACCGGGCTCAGGGCAACTAACAACAAATTTAAAACACTTAATTGATGCTACCAAGAAAACAGCATAAAATACAGTATAAAGCGTAAAGAACAATAAAATCAAAAATCAATTTAGGGGGAAAATCCATCCAATAAACATTAGATGATCACCAGGGCTAGCTGGCTAAATTAGTCCTACTTGGGCCAGCGAGGAGACCAGGGGAGACCCAGCTGTGGGATCCCAGAGCGGGCAATCTTCACAAAAAGGGGAGGGGGAGGGAGGAAGGGGAACAAAAGATCAGGCCAGGTTCAAATTGAAAGCCAGGCGGAATAGTTCTGTCTTACTGTCTTAGAGGGAGTCCTGCTGATGCACATCAAATAGGAGCTCCCCCAGGGTCACTGATAGGGGGCGTGCCTTAGGCCCTCACCTCCCTAGGCTTTGGGCAGGGCCACGCCCCCTGGAATCCTTTATCGGACTACCCTTCAATATGCGGGGCAGGTGATGGCGTTACCTCCCCTCTTCCAACTACAGAATTATACCAATGCCTAACCGCCAATACCCAAAAAGTTGTGAAAATTTGCTATGAGCTAGGTGAAAACCAAGTGGCTGATGCCAATTTGCCAAGTGGAAAAATTCCTACCAGGCCCCACAACGGAGACCAACCAAGGTCCATAGCAAGGTCAAAGGCAAAACCTATAGGGCGGGAGGGTGGGAAAACAGAACAGCTGAGGAGCGGCAAAGAGGGAGATCCCCGGCCATGTCCTGCCTTAAATAGGGCAGGCCACGCCCCCAGAGCCAGCCGATTGGCTGGCCAGGGGGTGACACGGCTGGGAATCCCCCCAATCGCATGGGGGCTGGGCTGTGACGCCCGCAACCCCACCTCCTCAGAAGGGCGGAAGTGGTTTTCCTTCTCCCAGAGGAGTTCTGGGCAGCAGAAACATAACCATCAGTAGCAACATTTAAATATTCTAAAACCAGTTTAAAACATGTAGATATGAAAGGGGCAATTCAGCTGTCAGGAAGCCCATCTCTGCAGCCCACCCACCTCCTCTCTGTGTGCAGAAATAGCCCCCCTTCCCCTCTGGAACTTAGTAAGGAACAGCACAGAGCTTATAGGGTTGTGGCACCATGGCCAATCCTCCGGTTATAGGCTTGATGCTGACGCTCTTCACTCCTTCTGGAAGCTGTAATTTAAAAACCCGCAGAAGTTTGGTGAAGACAATGAAGAGTTCGGTCCGCGCAAAGCGCTCCCCCACACAAATGCGATGCCCTGCATGGGGAGGAACATTGAGATCCAGGTTAGTTAGTCAGTCTTGCATATTCCTTGCTGACCAGGAAAAGGTGACACTATTCCATAAGGCTCACACAGCCATTGAATGACACACACACAATGCAACATACATTGTGGGGCATCTGCGAGCATTTTTCTGGGATGGGGTGGGAGAGACGGCACACTTACCTACTGCAAAGGGCATGAAGGCTTCCTTGCAGAAGAATTTTCCATCTTTGTCCAGGAAGTGATTTGGGTTGAACTGATGAGGCGTCTCCCAGTGGTCAGGGTCATACAAGACAGAAGCTACATCGGGGATGATGACGGTGCCCTGCAAAACCATTAAGTAATGATTATAATCAACTCCTCAGTTCCAATGGATCCACATATGGACAGATCAAAGTAAGCTCATGGACAGATCTGCTTTGGGTGATTTCCTCCCCTCTCTTGCTGCTGTGGGTGTCAAGAGAAAGGGGTGCATATTCGCTCTTGCTGGACAGATGATAAGAAATCAGAGTGGGAATGGAATCTTAAGTATAGTGGTACCTTAGTTGTTGAACTTAATCCATTCTGGGGATCTGTTCGACTCCCAGAACCACCCAAAAACCAAGGCGTGGCTTCCGCTTGGCTGCAGGAGCTTCCTGCACTCAGTCGGAAGCTGCGTCGGACGTTTGGCTTCCGAAAAACACATGCAAACCGGAACACTCACTTCCGGATTTGCGGCATTTGGGAACCGATTTGTTCAGGAGCTAAGCCATTCAA